CCAGATTTCGGCTAAATTATTCTTGGCAGGACAAAACTTTTGTGAGGCACCTCCGTATAGGACGGATTAAAACTAGCGCCATGGCTGCTGACACGTGCTACCGTGCTTAGACGCAACCGGCTTTCACACGTCACCCACAACTTGGGCTAATTGTAAGGACACATGTCTTCAGCGACGCAACGCACCCCCATTCCGATGCACCCACGGTAGAGGCGCACCCAACATGTTCAGCGTGCGCTCCATTGTCCTCCTGGTGCTATCCTACGTCGTAATCCCGCGCCTCACATTTCTCCCGCCGAACATCCATACGTTCCTTTCGATTGTCGGGCCCTTTCTTATTCCCTACACGTGGGACTTGATACAGACGGCGCGCGCGACTTCAAGAAGCGGTCCCATACGGCCGACGCCAGCGAGAGTTCAATATGCGCTCAACCTGTTGTTTGTGAGCGCAGTGGTGTGCCTCGTTCTCTCGTTTTCACGATTTGCGCCCGAGAACATCTTCCTCCAGACAAAGAGTCACATACGGACGGAGACCAGCGTCTTGTTTCTGCGACTGAGGCTCCTGCGGCCGCTGACAGCCGCGGACGATGCGCTACGAGAAAAGTTCACATGGAGTATACGCAATAAACTGCTCTACCTCGCATACGGCCCGGACACGCTTTTGGACTGTACTTGGTGCAGCGCAGCCGACGGAGACGACCAGCGAAACTACTTTATATACTCGCTCCCTGAGATCGTCACGCCGCACATCGCCCAACTATCCGCCCTCGGTCTCGCTACGTCGTCGCTGCTCGCGCCCGAATGCTCGCGCTTCCGCACACACGCAGCCATTGCAGGGGTATTGTCAATGGTGGTGGAAATATGGTACATGGGCACATATGACATCTTTGTCAACAAGCAAGCCAAATACGTGCAGGATCTCGATTCGGCATACTGGCGCGTCCGCTTTCTACGATACATGGCATTTGCTCTGGTCGACATGGGCCTGGCGTTTGTGCTCTGGGCGACGAGTACGAACCGGTGGCTGGCAAAGCCCATTTCGATTGCGGAGCGGATGGAGACGACGACGCGCACGGCTGAAGAGACGTTCAACAAGATGCGGGCATTGGCGCTGCTCACAAACTCTGTCAACCGCGACCCGGCGCTGCGAGGGGTGAGAGAGGAATACTGGAGGACAGAGGGACAGGTGACGGCAGAGGTGGTGCAAGACGAGACCGTGACTGAGCAGATTAATGCTGCGATCAGCAAGCTGGACTTTGTTGCTCTCGAGGGGCGTGTTGGCGAGGTTGCAGATGGAATTATCAAGGGCATTGATAGTCTCGCGGCAGGTCCCACGTTATCCGCGAGTCAGATGGGCTAGGTTTTGTCATGTCGTGCATTCGCACGCCGCTCGGCGGTCTTATCTGAAGGACTGGGGGTGGACGGATAGAAGTGGAGGGAGGATGGGCTACCTGCGGAATCTTGGTGGGCACGGATGATGTAGGTGGCACAAACACGCCCTGAAAGATGCCAAACAGGCGTGCCGTCTCCGCAATCAATGCCTTGTTGTTGTTTGGCCCAGGTCACTTGAACATTTTTTTTTGCTCCTGCCGGTGAACTTCGCCATTGCTTGAACCGCGCCTTGCCGAAGCTGCATGTCTGTTTTTTCGGCCGTAGCCACCACGTCCATTGCATTGCACCTCGACGCAAGCATCACCGCCTCCAACACGACGGCCATGTCCATGCAATCTATATACCGCGTCCTATACTGTAAATACTCGGCCGCATCCGATATCGCGTGGCCGGGGGTTGGAACGTCCGTCGTCGTCAATCACCAGTTGGGCCGGATACTAGCGGCCGGTATGGCGCTAGCGGGGCTGGATACCGCAGGCTCGGCACACGACACGCCCTACACTCAACACGCACAGGTACGCTAGCCAGCACGACGTCGGCTTTGTAGCCTTTGGCAGGACGCGCGTTTCGTCATGGCCGGCGGAATTGCAACGTCTCCTTATCGGTGGAGCAGCAGAGAAAAGAGATGGAGCACAGTTCGGTGGCAAGACAAAGAGAAGAAAAAAAGACAGCAGCCAGCCAGCCAGCAGCCGTCGTCAACTATGGGGTTCCGCTGTACTTCTCCCTCGGCCAGAAGTGGAACCCTATATCATACCGTCTGCAACGAGAACCACACTAGACCGCCGCGGCAGACCGTCCAAGCCTGGGCGGATATTAGGTGTACATCAATGGATCGCACGGGTCGGTGGGTTTGATTACGCCCGTGTGATAGCGAGGTGTGACTCTTGCTCGAATTTTTCTGTCCCTTTGTATAAGAGCCTGGCCTGGGTACCTCATTCCCACTCTTCATACTTGACTAATCGCTTCCCATACCGCTCTCTTACTCTTACACACCAATTGACACGTTGCCTTCGTGTTGGCCCTCGTTACCCTCGACCCCTCTCTATCCGTCCTCTATCTGCGAAGAAAGGATAAATCCAGCAGCCATGGCCCCCATCGCCGTCACACCCCCAAACCACAATGAGACCGTGACCGATCTCACACAGGATGGCATCAAGTCGGCGCTGCTGAAAAATGCCCCAAGCCAAATCGACTCAGCATCCCTCACAAACTCTATTACTACCACACCACCAAACGAGCTGTCAGGCAAGACCCAGGATGTTGCCGACGCGCCGCTGGCCGAGCTCGACGCCTCCAAACTCACCTGCACGTACACCAATGCTTTCCGCACGGTTCCCGAAGTCGGTTCCGCCGAGATGGCGAGCCAGAAAGTGTGCACCGATCACATGGTGCAAGCCAAATGGACCGTCGAGTCTGGCTGGGAAGCACCCACACTGCAGCCCTACGGCCCACTGTCGCTCGCGCCCACAGCATCATGCCTGCACTACGCTACCGAATGCTTCGAAGGCATGAAGCTGTACCGCGGCCACGACGGCAAACTACGCCTCTTCCGCCCGGACCTCAACTGCCGCCGCATGCTCATGTCGACGAACCGCATTGCGCTCCCTGCCTTTGACCCGGAGCAGCTCCTCAAGCTCATTGTCAAGCTTTGCGCTACAGACGGCAAGCGCTGGCTTCCCAAGGACCGCCCCGGCCAGTTCCTCTACATCCGCCCCACGATGATCGCGTCGGACCCCGCGCTGGGCGTCGAGCGACCCAAGGAAGCCCTGCTCTTCGTCATCCTGTGCTGCTTCGCCCCCATGGGCGACATGACGGGCGGCATCAAGCTGCTCGCATCCCAAGACGACATGTGCCGCGCATGGCCCGGCGGCTTCGGCTACGCCAAAGTCGGCGCAAACTACGGCCCCTCGCTCGTCGCGCAGGGCGAAGCCAGAAAGCGCGGCTACCACCAGATCCTGTGGCTCTTTGGCGAAGACGCCACCATCACCGAGGCTGGCGCAAGCAACTTCTTCGTCGTGTGGAAGACCAAAGACGGAAAACTCCAGCTCCTCACCGCAGACTTGAACGAGCGCATCGTCCTCGACGGCGTCACCCGCCGCTCCATCCTCGAGCTTGCCCGCGAGAAACTCACAATTGGCGCCGCTGAGCCCCCCCAGGACCTCGAGCAACTCGACGTCGTAGAGCGCAAGTTCAACATCTTTGAGATCGAGGAGGCTGCCCGTGAAGGCCGCATTGTCGAGGCCTTTGCCGCCGGTACTGCCTGGTTCGTTGCACCTATTAGCCAGATCCACTTCCGTGGAAAAGATATCAATGTCCCCATGGTAAAGGGCAACTCGGGCGCCTACGCGGACTTCTTCAAGAACTCGCTCAGGGGCATCATGTGGGGCTGCGATGGCCTCGAAAGCCATCCTTGGGGCCGTGTCATTGACGAGGAGTAGATTATTCTTCTCCTTTCTCTTCTTCTTCTCCTTTTTCTTTCTAAAACAAAAGCGTCTATATCTTGCAGACGAGACGAGACGAGACGAGACGTTTGGGTACATATCATGGGCATCATGTTGCATGTAAGCAAGGCGTTTTTTTTGAGGTTTAAGCAGCTCGGTTCACGGAGAACTTTTTTTTTCTTCCTTTCTTGTTTCCTTTCTCAATCCCATGTGGAATGTACGTTTCCAAAGCGAGCAGTAGCACAAGTGGAGCGTCTTGCATTGTTCACACACACACATGTCGGTATGCATTTGTAGTAGATTAAGAAGTTATGTAGTTATGAAAATAAGATAACGTGACGGATAAGCGAGTCGGTCAGACAAGCGAGTTGGTCACCCTACCAACTTTGATCACCCACCACACCTTTGCGTACAATGCCTCTAAGCCACGCTTCTTAGTTAATCTCTTACGAGGTAGATATTCAGCTTGCTCTCTCTTCTTTAGATAGAAACTAAATCTAAAGTACTTAACGCGCTGCTATAGCCTTTAATATTCTAAAATTAACACTAATTAACTAACGCGCTAGGAAGCGCGCGCAACGAGATTGCTAGCCTAACTTAAAGAAGCTTACTAAGCTAGAAGAGGAGGTAATAGTTAGTTATATACTTAATCTTAACTTACGTGGATTTGCGCCTACGTACGCCGCTATACACGATATAGCTAATAAGCTGCTAGCTGCGCGCGGCGCTAGCTAGGTTAAGTAGAAGTGGCTAGCTAACTTTGTTAAGCGTACAGACAGTCTTATAACGCGTTTTAATTAAGCGTACAATAGGCAGAGAGCTCTATATAAAGATCTAGTCCTAATTAAAAGCTAGTTTAAGCTTATAAAGTAGATAAAGGCTAAGTATAGCATCTATAACAAGGACGTCTACAACTTCAACAAAGCTAGCTTTATGTAAGGGGCTCGACCCCGGAGGGTAGTCTTAAGCTCGGGAGCACGATCGGACAGGCCAAGGTAACAAGATTGTATTCGATAGAGAGCTAAGCTCTCGGCTACGTAGCTATCTATATACAATGCTGGTTGCTAGGGTAACAATCGGGCCGGGCAGGTGGAGTAAACGAGGTCGTAGACGAGTATGGGAGGCGAAGGGCGTTTAGCCCGTTACACTTTATAATAGGCAAGATCGCGACTTAGCTAGTTGTAACAGCGTTAAAGAGGAGAGGCTAGCTAAAGGCAGTTAAGCTAGGCAATCGTGGGTAGGTGACGCTGATCGCAGCGATTAACGCAGCTAGCTAGGCAGTTCTACTATTCCTTATCTTCGCTAGCAAATATCATCTATCCGCCTAGTACGAGGAAGCAGAGATCCCACGCGACTAGGCGATTGCAGTTAGCAACAACGGCTAGACGAACAACGAGCTAGGTGTTACCTAGCTAAAGCACTTTAATGCTCACACAAAGACTTGCGTTGTTAGCATACGTCGTTTGCTTATTCTTAACAGCTATAAGAGCTACTAGTCTCTTAAGTTTTAAGAGCTTTGCAAAGAGAACAATATCTACACGCTTTGTATGCCGCTACATTCCTCTTACCTACTTTAACCTCTTAACGTTAGCTGCTTCTCGCTATTAAAGCGCGCGTATAGCTGTAAGGTAGAGAGCCTAATACGCAACTACATCAACTACATCACCAAGCTTAAGTTTCTGCTAGCGTTTAAGACAGCGTTTGATTGATCCTTCACGCCAGCTAATATCCGCTTAGCCTTTTAAGGCGTAGGCCTTGTTCCTCTCTAGCTAGACGCTGTTCTATTAAAGCTAGACATAAAGCTGCGTACGCCTACTACTCCAGTAGCTGCTGTTGCAGAGGCTCTCTAGCAGGCTCGTACCCTAAGTAACGCACGCGAGTTTAAAGCTTAATTAACGCTAATACGTAATTAGGTTTAGCGGCATAAGAGCTCTTTGCTAGCATTAATTATTGCAGCAATTAACTAGCTTAAGAAGGGGGCTAAGGTTATAATGCTCTTAGCTAAGCTAATGCGCGATTAGATCACTAGCCTTAAGAGGGCTAACGAGGTAGCAATAAAGCGTAGGTAGTGTAAAAGAAAGCGGATACAGAAGCAAGAAGTGCTAACAAAGGGAGCTAGAGAGGATCTACTCGCTTAGCGCGAGGCTGATCAGCAGATTGCTCATAAAGAGCGTCAGGGAGGAGAGCGATCAGGTGTCAGCCGCCAGGCTCTAGCGCGCTGTAGTAGGTGCAGAGAGACTAGCCATAACTCACGTACATGCAAGAAAGATAGTCTAGATAGTAATTAATCTATTGCGTTAATATCTACCAAAACTAATATAATATGGTGGAGCTATACGCTTATAGAAGTGCGCAAAGTTAGTGAGGTGACCGACTCGCTTGTCTGACCGACTCGCTTATCTATCACGTTATACATGTTACAATCAATCGTCATCCTCGTACCCTGGCATCGCTGGTGCTGGCCCCATACTCGGGACTGTTGCTGCTGCTGCTGCGGCTTCAGTGTCGTTGATGCCCCGTCTTAGTAAGACTTGTTCTCCGGCTGGCCCTTCACAAAGCTCAATGCACTCTAGCTCTGCTGCCCGCTCGTGCGATACCATGTCTGCTTCTTCGGGAAAGGTGACCGTGTCATGTGAGGGTCTGGGGCTCTGCTCACTGGGCGCAGTCGTGCGCTCCCAGGGGTACTCTATGGTTTCGCCATTCTCGCCGCGATGGAGGGTGCTTGTGATACTCTGTGCGTCATTGTATTCTACATTCAAAATACACATAGGCTTATCTTGTACAGGGGCGTCTTCAGATGGAGTATCGTGTGGGCCATTGGTGTTGAAGCAGGGAAGTCGGTGCACGACGAGGTGATGCAGCGCAGGCTGTGGATGTATAAATAAGCACAAACTATTTATTTAGACTGCAAACACACTCGACTTCTACTGACCATGCATACGCAGAATACACTGCTGTTGGCTTCCAGGACGCTCCAGTAGTCGGCCGGCGCATTATCCCAGGTGGGGTTCAGCGACTTGGCGTAATTGATGATGGAGGATATTCGCAAGCAGGAAACGGCGAGGATGCTGCAACATACATTGCATAATTAGCAACCAGAAACCGACAAAGGTATTGCATCGCCTGGCTTACAATATGCCCACAGTGAACATGAAAAGCACTTCCCACTTCTTCCTCCAGAACATTGACAACCGGTACAATGCGGGAACCGGTAAGAGCATGATGATGGCATGCAGGAAGACAGTCACACCAGCACCGGATAGTATGAGACGGTTGATATCCCAACACTCGCCCTCTTGCTCGCCGTCCCAGCCTTTCCATACCATCGAGATAGGTTTGCAGTGAAAGGCGATGCTGAATTGGAAGATGATCCAGTATATCGTGGTCAGGGCCATGAGGGTGTAGGTGTATGTTTGGATTTTGTCTTTGGGAAACATGCGGAAATACATGAGTAGAAATGCTAGTCTGGAGAGGGCGGTTGTGGGCCAGTAGAAGAACTTCCCAAGCCACTCCAGCTGTGTGTATTAGTGGGGTTCGGGAGATTTAGTCTTATGCAGCCAGCTCACTTTCTGTATGTAAGTGACATCGTCGAACGGTAACGTCCATGTGTCTCGACCTAGACCCACAGACGCAGTGCGGAGTAGCATAGCATTCATGGGCACCAAAGTCAAACCAGCACCAAGGGCGCAGGCATCGTCCCATGCGAAGCGGCCGGTCAAGAGTGCATCGAGAGTACGCAGCAACACAGAGAGTGCAGCAACACTGCCGCTCACACTCGCAATCACCATTGGCTCGAGGGACCGATCACGGACGGGTCTCTGGAACATGGTCGCGGTGATGTTTAGCGCTGTGAGGGCTTGTTTGATAGTACATGTTTGGTCCGCACACGCATGCATGCCACGGGCAAAGTCGCCATCGGTGCAGATACATGTCGTATTGTCGGAGGAGCAAGTCGACACCGCGTCGAGGGTCAATGCTAGGCAATCCATCTGGTGAGGTCAGTCCACCATGCTCTGCGAGGCGAGTGAGCGCTGAGCGTCGACTGACCGCGCACTGTGGCAGTAGATGTCGTAGGTCAGTGAGGGCATGGCTGAGCCTGTGGGGGCCGACAAAGTAGCCCAGGTACGTGGACCCCAGCATGGCCGCATGGCGCCCGACAGCGAGCGCATGGCCATGGTTTAAATGCACATGTCGGTGGGTTAAGCTTTTGCGGCACAGTGGCTCCGTGGAATGGTCGACCGTCAGTGCGGGGGGCAGCTGAAGCGGAAGGGCATGTGGCGAGAGGGCGTTATGCAAGGAGAGAGGGCGGGCCAAAGCAGCCTAGCGGCAGTGAAATGCAGGCGGGTGCAGTGGGATGCGTGCGAGATGCAAATTGGGCGTCTTTGTTGCATGGGTGTGTGCGTGTGCGTGTGTGTGTGTGTGTGTGGTCTTGTCGGAAGAGGGAGGGCAGCAGGCAGCTAGCGCTAAGTTGGTAGTGGTAATGGTGCTTGTCTCTCGGCACGGGTACTAGTTCCAGGTTGACAAACGCGACTTCACCGCGCAACCCGTGCCTCTTCTGCGACGTCAGCCGCCCGAAGCTTTTCACCACGACGAGCAGCTCGCCAGACTCCCTCTTGCTCAGGGCCCAGCATCTGCCGGCCATCACCAATCTGCCCAGCATCCCCGCCCCAAGTGCCCGCACAATCTCTCGCCGACCCCAAGTGCCCCACCTTCGCCCATAGACACAACTTCTGCAAGGCAACGAACCTCTGCGCGCCCGCCTGCTTTCGACGCCCACCGCGCAGACACGCATCCCCCGCCGCCGACGCCGAGCTGCTGGCGAAGCTTCCTGGGAACACCGCCGACCCCCCCAACAGGCTGATTGGGAGCTTTTCCCGCCGCGCTGCAGCCCGCCATGTCTCTGTCCATTGAAGAGCTCGACGCCACGGTGCGCGCCTTTTACGAGGGCCGTGGCGACACGGTATGTCCACTGCTGGCCCCCGGGCGGACAGCCCGCCCACAGCATCGCTAACCGAGCCGTCTTTTCGCAGCAAAAACAAGCCCAAGCTACGCTGAACCAGGTAGGCTTCCTCTCCTCCCACGTGCAGTGTTTCGCCCCGCTAACACCCGCCCAGTTCAAAGAAAACCCCGACGCATGGCTTCTGGTCGACAAGATTCTCTCCGACGCACAGTACCCGCAGACCAAGTGTGAGTGCAAGCAAGCGGCCGCACAGGACTGGCGGGCGCGGCGCTAATCCTGGGCAGATCTGGGTCTTCAAGTCCTCGACAATGTGATCATGACGCGATGGAAGGTGCTGCCTCGAGACCAATGTCAAGGTATGGCAGCGGAAGAAAAAAACCTGCTCCTGCAAGCCGGCTGACCACGGCAGGTATCCGAAATTTCATCGTCAACTTCATCATCCAGCTCTCCAACAATGACGACACCCGTCGCGCCGAGCGCACCCTCCTAAACAAGCTCAACCTCGTCCTCGTCTCCGTCTTGAAACAGGAGTGGCCCCACAACTGGCCGACTTTTATCAACGAAATCATATCGTCGTGCCACAGCAGCCTGGGAATATGCGAGAACAACATGGTCATTCTGCGCCTGCTCTCCGAGGAGGTTTTTGACTACTCTGAGGAGCAGATGACCTCGGCCAAGCGACGAGAGCTCAAGCAGAGCATGTGCGACGAATTCACGGCCATCTACCAGCTCTGCTCAGAGGTCCTGCGCACAGCCACCGAGGCCTCGCTCATCAAGGCAACACTAGAGACGCTGCTGCGCTTCTTGAACTGGATCCCTCTGGGCTACATCTTTGAGACGCCACCCAGTGGCCAGAGCCTGATCGAGACCCTGCGAAGTCGGTTCCTCGAAGTGCCCGACTTCCGCAACATTACTCTGAAATGTCTCACTGAGATTGCCGGTCTACACACGGAGCCTGCATACGACGATAAGCTTGTTTCCATGTTCACTGAGACGTTGACGGCCATCTCAAAGATCATCCCTCTTTCACTGGATCTGAAGAGCACATACTCGTCCAGCAACAGCCGCGACCAGGAGTTTGTGCTGAACCTCGCATTGTTCCTCACCAACTTCTTCACCATGCACCTCAACGTCATTGAGAATCTGATGAACCGGGACTTCCTCACGCATGGACATTTTTACCTCATCCGCATTAGTCAGATTGACGATCGTGAGGTCTTCAAGATCTGTCTCGAGTACTGGACCAAGCTCGTCTCTGAGCTGTACGATGAGATGCAGGCGCTTCCAATTACCGACATGAACCCTCTCCTGAACATGGGTATTCCCGGAAACGGAGGCCGCGAGTTGGCCAACTATCCTCTGAGGAAGAACAAGTACACCGAGATTCTTTCCAACCTCCGAACGGTCATGATTGAGAAGATGGTTAGGCCCGAGGAGGTTCTCATTGTCGAGAACGACGAGGGAGAGATTGTCCGTGAATTTGTCAAGGAGAGCGACACGATCCAGTTGTACAAGTCTACTCGCGAATGCCTGGTCTTCCTTACCCACTTGGACGTTAACGACACGGAGCAGATCATGTCGGAGAAACTGGCCCGTCAAGTCGATGGTTCGGAATGGTCATGGGCAAACTGCAATACGCTCTGCTGGGCCATTGGCTCGATTTCTGGCGCCATGAACGAGGAGACGGAAAAGCGATTCCTGGTCACGGTAATCAAGGATCTCCTGGGACTGACTGAAATGAAGCGAGGAAAGGACAACAAGGCCGTTGTCGCGAGTAACATCATGTACATTGTCGGCCAATACCCCCGATTCCTCAAGGCTCACTGGAAGTTTCTCAAGACTGTCGTCAACAAGCTGTTCGAGTTCATGCACGAGACCCACGAGGGTGTACAGGACATGGCTTGCGATACCTTTATTAAGATTGCGAACAAGTGCCGGAGACACTTTGTTGCTCTCCAGCCCGGGGAGACGGAGCCATTCATCGACGAGATTGTTCGCAATCTGAGAAAGATTACTGCAGACCTCTCACCGCAACAGGTGCACACATTCTACGAGGCCTGCGGTTACATGATTAGCGCACAAGGGCAGAAGAGCATGCAGGAGCGCCTTATCGCCGACTTGATGGCTCTGCCCAACTCTGCCTGGGACAACATTATTGCGCAAGCTAACCAGAACCCTGCCTGTCTGCAGGATGCTGAAGTGATCAAGATTGTTGGTAACATCATGAAGACCAATGTTGCCGCATGCGGGTCGATCGGATCCTACTTTTACCCACAGATTGGTCGGATATACTTCGACATGCTGACAATGTACCGCGCCAGCTCACAGCTGATAGACGAAGCTGTCCAGCGAGAGGGCAACATTGCGACCAAGATGCCCAAGGTGCGCGGGCTTCGCACCATCAAGAAGGAAATCCTGAAGCTCATCAACACGTACGTTGAGAAGGCCGACGACCTGGAGATGATTCACAACAACATTGTGCCGAAGCTGTTGGAGGCTGTCTTGATCGACTACAAGAACAATGTTCCGGACGCTCGTGAGGCCGAAGTGCTGAATGTGATGACGACCATCATCAACAAGTTACATGTACGTTGGAGACCCAACCTGAGCAAGCACATGGTTGGACTCGCTCAGCCACGGCGGGATTCTATGCTAACCATGCCACAGGGTATGATGGAGGACCAGATCATCAACATCATGGACAGCGTGTTCGAGTGCACACTGGACATGATCAACAAGGACTTTTCCGAGTATCCCGAGCACCGTGTCGAGTTCTTCAAGCTTCTCCGAACCATCAACCTCCGCTGCTTCCCCGCTCTATTACGTCTCGACGCACGATCCTTCAAGTTTGTCATTGACTCGTGCATGTGGGCAAGCAAGCACGACAACCGCGAGGTGGAAAGTGCAGGTCTGTCCATGTGCTTCGAGCTCATTTCCAACATGGCCGAAACGGACCAGCAGACTTGCAACGCCTTCTTCCAGACATTCTTCACAACCATTCTCCAGGATGTCTTCTTTGTCGTGACTGACAGCGACCACAAGGCGGGCTTCAAGTCGCAGTCAATGTTGCTGGCCAAGTTGTTCTGGCTTGTTGACTCGGACAAGCTCCAGGGCCCCATCTACACATCACCGGACATGGCGCCAGCCGGTACACCAAACCGAGAGTTCTTGCGAAACTTTGTTGGTAACCTGCTGGCGACTGCCTTCCCCAACCTCCAGACGTACGTGGTTCCTTGTTGCGTATTGCGAGATTTACTAACATGGTGCAGTGCTCAAATTGCCTCGTTCATTGACGGACTGTTCGCCACAAACTCTGACCTGAACCGGTTCAAGGTCATTCTCCGCGACTTTTTGATTTCCCTCAAGGAATTCTCGGGCGACAATGCGGAGCTCTTTGCGGAAGAACGCGAGCAGGCAGCCAAGACTGCCAAGGAGCAGGAGCGGGAGCGTGCCATGAAGGTCGGAGGTCTGCTGAAGCCATCGGAGATGGACGATGACGAATTGTGACTTGACGTCGAACTGGAAGCAAATGTGGCTACGCGCACGCCCTACGACGCGCAATGTGCTCCCGACGAGTCTGCAAGCAGTGCGCGCTCGAACGACCTTGATGGATGGGACATGTATGGATTGTGAGGGCGAGGGGATAGTGTGGAGGAGCCAAGAGGGGGTGGTAGCGATGGTGGAATGGGCGGGAAGCATGCAATTTGTTGGACGGTCAAAGTTTCGAGCAAGCAGGCATGGGTTCGTTGTGGTCTAATACCCTATAGACGTCTCACTTCTTGGTTTGATGCATGGACACGTGGTTGGCGTGGCGGTAGCTTTGCTTGGCCTGCAGACAAAAAAAAAGGAGAGAGGGGAGCGTTGGTGGCGCAAAGACAAGGCCGTCTGGACAGCGAAGAATAAACATTGTATCTGGCGTCATGATTTGCCCGATCCCTGTCTGGCGGCTACTGCGCATGCGAGCTTGAACGTGCAGCCGGGCCGTTCCACGCTGCGTCTGCACCCAGCACCAGCACCAGCACCAGCACCAGCACACGCAATGCATAGTGCTCCTGTGACGAGCACCAGGTAGGTGGTGGTTGCATGGCGAAGACGGCGTAACGAGGCGGGCTGGCTGGCTGGCTGGCTGATAGTAGTAGTACATGGATACCGCCAGCCCACACAACGCCTGTGTGTTTCTCCGTTCTTCTTTGCTGTTCCCGCGCCCACATAGAGTCCCACAGGCAGAGAGTTGGCAGCCAGCGGTAGCATGCGCGCCAGCGCCAGTAACCTGCTGTACCCGTGGCCTAGTAGCGTAAGCCGCCCGTGGTGAGTAGACGTAGTGGCAGAGGGCACCAGACAAGCGTCGACGGGCTCAAGCTGCCTGTTCGGGCTAGGCGGCGGCCCCGCCTGTCCTTACGTAACCAGCGGCATGGCGGCGCAGCGTTGCACGTCGACATGTCCGCATTGGGCCGAATGGAGCCAGCTGCCAGCACCAGTGCCAGTGCCAGTGCCAGCACGGCAGAACCCCCCCGGTCGCCGTGACGCCACCAAGGTTCGGCTGAATAACCGCAGACGACACCTCCCCTGCCCACCGGCCTCGCCCTAACGCCATCCGTGCACGAGCAGTTGCTGAACCTCGTGGCGGCCATACGCATCCTGATTCGCCGGTTCTCTACGTGTCGTGCGAACGACATGGGCTGTCTGCTCTTCTGCCAGCCTATGTTCAACCTCGTGGCCCTCTCGAGAACAAGCCCGTCGGCGCCACGCTCGAGCCCGACTTCTCATCCGGCATCCCCCAATAGCTGCTCACACCAGGCCTGACTAGAGCCAAGCGGGCACGAGTCTCTGCACTGATCCGTCCTCTCTGCAGGGTGCCAACAGCCGCATCTCGAGTAACCTCACTTCTCGAGCCTGTCTGACAACTACGCACGGCCACCATCAGCGCTGCGACCGCGGCTCTCCCCTCGATTTGTCCTTGTTTTCCTGGTCCCCACCGCCAAATAGCCGTCTGCCCACGCCCACACGCCCGTCACTGCACAAGCTGAATGGTCAGATCTGCACTACGATCCAGGCTAACATCAGTCGCCGCTGCACCCTGCGCGCATTGCCGCAAGGCTTCGAGAACCTTTCTCCTGGCTTTTCTTTGCTGCTGGCCCAATGTACGTCTTCCCCTCATATGGATACCCTACAACCCCGCCCCTTGGTCGCCGTGAAAAAGAAAGCCTCGTCGACAAGTCTTGCCTCCAAGGAAGATACCACTGACTCTGCGCGTTTCTCCAGGAAGTTTGGAAAGCACATACAGAAGAGGCAACTGGAAATCCCGGAATACGCCGCCAGCTTTGTCGACTACAAGGCACTCAAGAAGGTCCCTCCACCTTCTCCTGTTTTTTTTTGCAGCCCTGGGAGCTGATCAGAATTTGTGTAGCTCATCAAGAAGCTTAGCGCCACTCCAATCATCCCACCACAGAGCGAAGGAAGCCATCATGAATTGCTCGATCCGCAGACTTCCTTGCAGGCAAATAAAGCCACCTTCTTCTTCAGAGTGGTGGGTAGCAAAGATTGCAGTGACCAGGCTCAAATTTTGACAACACACGCAGGAACGCGAACTGGAGAAGGTCAACACCTTCTATCTGCAGAAAGAGGCAGAGGTACGTTTGATAGACTGTGCGTTGATGCTGGCTCACCATGGTTGCAGCTGCGCCTACGCTTGACCACCCTCCTTGACAAGAAGCGAGTAATGCAGCAACATCCTCAATCAGTCTCAAAGACATCCTCGCGCTATGTTGCCCTGGAAGAGGGACTAAAGCAGTTTAGCATGGATCTGAACAAACTCGAGGTGATTGGCCCACATGCGCTTGGGGGCTTGCCGATACTGACCTAACTTAGCAATTCGTGGAAGTGAACGAAACAGCCTTTTCCAAAATCCTCAAGAAGGTCTGTTGCACCCTTCATCCAACACCCACGTAACGGCTTTGCTGACTCTTCTTAGTGGGACAAAACGTCAAAGGTCTGTCGTCCAATCTCGGACACCTCTGAGCCTTGGTTGACACAGATGACAGTCAAGAGAAAAGCAGCTTTACCTTGCGCGCGCCGTCGAAGTCCAGCCATGCTTCAACCGAGAAGTCATCAGCACGCTTTCCGATCAAGCCACCCAGGCTCTCCTGGATTTTTCAGGATGGGCTGAAGGCGAAGGGGTACAGGCGCCTCATCCTACGGCTGAACCTCGCGTCTCCGAACCCGCATTCGAAGTAAAAATTGAGCTCGACAACCAATTCGTACAAGCCATCAACACTGCAAACCAAGGCAAAATCCAAGAATGTCTCGCCCGCCTATCCACACTTCCTGACGCGCGTGAACACATCTCGAGAGCTTTCCTGAGCACTGTTGGAGACGCGCCAGAGTCTGCACTCAAGTCCCTACTCGATTCAAACCTGGTCAATCTTGCGCAAGAGGATGAGATAAACGAGCGGAACTGTCTTCATAAAGCTTGCATCAGTGGGCGCATTGAAGTACTCAGACTTGGCCTCTCCAGCAACGTGGATCCTCACGCGACAGATGTGTATGGCAGGATTCCACTGCATTACGCATGCATGCATGGGCATGTGGAACTGGTTCAAGAACTCATCGGCACCGCCCCTGATACGATCAACTTTCGCGACCAAGACAGCTTCACGCCGCTGATACACGCAATTGTGCATTCCAAGCTTGACTGTGTGGAGATACTCCTTTCACAGGGTGCCGACCTCACTCGTCTGGGACCCGGAGAGCATGTACCGCTCAATCTCGCATGTCAGTTTGCATCGCTGGAGATATTGGAACTTCTTCTGCAAAGATCAGCCGAGATGATTGCAGATGCTGAGGGCCTGTTTCCACAGCATCTGGTGGCAAGATCAGGAAAGGCACCCCAGGCGCTTCTTATGCTGCAAAAGTATGGCGCAGATTTGAACCAACCAGACAAGCTCTATCAATGGACACCACTGTTCCACGCCGCGAGTGAAGGGCACGTAGAGTGCCTCAAGACGCTACTTCAATGCGGAGTGGATGTGGATGTTATCGACGAGAAGGGCTTGTCTGCCATGTACTATGCAACATGGGAAGGCCATATCGAGTGCATGACGCTACTTGCTTCTGTTGGGCGCGGTGTTGGTTTAATGACACAGAAACAGGCCTCACCGCAAATTCCTTCGCAAATGTCCAGCACCATGCCCACGGCAATAGAGATCGAAGGCGACCCCGACGGTATCCCCGAGTTCATCCTGCCCCCGCCCATCATCCCCTTCCGAAGATATGGACACAATTTTCTGGATACCAAGACATTTGTGGTCATCAATTTCGAAAAGTTCGGGAAAGACGCCATCCGCTTCTACGATGAGTCCAAATACCCAGCCGCGAGACTCACAATCTCATCGAAAAGTTCCGATCTCATACCGCGTAATATTCTGCTGCCTATACAAGACGGTTTCAAGGTCATCTCATTCCAGATTGAAAATCTCAACACCTTTTCCATCGACTTTGATGTATACCCGACAATAGGATCAAAGGTCATTGCTCGCAGCGTAGCTTCTTCGGAAGTGTTTACGGAACGCTCCAAGAGCACAGGAAGATGGCATCTGGAGTTGTTCGATCCCAGACTTCGAGCCATTGGTAGGATCACCTTTGACTTTCAAGTCGTCAAGCCCTTCCATGGCATACCGCTGGAGATTACGCATTTTGCCACGTACTGGAAGGCTACTAGCCAGCTCGATTCACAGCCTCATACGCTCATCACAGGCTCAAGCCTATCGGGAGATTATGTGCGCATGTTTGTCCAGTTGACTGCCGACGGTATACCAGTGCTGCATCCGCAATGGAAAGTCAATCACCATGGCCTCGAGGTTCCAGTCAACATCCTGACGTATGCGCAATTTGCTGCCATTGGCTCTCAGCAGACTGGGACAACTGCAGAGCAGATAGCCAGGAATCTAAGCAACGCCAACCCGGACGATATACCCAACATCTACCACGTCCTGGCATCTTCATTCATTACTCTGAAGGACGCCTTGGCTGCACTGCCAGCTCACATCCATGTTGAATTGCATGTTCTGTTCCCTTCCAGACTCGAAGAGGACCACCTCAAGCTTGGGCCGACACTGGACATGAACGCCTTTGCCGACAAGATCCTATCGGTGGTTTTTGAGCACGCACGACATTTGAGATCGCAGGGGGCGGGGGAGATTGACGGTACACTGAGGAGCATACTGTTCAGCTCCTTCAACCAAGACATTTGCACCGTTATCAATTGGAAGCAACCCAACTGTGAGTGTTTCTTCGAGAGCGTCTACATGACGGATGCTAATATCACAACAGACCCAGTCCTTCTTTGCAATGAACTCGGGGCGGAGAGCTCTCGGTCACCTTCGGGAAACACGCATATTGTCGAAAGCAGCGGTCGCACACGAATATCTGTGAAGGAGGCAGTACAGATTGCAAGGAACAATAACTTCATGGGGCTGATATGCAGCTCTCGTCTGCTGGTGAGTATCTGTGGGATGGCCAAAGACTCGAGTACTAAGAGCATCCAGTCACTTGCCCCTGCCCTGATTGAGTCGATCAAGACAGCCGGCCTCGTTCTCGTTACGGATATCACGGATTCGCCTGCCGAAAGTGTCGCGCAGCCGGCAGGCCTCCATGTCGCACATCCGCGCCGGCAAAACACGCCAGAAGGCGTCGATGGGTACCTGAGGGATAACGGCGTGCTCTGCTTCAACGAGACTGTCGATATGTAGAGGAGGAAATGCTACGAGGTCTGGAACAGGCAGGACTTGCGATGGGCTTGTAGCACTGGTGTTGCCTGAAACAATGCCGAGGAATATCTTTACGAAACGAGACACACGACATGGGGAGAAGCTGTCAGTTATTAGGGGCTGGTTAGAAGGTGGGGGAGAAATATTCTTGGCGTTTAGCGATAGACTGATGGTGTAGGAGAAGCGGCTATACCCGTAGAAGGAACGGCAGACGTGCTAGATGGTGTGTTCGTGAAATGGAGGCGTGCTAGTGGATATGCTTTGAGATGAGGGGTTTGCATTGTTCAAGGGCGACGCGTGGGCAAGCACCTCGTGTGTGTGTGTGCGTGTAGCAGTTCGTGGTGCGATGTGGTGCGGCCGGCCAGGGTGCAGGTCGGTAGTGGTACGTAGTGTCGATGGCGGCGGCAAGCCGACCGGGGGGTGCGTCTGCGGCGTTCCGATTCGCGCTACGCCTTCATCGAAAAATGTCGACCGACGACATTGTGGCTTGAAACTGTCTGCTGCCGGGTGCCGTTCGTTTTGGTGTACTTGTCTTCTGGGCACCACACAACCTGCAATGCTCTTCACCTCGGCGGCCATGATCTGCACATGATGTCGACCTTGAGCGCCTTTTCTTCTCGGCTCCTTGCCAGGACGTGGACATGCCGAGCATGCATACAATCGCAACGACCGACAACACTCTCGCACCGGGCAAGCTTGTGGCAACCACGGGGCACGCGCGCTGGGCAAAACGCTTTTGCGAGTAGAATTGGCGCACAGAGGACATTGGCAAGCAGCGCGAGTGAGACTGCGAGTGCGACAGCCAAGGCTCTGGGCAGGAATGCAAAGAGCAGCAAGAGACGAAGAAGGCTGCTGATTGCCGGGGGCGGACTCATCATCGGCACAGCAGCAGTTACGGCCAACGACGAGGCCAGGCATGCCTGGGTGGCGGCGCAGAGGAGCTACCGGGTGGTTTCGACGCTGGTGCTCAACATCAGAGAGTATGTGCATGGGTGCAGTCGATTGACAGGCCGGTAGCTAATGCACTCTCTTCTGCACAGCTATCGCCATGTGCTCAAGCGCGACGACGAGCCCGACTACAACGAGCAGCTCAAGGCCTGCCACCTACGATGCGCCAAACGCACGCTCCGCACGCTCGAGAAGAACGGGTCCATTTTCATCAAGCTGGGGCAGCATCTGAGCAGTATGAACTACCTGCTGCCAAACGAGTGGTGCGACACGTTTATCCCGCTTCAAGACAAGTGCCCCGTGTCCTCTTTCGAATCCATCCAAGACATGTGTCGGCAAGACACGGGCGTGGAGCTGTTTGACTTTTTCTCCGAGTTTGAGGAACAGCCCATAGGCGCGGCGTCGCTGGCACAGGTGCATCGGGCAACCGTCCGCGAGACGGGGCAGAAGGTTGCCGTCAAGGTGCAGCACCCCGCTTTGGACGAATGGGCGAGGCTTGATCTGGCCCTGACGAGCTTCTCCTTCAGTACGCTCAAGCGCTGGTTTCCCGAGTACGACCTGACATGGCTGTCGGACGAAATGGAGCACTCGCTCCCGCAAGAGCTTGATTTCCGGCTCGAGGGCAAGAATGCAATGCGAGCACGCGAGTACTTTTCGCACGTGCGCGACGTACCCGTCATTATACCCGAGGTTCTCTGGGCCAAGCGGCGGATGCTTGTCATGGAGTATGTATCTGGATTCCGCACAGACGACCTCAAGAGCCTGGATCAGCATGGCATCGATAGAGACGAGGTTTCTGCGGCCCTGGCACGCATCTTCAACGAGATGATTTTTGGTAAGAATGCGCCGCTGCACTGTGATCCGCACGGCGGAAACATAGCTATTCGGTACAACGGCAAGCGCGGCAAGAACAACTTTGATGTCGTTCTCTACGACCATGGCCTTTACAGGGATATCCCAATGCCTCTGCGACGCAGCTACGCTAAGCTCTGGCTCGCGGTTCTCGACGCAGATGAAGCAGGCATGAGAAAGTACGCATATGAAGTAGCAGGCATCAAGGAGGAGCATTTCCCGCTGTTTGCGTCCGCCATCACGGGCAGGGATTACACTGTTTTGGCAAAGAAGGAAAACGGCGGGGGAGGCGTCATGACGTCGAGGACGAGTGAAGAGAAGAAGGTGATTGGAGATGCGCTTGGCGAAGGGCTGATTGAAAATCTGATTGAGCTCTTGGGCCAGGTGCCCCGAGTCATCTTGCTGATTCTCAAGACCAACGACCTGAGTAAGTTTTTTTTTAGAAGACACCTTGATGTGCTCCGGCAAGCAGCCTTTGCTGACATTTGCTCCTCAGCACGTTCACTCGACGAGGGCCTCCACACGCGCCAGGGACCCGTCCGCACGTTTCTCATTCTCGCGCGGTACGCGTCTCGCACCGTGTACGAAGAGTGCCTGGAAAACCTGTCTGGATCTTTGCTGTGGCCACGCAACTTTGTGTTGTGGTTTGCGGCGTGGACGAGGTTCATGAGGGTGGAGATGCAGCTGAGCGGGTACGAAACCTATCTCAAGCTGAGGGCACTGTTGGGCATGAGCCAGATGGAGATTGGAGACAGTTTTAGGGAGTAGGGAATTAGGTGGACAAGACGAGACGAGATGAGTGCATGAGGGGGGGTGTATGTGTATATGTGTATATGTATGCGGATGTGTATGTGTATGTGTATGCGGCTGTAGACATAGACGGCGGGGACTGGGACTGGGACTGGGACTGGGGCTGTGGCGATCAAAACAAGACGGGCATAGGGAGTAACGGGTGAATGTTGATATGTGTATGTCAGTGGACGACTAGGTGTAGGTAGTGGCGATGATGGTGGTGGTGGTGATTGCCGGCACGTGGTCGCGTGGCCAGGCTAACCGGTTTGGGGGCAGGTGGGCAGGTGGGCAGAGCGGAAGGCGCGGAACCACTTGCTGCAGCGGGCTAACCAGAGCGGATGTGTGGCGGTGCCGGTTACCCAGAGCGGCTTGCATGTGTGTGCTACGTGTGGCTCGTGTGGGTGGCGCGAGGGGCGAGGGCGAGGCCGATGGCGAGGCCGAGGGTGGGCGTTTGACGACTTGTCTGCAGTGCGTTTGGGGCGCAGTCATCTGATGCCTTGCAAGCGAGGGGGGCGTGTTGCGCTGAAGACGAGAGGGGCGCTGCACTGGCAAACCACGCGCGCGTGCTGGAGACGGCTCAAGCAGCAGCAGTAGGTGTAGCAGCAGCAGCAGCAGCTGTGGCATGCCGTGGCCTGGCCTGGCAGGGCGTCTGGCCCGTCCGGCATGGGGTTGGCTGCCTTTGACATCATCGATGCCAGTGCCATGTGTTTCGAGAGAGCACAGCGAAGAGTGACAGCCATGTCCTTGCATCTATCTTTGTATCTGGTCCCGTATCAACCACACGCGCGTACGTACCATCCATGTATGTATGCATCGTGACCTGCCTACTGCTACTACTAGCCGTCCTGTCACCACCCGTTCGCATCGCCCGATAGCCTGCGGGGCACGCGCCAAGGCAGCAAAAGGCCTCTTCTTCGTCTTCTGCCCACCACCGCCCGCGCGCCCAACAACGCCCAGCTGCCGGGCGCTGGTCCCGAACCCACACGCAACCGCTGTTTTGTTTCATCGCCGCGTCCCCGTCCTCGTCCTCGTCCTGCTTCTCGCCGCCCTCGCCATTGCAAAGACGTGAATAAGCGATTACAATCCCACCCTGGCCGGACCTTCTCCGGCCTGCACCGTGGACGCCCGTCGCATTTGCCTTTGCAACGGCGCACGGCCGGTTCCTTACGCACAGCCTCCTCCACCACCCTCGTCACACACCCGCCGCAGCCAACCCAAAGGCGACCTCACCACCAGACAAGAGGCCCGCCCCCCTCTCCTCTCCCTCTCCTCTGCACCACCGCGAGCTCTGAGAGCCGCCCCGACGCCCCCCCCTCCCCCTGCCTGCCGTCTTTTGCTGCCCGCCCTGTGACCCTGCGCTGCTTCACCGCGCATCGTCAACACATCATGGACGGCGCAGGACAGCCCAACCTGCGCATTACCAGTGCGTCTCACCTCCCCCTCTCGCCCAAGACACGGCCCCGTGGGCTCGTTGGCATCCGGCTAACAACACGCAGTCATTGCTGCTGATGGGCTCTACAAGCGCGATGTCTTCCGTATGTATTCCCTCATCCCGCCCCCCCTCGACGCCGTCGCGTCGCTGATACCCAGGCCACAGGATTTCCCGACCCCTTCGCCGTGGCCACCATCAATGGCGAGCAGACGCGCACCACGAGCGTCATCAAGAAGACGCTGAACCCCTACTGGAACGAGAGCTTCGACATGTACGTCCCACGCAACCCCCGCCATGACAACCCATGTCGGTCCGCATGACGCTAACACATGGGCCAGGAAAGTGAACGAAGAAAGCGTCCTGGCGGTTCAGATCTTTGACCAGAAGAAGTTCAAGAAGAAGGACCAGGGCTTCTTGGGCGTCATCAACGTCCGCATTGGATCGGTAATAGATCTCGACGCAGGCGGAGACGGTATGTGCAAACGATGCGACACGGAGCGCACGTGCTGACACAAGCACAGAGATGCTCACGCGCGACCTCAAAAAGTCAAACGACAACATGGTCGTCCACGGCAAGCTCATTCTTAATCTCTCCACTAATCTGTCTACCCCCATCAGCCAAGGAGGCCAGAACGCCACCCGACCCAATGCCTCCCCGCATCCGTCCACCAACGGTGCCATTCCTGGTGCCGCCTCTACTCCACAACAATCCACGACGAGCCTCCATCCTCCTGATGCATACCCCGGTAGTCGTACCTCGAGCTCCGGCCCGTCGAACCCCCAGCGCCCCGGCCAAGGCCCTCCGGCTGGTGCGCCAGGCGGCCCACCTGCCGGGCCCGCACCAAATACAAACGGGTCTACGCCAGCTCGCAACGGCAGCAGCGCCGCATACAGCGCTTTTGAGGATGCGCAAGGAAGACTGCCAAACGGCTGGGAGCGTCGTGAGGACCACCTGGGGCGAACATATTACGTCGACCACAACACGAGGCAAACCACATGGATCAGGCCAGGCGCGGGTTTCAACGAGGCAGATCAGCGCCGGGACGTGGCAGCGCAGACGCAGCAGGAACGTATGCGACATCAGAACCGAATGCTGCCAGAGGACCGAACGGGAGCCAACTCGCCTACCCTTACGGATCGCCAGCCGTCGCCGCCGACTGGCGCTGCCAGCGCTGCGAGCATGATGGCGACGGGAGCGACCACTGCTGGTACAGGAGAGCTTCCGTCTGGCTGGGAGCAGCGCCACACGCCCGAAGGCCGACCCTACTTTGTAGACCACAACACACGAACGACAACATGGGTGGATCCTCGCCGGCAGCAGTACATCCGCATGTACGGTGGCCAGGCGGCCAATGGCAGCACCATCCAGCAGCAGCCTGTTTCCCAGCTCGGCCCGCTGCCCTCTGGCTGGGAAATGCGTCTCACCAACACGGCAAGAGTATACTTTGTGGACCACAACACAAAGACTACGACGTGGGACGATCCAAGGTTACCGTCATCACTGGATCAGAACGTGCCCCAGTATAAGCGCGATTTCCGCCGTAAGCTCATCTACTTCCGATCGCAACCAGCGCTCCGCATTGTTAGTGGTCAATGTCACGTCAAGGTGCGACGATCGCATATTTTTGAAGATTCGTACCACGAGATTATGCGGCAAAGCGCTGCTGATCTTAAGAAGAGACTGATGATCAAGTTTGACGGCGAAGACGGTCTGGACTACGGAGGTCTCTCTCGAGAATTCTTCTTCCTACTCTCGCACGAGATGTTCAATCCCTTCTACTGCCTCTTCGAGTACTCCGCACACGACAACTACACACTTCAGATCAATCCCCACTCTGGTATCAACCCCGAGCACTTGAACTACTTCAAGTTCATTGGACGTGTGGTTGGTTTGGCCATTTTCCATCGTCGTTTCCTCGACGCCTTCTTCATTGGCGCCTTTTACAAGATGATATTGAAGAAGAAGGTTTCGCTGCAGGATATGGAGGGTGTGGATGCCGACTTTCATCGTAACCTGGAATGGATGCTGTAAGTTGCATGCTTGCGACGGACTGATGGCATACTAATCGGAATAGGAACAACGATATTACCGATGCTTTGGAACTGACATTCTCGACTGACGATGAGCGATTTGGTGAGACTGTCTCCATTGAGCTGAAGCCTGGAGGTGAAAACATTGAGGTTACCAACGAAAACAAGCATGAATACGTCGAGTATGTGGCCTGCGACATTTTTAGAGACACACACTGACCATAGCAGACTCATTACCGAATGGCGTATCCAGAAGCGCGTTGAAGAACAATTTCAGGCCTTCATCACTGGTTTCCACGAACTGATTCCCGCCGATCTTGTCAACGTTTTTGACGAGCGTGAACTCGAGCTGCTCATCGGTGGTATTGCCGACATTGACGTTGATGACTGGAAGAAGCACACCGATTACCGTGGTTACACCGAGAACGACGAAGTCATCCAGAACTTCTGGAAGTGTATCCGTAGCTGGGATGCTGAACAAAAGTCACGTCTGCTGCAGTTTGCCACGGGTACTTCGCGTATCCCTGTCAACGGATTCAAGGATTTGCAGGGCAGTGATGGCCCACGAAGATTCACAATCGAGAAGGCTGGAGAGCCGAACCAACTACCAAAGTCACATACATGGTATGTATCCAGACAACCACGTGTATAACAAGAGCTAACGTGATTGGCAGTTTCAACCGTCTCGATCTACCACCGTACAAGACATTCGAAGCACTCAACCAGAAACTTACCATTGCTGTTGAGGAAACTGTCGGCTTTGGACAAGAGTAAACGTCGAAAGGTTGTGAAGATAATCTGCGCATGAACCCCCGCCGTGGTCGCAAAGTCTTGAGGGGAGACTGCTTGTTGGCTTTGAGCCAATGTACAAAATATGCGAAGGAAGAGATGGATGAGTTTGGCGAGCAAAAAAGGGGCTCTTGAATCGTATATGACGCTTAACTTTTCCAGACTTTGGTCTGGTGTGACTGGCTTTTACTGCATTGTGGGGAGGAATCTGTCGTGGGGGGCTTGTAGGCACATGCAAACTACTTGGGGGCGTTTTAGGGGTTGCGAAGGGGACCAAGTAGGATGGGCGCTCTTTTCCGTGCATGAGCGCTTAGGGTCAATATGAAAGAATGACGGTGTGTGTGTTTTTTTTTTTCACGAGGAACGTCATACGTTGCGAAATGTTACACCAAATAGACTTTGACTTGCCCCCCCCCCTCCCCCCCCCCGTCCTCATTGCCCCGAGACGTGTGCGTGTGAACCAAGCGGAGTCAACGGAGTCAACGGAGTGGATGGAAGGCTAATTTGCCAAGACGGCACAAGGGACGGTGCTAGTCTAAGCAGGCGTCGGTATCGGTAAGTTGGACGCATGTTCTTCGGACGGGCAATGTGTGGAGCCGAACAAGGGCGGCAAAGTTGCAAGTCGCACTCAGACCTGCAGCTTTGGCCTAGCTCACCTGCATTTCTTTTTTTTGCTTTTGTTGCTTTTGTTGCCTTGGGGAAGAGGTTGGATTGGTGTGACGTTCATGTGAAATATATCTAGGTTCTTGATCCCTTGTTCTCTTCTCTTCTCTTCTCTTCTTCTTCTTCTTATGCTCTGGCTTTGTTTTCTTGTATTCAGACCAACACATTATCTCGATTTTAGTGTTGTTGTTGGTTCTTCTTCTCTCTCTCTGTGTGTGTGTGTGCTGAGAGATTCATTGACGTCAATACATAGCATATCGAACATCCAACCACTCTTGCTATTGCTACGTTCTACGTAATAGGTATTGATTGTTTGTTGTTCTTTTTGTCTGTCCCAAAGGGGGAGATTAGCTTGTGAGTCGATCGCGTACGAACGAAGGCTTTCGAGGGAAAAAAAAACAACAACAAGAAGGAGGAGGATATTCAAAGCGGACTTTTGTTTCGGCTGTGCTGCCAGCTCATCCAAGTCACGTCACGTCGACTATTCCAACATCAACCAGCCAGCCAGCCAGCCAGCCAGCTAACCAACCAACAAGACTCAAGATCCAACAAAGAGAAAGAGAAGAAGAAAAAAAAAGACGCAAAATGCTCACCCTCAACCTCGCATACACATCCCGCATCAACCCGCCTTGCACGACGCCTCTCCTGACGCGCGCGCAAATCTGGGCGGGCCTGCAGCGCAAAATCCGGTTTGCACAGGACTTCGTGCCGGTGATTGAGAGCTGCGCGGTGCTCGAGGACAATGCTGAAACGGGGACTGTGACGCGCGACGTGGTGTTTAAGAAGGGGCTTGGGCCCAAGGATACGGCACGCGAGGTAGTGAGGGGGTTTTGGCCCAGTGTGGTATGTCAAATTTTATATATATATATATCTATGCTTGTTGATTTTTTGTTTGTTTGTTGGTTGGTTGGTTTGTGTGTTTGCATCGACTTCTGGGTTGTTGTTGTTGTTGTTGTTGTCTTGGGCACTGTATTGTTTAGAAAGCAGAAAGGAACGGATGTACACACATGCACACACAGAGAGAGAGAGAAAGATAAGTATACAAATGCTAACAGATATCCCAAAAAAGGTCGATTTCCAACAAGAAGACGGCACACACGTTCGCAACATCATTTCCGACGGCCCGTCTGGCGACCTCGACGATCTACACATGACATATGTATTTGAGATTCGGCTTCCGGGGGTGCACGAGGGCAGCGAGGAGGCTGACAAGGAGTTTGTGAGGCTTAAGGCGGTGAGTTCTTCTTCCCATGTTCCCCTCTCTCTCTCCAATTTTTCGCTTTCTTCTTCTTCTTCTTCTTCTTCTTTTTTTTGCACTTTCTTGTTTCTCTCTCTCTCTCTCTCTCTCTCTCTTTTTTTTGTGGTTGCTTTTTCCCCGAGTTATTGGTATTGGTATCGTTATTGGTATTGTTATTGGTATTGTTATTGTGGATATTGGGATTGGGTAATCTGAACATTCGATATGCAAATGTGCAATTTTTCTCTTATACTAATTATTCCATATAGATGGCGAAGAAGGCGGTCGAGTCGAGCATTGAGGCGATTAGGGAGATGGTCAAGGATGGAAGGATCAGCGTGTGAAATAAATCAATAAAAAAAAAGGTACAAAGTGCGAGATTGGCATGTGAATGGAATGGGAGAGGGTGTTAGTCTGGGGAAACCAAAAAAGAAAAAAAAACACACAACTGGGGAAACGCTCTTTTTTTTTTCGGCGACGTGACATCAATGGACTAGATTGGATAACGGAATATTAACTTTGCTCTTCTGTAGAATTCTCTCTTTGTTGCTGTACGTGTGTGTGTGTGTGTGTGTGTGGGAATCACTACTTGCGCGCGCGAAACTGGCTACACAGTGATACTAAAAGAAGAAACAAGATAATGCACCAAATCAGTATCAGAAAGTCGCAGAATCTTGACGTTGGCACAGCAAATCTGGTTTTATCCCGTTTGAAAAAGAATTGATGCTATCCACTCCTACACAGACAACTCGGCCCCAAGAAACCCCTTTCCTCACACAAACAAACCCCCAAACATGGCATGCTTTACAAAAGACGAGCAGCACCAAGCAGGGCCATAACAGCAGCACCGACCTGGACACCGTTCTGGTTACCGGTGCTCTTGAACGAGGAAGCAGTAGGCGAAGGCGACTTGTCGGTGGTGGTACCGGTGCCGGTAGGAGTGGACTCAGCGCTGGTCTTTGTAGCGGCTGCGTGCGACTGTGTGGCGGCTACGCTGGCGACGGAAGCCATGGAGCTGGAGGCAGCGGCGCGAAGAGGCTCGGCAGCGTTGCAGTACGAGGTAACGGTGTTCTCGACCGGGGGCTTGTCGAGCGAGTTGGGGCAGTTGTTGTAGCAGACAAGCACGTCGCGGTAGACGTCGCACAGGCAGATGAAGTCGTTGGGCTTCTGGTTGCAGCCGTCGATGCGCGACTTGTAGCCCTGCACGCACGTGTCTACGATGCTGTTTTTGCGAGTCAGAACAACGGCGCGCGCGTGTATACTCGGGACGAAAAAACAAAAACAAAATAACTTACTTTTGAGCATCGCACTTGTTCTGCGCCGCAACGAGGCTGGCAGAGGCAGACAGGGTGATAGCAACGGCGGTGGAGAAACGCATCTTGAACACTCTTCTTTTTGTATGTTGTTCAACTCTGGTTGTCGAGGTAATAAGGGAGGTGTGTGTGTGTGGCTGGGAAAGCGAACGTAGAAGCCCCGTCGGATTACAAGATATTACAAGGTAAATAAGTGCGGCGAAAAAGGATACCCCAAGCGAATGGAGAGGGTATTCAGGATCCAGAAAAAGGGTCGAGGAGGTTGTAGAGTGAGACGGACGGGGGGGGGACAACAACAACGACTGGGAGAGAGGGGAGAGAGGGATAGCAGGAAGCGGACGCGAGAGGAGGCAGTCCGGGAACATTTAAACTAAAAAAAAATGGCGCGCGCGCGCGAGCCCGCCCAGAGTTTGGGGAGTCCCGTTTGGTCCCCAGCTGGCAAAACATGCTTAGCTCCTTTTTTTTTCTTTACTTATTTTGTTGTTTTGCCCTCTTTTTTGCTCATCCAACCCCAATGCCGCATCGTTGGCCGGCCGGGCGGCCGTCCCCCCCCCTTCTCTCTTTGCCCCGGAGTTAGAGACTAAACATCCGTGCTTTCGCCAGCCTTTCCCTGCGCCCGTGTCGAGCGCGCTAGGCGGAGTTGGGGCTAGTGGACAGCGCCGCGGAAGCACGGGCCAGGACTTGGCAGGCTAGCGTGTCGGCGAACTCCCCTAAAATTAGTCATTTTCAATGCCCCGACGACGCTGCGCAAGGACGTTTCGCCTCCTATCCAATACTCGAGGGCATATCACACGACCACACACGGCCTGCTGCATCACTAGAGCCATGTGGGCGGAGAGGGGGGATTTCAACCGGCCCTGCAGGCAAACGTTGCGGGCGACCTGGACGCATCTATCAATGCGGATGTGCCTGTGGTGTGATGTTGTGTCTGGTGCGGCTGGCTGGCTGGGCTGGGGCTGGGCAAAAGACAAGACAAGGCAAAGCAAAGCAAAGCAAAGCAAAGCAACATGGAAGTCGGAAGGCGCAAGTAGATTCGGGGGGGGTTGGAGGATTTTGTATGGAGTGGTTTGACGGCGCTTGCGTCGGTTGGTGACATGTCATTTCAAACGTCTGAGCGGGGGGGGGGGGCTGGCATGGCTTGACCTCGGACGACAAAGGAAAATGAAGACTGAGGTTGCCGGGCCAGTGTCCAGCGTGTGCTTGCCGATCGATTCAGGACGTCCAAAGTTTAGCGGTCCAAGCCGAAATGACATGGATGCCGCTGCGAGCACAGCAGAGAGCTGCGGATCCGATACAGCCGTTTGGTGGGTTCAGCTTGTGGAGAGAGAGAGAGGGAATGACTGACATGGCTGGCTCTCTTTGTCATGGGCGTTGCCTGTGGACGAGGATGGATGGGTGTGACCCGCTGGCTAGCTGTATATGTAATATGTAGCACTGGTGTCCATACATACCACATGTACATGGACATGGACATTATACCACTACATAATATAATGGGTCTGAGTCGCTGGCCTGGCAAGCTCTCTCACTGTTGGCCCTCGTCCCCCCCCCCCCCTGCTCAACGGCTCATGCCAGCCACAGACCCTGCGCCCATCATCCTCGAGCCAATAACAGGCGTCTCAGAAAGCGAAAAGGGCATGATGCTTTTCGGGAGGACGGGCACCCACACCCACACCCACACCCACGCCTTTGGTAGCAGTCACCGGTTGTCGCCATGGCTTAGCGAACTGCGCTGAGCGGGGACGGCGACGCGCTAGCCCCAAACCCACACAGGCCGACGCCTGCCGTCTGATGTGAGTGACCGGCGTCAATTTCTGAGCCAGTGCACGCCGCCTCAACACTCGTTCCCCAGAATCCACACGCCGCCACCATCCACCATCACATGTCCCCCAACAACCAATAACCCTCCTCAAACTCTCGCTCAACCATTGCATGTCCACCCCCTCCCTGTCTTTCCCATTTAGCTCATGGCAAAAGGGCAGACTGGCGATGCCCACGACACACTCTCACACACCCTCATCACGGGTAGGCTAAGCAAGCACTGCGACCACGCCAAACAATCTTGAACCATCAAACGTGGCGGGGCATGATATGTCATTGTGGTATCATTTCACCAGCCTTTCGCTCTACATATCCATAGTAGCTACTCGGCACAAGCCGCCGGAACGCCATGCTTTTGCTATGCACATCATCCTTTCTCCTGCCTTGCCCGGCCCATCTAAGCATCCTCGACAATCTGCGTGTGCAGACCCTTGGGGTCCTTGACGTTGACCGCCTGCACGTACGAGTAGAGCTTCTCCTTGGCGCCCTCCTCGTCGTTACGCTTACGCGAAATGCGAACGCGAAGGCGGAATGGCACGCCCTTGATGCCAGACTCCCACACCTTCTTGTTGAGCTGCGGGTCCAGGCGGACATCGTTGGTACCCTGCCACCGCAATGTTAGCCACTGTTTTGAATCCCATGCACCATCCTGGTCCAAGCCGTGCCCGTCATTAACCAGACACTGCCGTCCCGCACCGTGTGCCCACTTACCATGGCCTGCTTAGCGAAAGCGCGGATCTCCTTGACAGCCCTGGGGGCCCTCTTCTTGAAGCTCACGCCATGCACCTATATCCCCAATCGATTAGCCTGATGTTCGCCTTCAGTCTTCCGCCCGATGCCTGCATAGCCTAGAGTGAGTGCCCAAGCCAGTGCCATCGCCCTGCCTGAGCACCCATCCAAGCTGCTGCGAGACCATCTGTGGACTTCACCAAACTGAATCAACATACGCGCTTGTGGAGGTGGATCGTGTATTCGCGGGCGACAACGTCAGCGATCGCACTGCGGCCAGTCTTTCCGGCAGACTTCTTGCCGGCGGATTTGGTGGTGGGAGCCATTTCTGTACAAACACTGTTAGCACATGTCCTCGGTGAACCGCCCGGCTTCCTAATCCTGCCACAATGCGCCGTCGCAGCAATTGCGATCCTACAAGAATGTAAAAATGAAGCTCGAGAGTTGGTACGTACGGACAGAGACGGTCTCGCTGCGGGGTTAGTCGACGTTGAGAATGCGAGGTGAGGCGTAGAATTCGGGAAATTGGCAGCTTCGCGAAAATCAGAATGCGATTGTGGTCGCTTACATTAGCGCGTTACGCACGGTTCCATAAAGTCACGTGAGACCTGGTTCCACTACAACGCAGTCTACATCCGTCCTCATGTACATATATATCATTATTGGGGTATCCGTATCTATCTACAATGCGTTTTCTGAAGATTTTAGGGATCAAACCGAAATAACGCCGAACCAATAAATCATCCGCTCACACAACGATATACAGTATACGCTTTTTCATCATGCCCAAAACGCCCGTACCGCACCTTAGACATGACCCGGCAGGTCAAACTCCTTTTTGCTGTGTTTCTTCTTGTCCATTTCGTCGTCATCATCATCCTCGTCCTGATCGTCGTCGTCAAAGTGTTCGCTCTCATCGCTGCTACTGTCCTCGTCGTCCTCGTCATCCCCCTCGTCGCCGGCGACAAAGCGATTCAGGCGTCCGCCGTCTTCACCCCAGAACTCCAGCCCATCGGGGTCGTGATCGTGATCTTCCGCCAAGTCCAGGCTTGGAATGTCTTCAAACAACGCTGGGTTCAGGTCGTTCCTGAATCGCACCAAAGACTGCGTAAGCCGCTCCAACACATACTGAGGCAGAGAAGGCTCTTTGACCTTGGTGCCATCCGTCGCGGATCGCTCAGTACTTTCCTCATCTCCAAGATCAATGATTGGTACATCTTCAGCTCGAACGTCTCCAGTTGGATTCAGGTAAGTATCAAATGATCTACGGACTCGTTCAAGCATTTGCTGTGCAGCATCAGGCATTTGAGGCATCTGTGGCATCTGCGGCATTTGCGGAAACTGGGGTATCTGTGGAAATTGAGGTATCTGTGGGAAGTTGGGTAGAGACGGAAATTGAGGCATCTGCGGCATCCGAGGCCTTCCCGGAAACTGCGGCATTTGAAAGGGGAAAGAGGGCAGTTGACCTGGAAGCCATGTCTCTTCTGGCTCGTCCGGTTGGAAATAATATCGAGGCGAACGAAGCGGCGCTTGTGACGAGGGAGAGCTGACGCTTACGGGCGATCGCGACCCCGAATCTATGTCGGCGTCTAGTATCGCGTTGGCAGCTTCCTCACTCTCTGGCCCATTCAGAATGCGAAGCTCGTTGGTGTTGTAAGAGTCGCATGAGGCACATTGGTTGCCAAGCCAGTGGTACTTGACCGACGACTTGGCAGAGCAATCGTTGCACTGGACAACCGCTCGCGTATTTGCAAACTGCTCTGGCATGGGTTGGCCTTCAATTGCCTGCGTCAATTTCTGCCACTGCAGGTCCATGCACACGGCGCTCTTCTTGCATATGGGACATTTGTACGCAGTCTGCATGTAGAGGTTGTAGCAGCCTTTGTGCAGATAATGGCCACAGGGCATTGAGACAACAGCAGTAGATGAGGTGAAGAGGTGGTCACCGCAGATGGGGCAATCACCTTCAGTTGCGCGTGGCAGGCACTTGTGTGAGGTTGCATGGGAAATGGACATGCAGACGTTACAACTCTGAGCATTGTCGTCAGCGTGGCACAGACGGGCTCCAAACATGGGCTTACCTTGCAGTGATAAAAGTCCTTGCCCAGACCTTCCCCTCTTCGACAAATGCCACAGTCTGGGCAATGGTAGATTTTCTTTTTACTGTTGTTGTCCCACAACTTGCAAATGTCGCAATAGTAGCATGCAGCCTGCGTCTCGCAGTTTTTGCAGGTATCGCTCGCCTTCTGGGGCGTGCCACACGCCATGCACAGCATGTGCTGTGTCATCTTTCGGTTCAGATTGTGGTCCTCGACGGCATCGTGGCAATGTCGACACGTGTACCAACGGCGACACTCGAAGCATTGCACCTTGACATTGCGCTTGTAGTGCTGGCAGCCAAGGACAAACTCTCCCTCGGCAACATCGTCCTCGTCTTCCTCGGCCTGCTCTGCGCTGTGCTGGTGGTGCTGCGGTCGGTAGGTAGGGCGGGTGTCCCCTTCGCGCAGGTTGTACGCTGCATCGAGGTCGGCATCCGAGGTGGACGAGTACGGCGACGACGCATGTACTTCAGAGAAGAGAGACTCGCCTGAGGCGGGGGTGAAGGGGCGGTCGTGTGACACCAGGCTGGCTGGCGACGTCGGGCGCATGAAGTTGTACTTCTCCGTCATGAGGTTGTGCACCATGCGGGCGCGCTCCTGGTCCGAGATGTCGAGGGCCCTGATCTCGTGGATGCGCATGCGGAGATGGGCCATGCCATCGTCTGCAGGCAGCGCTTCCGATGCTGGGACAGCATTCTGGCTGGCGATGCTGGCGGGGCGCGGTGCCTGCGAGGGCTCGGCGTCTACTTGCAGGCGGCGGAACTGCTCGGCGAGAGGGTGGGATGGATTCGTGGACATTTCGACGAGGCGGTGTCGGTCATGGCGCTCCTCGTCTGTGGCAACAGCAGCGCTGTGAGGCGGCTGGGACAAGGACGAGAAGCGTCCAAACGGGCCGGCCGGGGCAGTGGGGCGCGCGGCTGGGTCTGCGTGGGCAATATTCTCCTGACGCGCGCCGGGCGTGGTGGCTCCAGGTGCAGTGTCGCGATGCGGGCGTGGGTTGGGCGGAGAGTCGTGATTGTCACATGCTAGAGGAGGCTCAGGCCGACGTCCGTTGTCACTCGCCTCGCTTGGCGCAACCACGCCTGAGAAGCGGCGAGCATGGCGCACGACGGGCTCGATGATAAAGGAAGAGAAGAGACTCATCGGGTCATGGCGTGTCTGGGCGGCGGCACAGCGGGAGGGAGAGAGGAGAGACGGAGCAGGGCGCGCCGGCCAGCAGGTCAAAAGACCCTCAGCCGCTGCTTGCACTGTGCTCGTGTGTACCAAGTGTCTGTGGCTAGAGCTGCTCACATGTCCGCGTACCGCCACAATTGCCACTGCTGCTACTGGTGCTGGTGCTGCTGGTGCTGCTGGCAGACGCTCTCGCCCGAACCTTAGTTGTCGTCGGAAGCTGCTGGCTCCGGTCCGAATCGTCTTCGCATCGCTCTCGTCGTGCCTCTGTGCTTACTGTGTGTACAGCCAACCCCAACTGCATCCGACCCTCCCACGAGCATCCGGCAGAAGCAAGCCCTCTTGGCCATGCCACGGGCGTCGCGCAGTCGTTACTGGAAACCCGGCCGGCCTACGTCAAACTGCCTCGCCCATGCCCACGACGTCTGGCACCGGTTCCGTTCGGCACCCACCAGGCCCCGGATCTTTGCTGCGAGTCTTGCCGTTTTGTCCGTGTACCGTAATGTACATGTATACCGTCTGCTTCCCACACACCAGGATATCGGTCGGCATAATGGCCCCGTCCGCAGCAGCTGATCCCGTGACCTGGGCGACGTGTGCGGCTGCGTCCATGGCTGGCCGCAGCAAGAGGCCACCAAGTGCAGTCAGCCAGCTCACAAAGCTGCCCTGCAGGATCGCCGTGCTGGGCTGAGCAGCAGAGCACGACTGGTTCCTGCTTTGGGCAGGTTCAATGGCAAGGTGTCGATTGCAGCAGAAATCCGTGGAATACACAGAGGGCGGTTGACGTTCAGTCGTCCAGGGCTAAGCTACACGGCCCGCTGCGGTGGCAAATCGCATCCTGGAACGCCTCCACCCCGACCGACCAAGACTCTGATCCTACAACACCCACCATTCCTCGTGGCAACTTCCGGAGAGGGCAGTTTGCACCAAAAAGTGTGGATTGTGGCGGATCTTTCGCGGTCGCAAAACGGACCGAAGCGAGCGGATTGCACAAGACGCCCCGCGGAAGCAGAAACCCCTAAGGGCACGGCTCCTGGTGGCTGACTCGGCTTGCTCTCAGTGGCGTGGATATGCCGTAAAAAGCAAGTCTCCAGGCATACGTCGATTGCAGCTGCGAAACCCGGGTATCAAAGACAGCCATTTCAGTCTCGACGCACACTGATCCCACGGTTCGACAGCGGCATGACGCATGCCCATATCAACTCGCCCACCCACCCTCTACCATCTCGCTCACGATACTGCCCCAACGAGTAATTCCACAAAAGAACCATGGATTGTCGTGCCCCTGCCGTGGGTTAGACGTTGGACGGCGCAGAACGTTGACAGCTCTCCTTTTTTTCTGTACGCTAGGCAATTGTACCAGTGGTGCTGCTCCCCACAACGCTACCTGCTACCCTGGATCACCATACCGCCCTTTCAATGTCACACAAGGAACTTTTTTGCACCTCGCGTCAGAGACAGCCAGTGTTCCATGGGCGCCCACGCGTCGAGATCTCTTGGGCCCGTCATGCAACCTTGGATATCGGGCCTGGCCCAGGCCGCACATGGAAGAACACTTGGTCACCGTCCAGACACTACGCAGTACTTGCATGACTCTTCTACGTGTAGGAAAGAGTCTCCCCACTTTTTGCCATGCATAGTTCCTCTGAAAAGGGCAAGTTTTTGCTCACTGTAGATGATAGTAACAAAACCGTGGTTGTGGTTGTTTACTACGCCTTGGCGTTTCGATCGTGACAAGGCCGTGCTGAATCTTCTCCTGAGTCGTGTATTCGGGAAACCTACCTACGCCATTTCCCTTCACAGTAATTTCTTCAATCTCGTCGATTCCGGGGGCCTTTGTCTGGCTCCCTACCTAAACTCTCTGCACCAAAAGGCACACTTGGAGCCATGGAAAAGGTCGGCTGCCGCACTTAGACCCGGGATAATGTCCGTATGGACCAGCATGGCTTATTTGGTCTCTTTCACTACTTGCACATGAATCGCAATTACCATGTGCGGACAGATTAGCCACATGACTATGGCTTCATTCTCCATTTTATTGACTACGATGTCATCCTTGTCAATAGCTTCAAGAGCCGGCTATAGAGGATATCCCGCATGATTAACACGATGGCTTCAGCCGTAGAGAAGCCGTGTCGGTCGTAGATTATACTCCGATATCGAGAACCACGATCACTCCACAAGCCGATGCAAGGTTCTTCGGAATCTGGACCCCGGGGGGAGAAAGCTCGATAATAGGCCGGAGCATTAGCACCGTAAGATACCGCTTCCTTACGTATCTAAAACAGTGCGAACCACACCATGCACGTCTCCGACACATTGGCACGCACTCCCCAACCTTATTGTGACTTGCGAGCTAACACAGCATCGATATACCGCTAGAATCCCCGACCGTCTGAGTCTGTGAAAGTTTGATTATGGCACTTGGCGCATGCATCCGGCAGATATTCCTGGACCGCATTGTGCCATATCGAACGTCTTTTGCTCTTGTACATGCTGGGATTTGGAAATGGAGAAGGATATCCTCATCGATATTGACATCGAAGACGGCATGGCATGGCTTACAATGGTGGCTGAATAGACATCCGGGTTCTCCATGTTCCGAAAACGGGAATAACTGAACTACTGAGTCAGTAAAGGAAACTTTGAGCTACCTTACCCCCCCTTGATGCACAGCGCTGCTGAGGAATTTAGCCTAGCTACACAGATGATTGGTGCCGTACACCCAAGGCATTTCACAGCGTCAATGGTCAGTTCCGACCCATGGCAATTTCCTCACTTTGTATGAGGCCGCCTCTTGGCATCAGAAGAGAAAAGGCTGAAGATGAAACCGCTAGGAAGAAATAAGCGAAAGATACGGGCAGGGACTAGCGAGGGCGGGTTGGCACCTAATCTCAACAGTCTTATCTACCCGAAATGACTTTATTCGGTACATTAGGTATATTCAACATTCAACCACTCGAGGCGGGAGGCCCTACGCTTGGATGGTCTCGACTGCTAAACTTACAAGCGAGCATATGTTCTAGACTGGCGATCAACTTGCCGAGGTTTTGAGAGAAAATCAGTGTTCTTTAGTTAGATACTTTGTCTGAGAGTGGGGAGATACCAACGTACATCCCTTTGTAACTAAACAACCATCATGACGGGAAAACACTCACTTTATCTCAACCATTCTCCTCTCAATTTACAAAACCACCACCACTATTATTCCCATCACTCTCAATACATCTGTCGTGTCCATATCCATCTAGCGATTCAATAGGATCGTCCAGTCCTATTCGCCAGCGGGTAAGTTTAGTCTGTGAACTGCTTCGTGTGTGATCGCCACACGGTCTGATACCTTCTGTATTAAATGCACCAATCAAGAGTGCTGATGTGATCTTAATCGCTGGGCTAGCTGGATAGAGGTAGGATGACAGGCTCAAGTCACATGACACCTGAGGTAAGCATCACGGTTATAATGACGGCTTACTGGCACATGCGTGTCCTGACCTGTACATTATACGGTTGATAGGGAATATATAGTGCAAGATAAAAAGGTAAGAGCAATCTATAGAAACACCGACGCCCACCAAAAAGTGCTCCGGCGCTACGAGAGAATCACTGAACGAGATTGCGTGCTGCTGGTTCAACTGTGGGCTGAGAAGATAGGCCTTGACGGCTTCCTCTTTATTCGACACGTCTCGACTATTACTAGTTCCGACTGTATCTATAGAGAGACGGCAAGTCATTGCCTACTTTCTCCTTCACTGCAGCAAGTACAGTGACCTCTAGAACTGCATCTTCGCCAAGCCATCTAGGCAAAACAGCCTTAGGATCATTCCAAGCACGGTATTTCCATTATCAAAGCTGTAAAGTATATAGAATAAACGCACATGTTTAAGTAAGCAGGAATAAGAGAAGAATAGACAATGCCGAGCCCTAGGGGGAGACTGGGTAAAACAGATGCAATAGACAAAGTAGCGCACCTTTATGTTGAACTAAGGGCATTTCTATTCACTATCTGCCTACAGAGACTACTGCTATATGTAATAAGAGAATCGAGAATTGTGTTACTAGATATACTAGCGAGTGTGTGCTCTGCAGCTCCAAAGCAAGATGTGCTGAGGTATGTAGGAAACAATTGTGCAGCACAGGATAAGCCTATAACACTGCATGTAATTAATAGCACCACTGCCTTGGTAAGTTTAGCGCTATAATGGAGATAGTAATTAAGGGGAAACAGCAGGTTTTCGGGGACACATAAGTTTCTGTAGAGGAATGGAGTAAGGCGATGCGGCACAGCATATGGCTTTTATGGCGTTGCCATGAGTTAATAGACAAATACAGTAAGAAAAATAAATAGGTATATTATATCAAGTCAGACAGTTTCTAGAAGCTCGCCATGGAATACGACTCAGATATACACCACACAGCCGTTATCATAGCACCCTCTGGAGTCAAGCCCCTCACAGCTGGTTCGTCCAACTCTCCACGATTCATACTTCTGCGAAGGTTCTGTCTCATTGCGGTTGCTTATGATAGATGTTCCGAATGGACCTGCCCTGCTGACATCACGTCAGCAAGACCAGTCATCGTGCCACAATTGCGAAGAAAAGGTATAGTGCTGTGTTTATAAAGTTGTGGCCTTTATCTCTTATCCGCTAATCCGCATTTCCACGTCGCCTTTGATTTGGCAGTTTGATCAGACTAGACCATTTTTTATACTTAACCTTTCTATCTTATAACTTCCTCATCGAATAGCTATGCGTGTTCTTCTTGCATTTCTTCCTTTGGCTGTTATTTGCGCAGCGGATCCAGTCCCAGTCGCAGGCGCAGTCCTAGGCCCAGACCCAGGCATATTCAAAGGCGGAACCCACAACGAACCACCAGACACGAATACTTTTGGAAGCTGGTGCGATATCGCCCATGATTACTGCAACCAGGGTGGAAACTGTAAATGGAGTTGTGGAGAAAATATGATTACAGGTCGTTGTGCACGGTAAGATATACAAATGGCAACAATGGTTCGCGCTAACCAGCAACATAGGAACGGATCTGAAATGTTCAGGAAGACTGGAAAAAAGTATTACTGCACTGGGCCAGCAAAGCATTAGGGAATCAGATCAACTTGCTCGTATGGGGGCGGGAGAGCCGCACAGCAAATTGCAATATCAGTATAGACTGCTATCTTCGCTTTGAATGGGGTATTCTAGCTCTTTTCTCACTACACGTTGCAAGAGTGCTTGAGTAATAGCAACAACTTGTACATAGTTTTCGAATATTTTATAGTAGCGTTTGTATTATCAATATACCACAGCGGGTTTTTGAAAGAATGCCCTACAAAGTATCAGTTTGTCACAGTCATGGCTCATAGGTAGCATAGGCACAAATACCGAGTCTGTTACTTTGGGCTATCAGGCAGGCCTCGTACAACGAATTCCGGAGTGTGGTTGACAAGGTAATAGCTCAAAGATTATATAGTATATAAAATATGTATAAGTAGAGATAATACAATCTCGTGAACACCTTTGAATAGTCTTTTCTACCTCGTTTGCACCTGCTTGAAGAATAGTGCTCAGCTACACTGATTGCTCAGGTACAAAGGGAAGTAGGTTAGAATACTTGCTGTTGGAAACTAGCCCGTTCTTTTTTGTTAAAAAAAACATAGCGTGTTGTCGGATGGATTTGGTGATGGGGCAGAGGTAGGATTTTCGGCGGATACCTGAATCAGCCTTTCTGCTGACGTTGTCTGGAAAAAAAAGAGAGTTTGAGATTATAACCCTGCTGGAACTTTGACAGAGCCGGGTGCCTTTTTACATCACGTGTTGAGATGTGGGAGATGCCTGGATGAGCTATGAGTCGATGCTATATCAGTCTCTGAAAAATTATGGGAGAAGGCTAATTAAAGAATTGAACTAACATTATACGGAGCATAGTGAGACTAAAGGAGGAATTGGCTCTACATTTGGTCATAACTAGCATTCATGTGAACATAGGTATCGTGGGGTCTTCTCATCGACAAGAGTGCAATGTTGTTGTTAGCTGGACTAAGTTCTGCAGTTCTCGTCGTGGTTTCGAGATGAAGATGCAGATGCCCATTGTAGTCATTTCCTAGTCACTTACCTAAAATTATAGTAATGTATCGGAATGGTACTGACACGTGATATCGACAGCTTGAATTCAGTACTGCATGGCAGCGGTTGGGCTAACCGCGCTATGACCACCTTCTCCACCAAAAAAGTTCGAATACTGTCGCGCGCCAACTTCAGCGCATCAACGCTGCGAGTCTTTCCTAGCCACTCTCCTCACCACGACATACTAGGATGGCGCAGCCTTTCTACTCGCCCGATACATCCGTTTCTTCGCACACGCTTTCCCTTGGCTCGGCCCCGCCGCCCCCAATGGAGCTTCAACCCGCCGCGGCGACTGCGCCCACGAGCCTGCTCAACAACCCGCTCGCCTTCTTGCAGCCTACCCCTCAGCTGAATGCATCGTTCATTGCAGCCGCAAAACAGTTTCTCGACCCTGTTGCTGCTGGGGTGAGCGAATCGCAGTCGAAGCGACAGCAAGAATTGCGCAAGAAGCGGAAGCGGGGCGGAGGCTATGACGATGACATCAATGTCTTACATCTGAAGAAGGTGCATGTGGATGGATTTGGGGTGGACCAGGTATTTGAGCAGACGCGCAAAATTGTCGAGGCGACGGCAGAAGAAATCGAGCTTTCGCTGCCAGAAGGAGATGGTGTTGTGCCGGAGATCGATGATGAAGAAGACGGAGAACTTGAAGACCCAGAGGAATACCATACCGAGTCCGACATTGGAGAGGAGGGCGTGGACTGGGAATTCGACGGCATAGACGACGACGAAGATGCGAAACCAGAAGATGACGAGTCGGATGACGAAGAGGTTGACATGGAAGATGGCGAAGAGGGCATATTTTCCGACGAAGCATCGGACGATGAACCCGCAGAAACCTACCAACCTGATCCACATGGCCTCAACGACGGCTTCTTCTCTATAGACGACTTCAACAAGCAAACCGACTTCCTTGAGCAGCAGGATCAGAGAGGAGAGGGTGTGGACAGCGATGACGAAGATATAAATTGGGAAGCCGACCCAATGGAAAGCGGTGGCGCCACGCTCAAGCCCAATGCCATGTCAGGAGACGCATCCGATGATGAATCCGATGAGGGTGGACCAACCTTTGGCAATGCAGACCTCAATGCACCCGAGGGCGACAGCGGCGATGAAGATGATCTCGAGGAGGGCGATTTGGATGGTCTTGATGCAGGCATGAACGCCAACAATGTCATGTACAAGGACTTCTTCGCACCCCCAGCGCAGAAAGCTGGAACGAACAAGAACAAAAAGAAGCGGGGGCGACCGAATCCCCACAACTTCCCAGAGAAGCAGGCAGAAGAAGAGGAAGAGATTGAGGAGGATGTAGAGGGTACCATGGCTAGGGTGCACAGAGACTTATTCGAAGACGACGACGACGTGGAAAGCGAGGACGACCTTTCAGATGTAGATCCTTCAGATCCCAAGTCGAGGCGGTCGACACACGAGCGCAGACAAGCCAAGATAGCAGAGGAGATAAGAAAACTAGAAGCAGCCAACGTTGCGAAGCGGCAATGGCAGATGTCTGGTGAGGCGCGCGCAGCCGATCGACCAGTTAACTCGCTTCTCGAAGAAAACCTGGAGTTTGAACGGGCAGGCAAACCCGTGCCAATTGTCACGCAAGAAACATCAGAAGACATCGAGGCGCTCATCAAGCGACGCATCCTAGCTGGAGAGTTTGACGAGATACACCGCCGACGACCAGACGACCTTGCCACGGGCCCTCGCCGCGGTCGTTTCGAGCTGGACGACACCAAGTCCGGCAAAGGCCTAGCCGAGATCTACGAGGAAGAGCACCTCCGACAGACAGACCCGAACTTTGTCGAGGCGAAAGACGAGAAGCTCAAAAAGGAGCACGACGAGATCGCCGCCCTCTGGAAAAGCGTCTCCACCAAGCTCTTTGAATACCGCCGTCGCCCCGCCAAAGTCATGATAGAAGACAAAACTAAGGATATATAAATTTTTTTTAACAATTGCTCGGACTTATCGACTTGGAATGCTAAGTATTATTCTCTCTCTCTCTCTCTTCTTTTTTTAAAAAAAATTCTCCTTCTCACTTCGACTAAATCGTCTACAGCTTATAGCTTCCCGCGCCCTTGGTAACCGCATCCTTGACCTCGTTGCCCTCGACGTCTGTCAGCGCGCCCTTGCGCCCGATGATCTGGACGCCGCCCTTCTTGAGGTCGCCGAGCAATTGTTTCTTGTCGCCTCTCTTCTTGGTGTCCTTGGGCTCAGCAGTGGTAGTTGGCTTGGGCTTGTTCAGACCGGCCTTCTTGGCCCTCTCCTTTGCGCGGCGCCGCCTCGACAGCTTCTCCTCGCGCGACATTTCTTCGCGGGCAACGGGCATGCCGCTCTTTGTGACGATTTCCGTCTTGCTCTGCGCATCGCCCGGCTTGTAGATTTCCTGCGGCGCAAGCATGCTTGCGGCGGCGACGTCGCCGCCAGCCGTGGGCCGTGCATCTTCCATTTCGATGGCGGGTGCATCGGTGCGGATCTCGAGGTTGGGTGCTGCGGGCTTGGGCTTGAAGTGCGAGGAGCTGAGCGAGTCTATCACACGGTGGAAAATATGTATAAAGAAAAATAACGTAACGCGGGCTACATGATGGTTAAACCAATCAATCAATCAATCCATCAATCTCATAATTTTTCATCGTCATCATCATGTTCATCGTGACAATCGTCTTCTCATCATTCAAGCATAGAGAGAGAGAGAAACAGAAGGGGGAAAAAAAAGAGAAAAAAAAAAGTCTACACATGCAATCACAACAGCACCATGGCAACGGCAATAGCGCCAGCGACAAAACCCGATACGCCAAGGGAAAACGCAGATACAAAACTAGCTTTACTACTCGGGTTCGCCTTGTCGCGGACGCCCGTCTGGCCACTCGCGGTGGCAGTGCATTGCTGGGTGCCACAGGCGAATCCACTTGGACAGCAGTTTCCACCAGCGTCGGCGGGACAGCTATACCAGGCGCTGGGGCAAGAGCCAGAGCCAGAGCCAGTAGTCGTAGTGGTGGGAGCGACGATGACGACGCCGTTTGAGCTGAGGACCGTGCCGGTGGGCAGGACGCACGAGGAACCGGTGGTCTGGCAGTCGCGGCCGACGCGGCAGCAGCCAGAGGGGTAGTAGGCGCTGCAGACGTAGAAGCCCTTGGGACAGACGTCAGCGGTTGAGGCTGGGATGGCGGTGGTGGTGGCGGAGCCGCTGGTCGGGCGCACGGGGGCGTCGGGCGCGCGCGTGCTGGTCGAGGGGTCGTCGCCTAGACATGAGGCGCCGGTTGCGCAGGTGCGGCCGTTCATGCAGCAGCCGCCGCCGAGGGAGGCCGGGCACGAGAACCAGCCTGTGGAGCATGTGTAGGCGGATTTGGACGAGGAGAGTGTTGGTGCGGGGGTGGTGCTTGAAGGAGGAGGAGGAGCCGCGGTTGATGTTGGAGGGGGAGGGGTGGCTGAAGAAGTAGAAGAAGTAGATGAAGAAGACGGAGGAGGAGGTTGGACGTATGTTGTTGATGTACTTTGCAAGATACCTGTGTCTGAGTTAGAATCTCCGCCTAAACTGATATCAATATCAATATCTTTAGACTTACACCCAACGCCCTGGCACTTGAACCCGGGCAGACAGCATCCACCGTTTGGCGCATCCGGACAACTTGTATATCCGCTGGCCTCGTCGCAGCTCGCGCTGCCCGCGCACGTCTGGCCCTTGGGACAGCACCCCACGTTGCCCGCATCCGAGCTGCCGGACGTCTTTATGCAGTTACTTCCGGTTCCGCAGCAGACGTCCGGCGCCCCAATCGCCTCGCAGCTGCTCGTTCCATCTGGGCATTTGAACTGGCGGCCCAGCAGCACATCTCGCACATGCATGCGCGCCAGCCAGTCGGATTGCGCTATGGGCCGCAAAGGCGACAACACGGCTTGCACTGTGAGATTGCTCCACGAGTCTGCGTCCCATCTGCGCGCTGGTTGTTGCTGTGAATCCGAGGCGAATATCCAGTTGTCGAGCATAAACATTTCCCCCTCGTCCAGGCTCATTTTCTTCACCCCAATCGGCTTCTCATACTGCAGTCTCTTTTGGAGGTCCAGGCCGCGCTTCACGCGTATCTCGTCCTCGGGAAAGTACTTTAGGTGCTTGGGGACATTGTGCGGCCATTGTTGCGGGTGCGATTCGGCTTCGGCGGCATTCACGGCGGGGGCTGCGCAGAGGGCAATGATGGCGGGCGGTAACGAGAGCAGGTGAGGCAGATGCATTGTTTCGCGGTCAGAGTGTGTTTGGTACAGATGCCCTAGAATATGGGAAGAAGCATGGTAGACTCGTCGAGGGGCGTGCTACGCGTGCGGTGTATGGTTGGAGGTGGCTGGTGGGACCGTTGCAGATGCGGAATTGGCGAGGCTGGTATGCGCTGGCGCCTCACCGCCAATAGCGACTCAAGGAGCATGGCCTTGCGCGAATAATACATTAGGATAGTGTGCTGCGGCCGACGGGTACTGTAGATCAGCATGGCGCGTGAAATTCGGTTGCGTGGAGGGGACACCGCTGCTAGACGTCATAGTGGTTTGGGGCCTGCATGTCTGTTGTTCCGCTGGTTCCGAATCGACTTTCCGCACCATGACGGAGCCTCGACCAAGTGCAAGGCCCTCTCGGACCCCCGAGTCAATCTGGCTCAAGTCTTTGACAAGGCTCGAGAACTAGGTGCTATTCATGGTACATTGTCAATCACATCACAATGTCTTGCAAGCTCATCATCAAACAATCATCTCATTGAACTCCGTAAACGATACCCATATCGGGAAACCATGAACATCATATCCCAGTGCTGAAAGCACCTTTTCATATGACCCCTTGGTCACTCCCACAGATCCCCATACATGTCGATTGCTGTACCCCCCATGTGTCGAGTACTCGGGCTGCCCGACCAGAAACTATGCCTGCAGACCCTTTCTGGCCTTGTGCTCGCTCATCCGCGCGTTCTTGAGCATAGCCACCCACACCAAGCAAGGAACAAGCGCACAAGTTCCGAAGATGACCATTACCTTTTGGGCGTCGGCAAAGGCGCGCACTACAGCCTCACGCTCGGTACTGCCCCATGCTGATCCCAGTTGAGCGTTGAGATCACCGTAAAGCTGAGCTACAGTGGCTGGCGACGCCTCGGGGAGATACTCTGCAATCTTTCGCGGCACAATCTGGGCCCACATGGTTGCGCTGATGGACTGACCAATGGCACCACCGACAGCAGTGATAACGTTGAGGAGTGCAATGCTGACGGCCAGGTCCTCGTGTGGCACCGCGATCATGATGGCGACTTGTTCGACATTGTAAAGCATCGCGCTCGCCATTGCGCCAAAGACTTCGATCAGGATAAGAACCGCAATGTTGCTGCCGGGCGTACGGAGATGGATTAGCAGGCCAGTCATGAGAAGCTGGGCAGGGACTGCGACGATGGCTCCCCACTTGTACGTATCAGTGTACTTCATCGCAAAACTAACGATGATGGCCCAGGTGCACGAGACAATGTTGAAGATGTTGGTGATGTAGCCTGCCTTTGAAACCGAAAGCTGGAAGACGACCTGGAGGTAGGATGAGTACATCATGCGGTAGGAGCTGTTCGCCCGAGTCAGTATAGTCCTGTGTTGAGGCAGACGATGCAGCTTACTAGAAGGCGATCCATGAATTGCCACCGAGCAAGCAGGCGGCGATAACGCTACGGTTCTTCATGAGGTAGAATGGGAAGAACGACTTGCGGGCGTAGAAGCGCTCCCAGACCACAAAGAGACCCAGGAGGATGGCGCCAAAGACAATCATGCAGATGACCATGGGTGAAGCGAAGCGATCCGTCTGGTATGCTGCAAGTGGGAACGGGAGAAGGAGAAGCGAGAAACCGCCGCAGACGAGAAAGAGTCCAACCACTAGAGTTGTTAGCACAGTCAACACATCCTTGAACAGGACAAGTACTCACCGTCAAACTCGATGCACCAGTGCTTGATGCTCTCCGTCAGGCTCCTACCGCTCTTCTCGGGCTTGAGAACGCCAAGTTTCTTCGCGCGCCTACCCATGAGCCAGAAGACAGCCCAGAAGGAGAGCGAGAAGGCCGGAGTCAGGATGGTGAATGTTCCATAGCCCCAGCGCCAGCCACCGTGCTTGAGGAAGGTCTCACCCAACTTGGGTCCAGCCTAAGTGAGGAAAGAGTATTAGCATGTGCGTTGGACAATGCAGCAATCAAAGACTTACAAAAGTATTGACGACATAGGGTAGTCCCGTGAAACCCATCCAGATGAGGCGATTCTTCATGAGCGAGGTATCGGCGATGAAGATGTTGAAGACGTAATCGACACCATTCATACCAGTCCAGTAGATGACCTGAGCAGCGCAGAAGGTCTGCACATTCTGGCAGATGGCCATGAGAATCAACGCTAGAAGACATGTTAGCCCCAGTGTACCGAGAGAAAAGGGGCCGGACTGAGAAGTACATACAGATGATGATGCAGGCAAGGCAGACCAAGAATCCCTGGGGGCGTCCGACGAGATCAATGAACTTGGCCAGTGGCAGCTTGGAGACACCCCCGACGATGTTGGCCACGATATCAGTCATGGCAGTCAGACCGTGCTTCATGAAGGTCGACGTGACGTAGGGCTTCCAAGTGAAATTCGCCTGCTGCTGGAGGGAGTTGATGAAGGAGATGAGCATGATGCTACAGCAGTATGTCAGTACCTGTCTCAGTGGCGATGTCGAGTTGGAAAAGGAGTACTTACGCGCCATAGGCAACAATCAGCCAGTTCTTGGTCCAGACGACAGTGACAGCCTCCATCTCAGCGGGGCCCTTGGGCTGCTCCATGTCGATCTTGTTGGGACCGGTGGCGGTATGCATGGTTGTCTCGCTGCCATATCTGCCAGAGCTACTCTGTTTCGCACTGCCACCGATGGCGTCGTCGATGTTGGCGAACTCGCGCTGCTCACCCAGCCTCATACCGGCCAGTTTCTCCATTTGCGGTGCGTATCCGCTCGCCATAGTTAGCTGTTCACTTAAGCAGCGAGTGCTTGAGCTTCTGTGGTGGAAGCAAGTGGTGGAAGCAAGTGGTGGAAGCAAGTGGTGGAAGCAAGTGGTGGAAGCAAAGTACTGGATGATATGTACCTTTTGATCACAGTAGCTGTGAGTAGCTGTGAGTAGCTGCGAGTAGCTGTGAGTAGCTGCGAGTAGCTGCGAGTAGCTGTGAGTAGCCGTGAGTAGCTGTGAGTAGCCGTGAGTAGCTGTGAGTAGCTGTAAGTAGCTGTGAGTAGCCGTGAGCAGAGTAAAGGTCGAAGCAGGACACGCAGTTGAAATAGCTTTGTGAGGTGTGGATCCCGCAGTGGAGCGCGCCTTGCTAGCGGCCGTGAAATAGAAAAGAAAGAAGCAGCAGCGGCGGCGGCAGCGGCGCGGGCTAGCCTACAAACGCCCACTCCCTCTCTCTCTCTCGCTGCCCGTGTCAACAGTGAACGGTGAGAAGCCTTACCCCAGGGCGTTCACCGAGCCAAGCCAAACACATGACGGGCTCCTTCCCCCCTCCCCCCCCCCTTTCACGCTCACATGGCACACGGTGCTGGGACCAAAGGATAACGGCTACCCCGCTTTTGGCCCCTCCCCCCCCCCTTGAGGTACGCTCACGTCCGTAGCCGTGTGTGTGTGTATGTGTACTTCGATATTACCCAAGTATTTTTGATAGGAAAAAAAAAGAAAAAGAAAAAAGTGGTTCTACAGACCTTGTGCACATGAGTCGAAGGTCTTGCCAGTCAGTCAGTCAGTCAGTCAGTCAGTCAGTCAGTCAGTCAGTCTGTCTTCGAGTACATCGAGTCTGGCATGTGCTAGGAAATAACACAAGTACAGTACTATCTGCCAGACAAGACAGGCGCAAAGCAAAGCAAAGCAAAAAAAAAGTTCTCGAACGGGTATGCACTCGAGAAAGAAAGACAAACTCCCAAAACAAAACAAAAAAAAACAAAAAACACTCGACAACGTCCAGTAACATGGTTGACCGGAAAAAATATGCCATGGGTCCTCGAGTTGGGCGCTCGAGTCTTACTCTACCAAGTAACACAAACATCTGCTGTGCGCGTGGCTACATGTTACAAAAGGACCACCACTTATCCCAGACAGTCGGAACCCCCTTACCATCAACCACCGTCTGGCGCCCCAAAAAAAATTCTCATCAGGACAATGTTGATAATACCCCTCATACTGTTGAATGCGAACGCCTCACTGCCATGCCCCAAGAATCTCAGCACCATCATCGCCAACGCCAAAAGCCCCCCCCCTTCTCAACCATGTCCTCAGACAATTAAACTACGAAGTCTGTAGACTGACTTGTTCCACACCCCTCGATACCTCTTCCTCCGCTGTCTTGGGCGCAGGTCCATCTTGTCCCTTCTCAGCACCCTCGACACCACCGGCAGCTTTCTTCGCCTTCTTGCGCTCTTTCTCGGCCTTCTTAGCTGCAGCCTTCTTGGCCTTTTCTTCCTTTGCCTTGCGGGCCTCTTCACCTCCAAACTGCTCTCGCCATTCCTGCTCCTTTTCGGGCTTAATCTGGCTGAACAGGTAACCGGCGGTACCAATCTTGTGGCCGACGGGTAGTGAACGTGCTCCCCAAGTGTCCGGAATAATGAGGAACTCTGCGTTGAGCTGTGAAAGGATAGAATCAGTTGTATCAGGCCTGTCGCACAGTTAGCCATGTGTCCCATAGTGTGAGTACTGCAATCTCGTGTAGCCGTGTACAAAGGCCTCGTGCCACATTGAATGGCCTATGTCTGTGTGTGCACAGTGAACGCGTCGACAATGACAAACAGACCGCACAGACAGCTGGCAAGAATTAGACTTACATGTATGGCTGAATCAAACTGGCGAGAAGATGGATCTGACTCAGCGCCAGCCCAACGACAGCAGCACATCGCTCTGGCTGCTCAGTGGCCAGCTTGTTGTCCAGGCGGTTGTCTTGCAGAAGCAAGTTACCCAAGCTCGAGACGTGTAACACAGTGGCCAGACCAGCACGGATCTTGACATCCTCCAGCTCTGCAATGTACGTCTTCAACAGGTCATTGACCTTCTTCTTGTGCTCGGTAAAGTAGGCGTCGTCGAACTTGGTGTAATCAGGAACAACCGAATCATAAATCTTTGCGTTGTTGACAAACTTGATGACGCGGTTGATGAAGTTGCCAAGGTTCTTGAGAAGTTCGTTGTTGTTGGCAGCAATGAAGCCGTCCCATTCAAACTCGGTGTCGCCGGTTTCGGGGCGGTGCGAGAGGAGGTAGTAGCGCCACACATCGGATGGGATGCCAGTCTCCTTGGCGTTGTTGCCGAATACACCAATGTTTCTCGACTTTGAGAACTTGCCCTTTTCGTAGTTCAAGTACTCGGTTGTCGAGATGGTGTTGAGCATGGTCCACTTGTCCTTGGTGCCAATCTGCGAGCAGGGGAAAACGACCGTGTGGAAGGGCACGTTGTCCTTGCCCATGAACTGGTAGAGCTTGACTTGCTCGGGGTTATGCCACCACTGCTTCCAGTCCTCGGTGTAGGTTGCTGTGATGGACACGTAACCTATGCAGGCGTCAAACCACACATACATGACCTTGTCTTCGTAACCCTAGTTTGGTCAGTGCGAGTCGTCAGTCTTGTAGAATCCATCGTACCTCGAGCGGTACCGCGGTACCCCACTTCAAGTCTCGTGTGATACCACGCGGCCGCAAACCCTCCTTGAGCCAGGACGAAGTAATCTGAACACCATTCGAACTCCAATTGCCCTCTTTGCTCGCCTTCTTGAACCACTCCTCCTCCAGCGGCTGCAGCTTGTCCAGGCAGAGGTATACGTGCTTGGTCTCGCGCGGAACCGGTGTTGCGCCGTCGAGCTTGCATCGTGGGTTCTTCAGTTCAAGAGGGTCGAGGAGATGTCCGCACTTGTCACATTGGTCACCACGTGCGTCGTCGTATGCGCACAGCGGACATGTTCCCTCGACGAATCGATCGGCAAGGAAGCTCTTGTGCGTCTCACAGTAAGGTTGTGTTGTAGTTTGCTCCTCGAGGTAACCGTTCTTGTACAGCTTTGTGAAGATGTCTTGTGCAATGTCCGTCTGCTGCTGTGTGGGCGTGCGTCCAAAGTGGTCAAACGAGATGTTGAACCACTTGTAGACCTCGCTATGCAGCGCATAGTACTTGTCGCAAAGCTCTTTTGGTGTCACCTTCTCCTCGATGGCCTTGGTCTCTGTGGCTGTTCCATACTCGTCTGTACCGCAAATGTATAGCGTGTTGTATCCTCTTGCGCGCGAGAAGCGGGCAAAGACATCGGCGGAGAGAACGGATCCGACAATGTTGCCCAGATGTGGGACGTTGTTGACATAGGGAAGGGCGCTGGTGATGAGCACATTGCGCTCGCCCTCGACGGGGAGAATCTTCTTGGCTGGCTCAGCCATGGGAGGTGGTGTACTTGGAGAAGGTGTCAGTGTGAACTTGTGCTGGGAGTGAAGACAACGCCTGTTCGTACTGCTGTGTGGCTACCAAGGAAATACTGGACTAGACGCAGGAAGATGCGAGTCGGTTCAGCGCGCCGGTTTCAGATTGTATGCGCTTTGGCCGTGTTTCGTTTGAGTTTCTGAGTCAAGCGTGAACTATCGGAAGCCCGATGTGTGGTGTAGCTGCCCCGCCAATCCAAACCTAACCCCGCCGGCCACGCGAACGCCACAGAAAAAGCCCGAGCCCCAAGTAAGTCCGCTCTCCGCTAGGCGAGGGTCGATGAAGCGAGATCAGAGTACGAAGACAACTGCTGATCCCAGGCCCCTCCACGCTGCGTAGACTGCCTTGCAGATGTGAAAAGGCATTGTGTCGACAGACTTCACACAAGGCCACCCCAACTGTCTCTGAACCCACCCTGGCTGCATTCCGTGGATAGTACATGCAGTAGAGCAAATCTTGCACCACGACTATCATTTGCAAGGAACCTGTTTAGATGCAGATACAAGCAACCTCCCTGTCCGTTGATTAACCACACCGCCATGGCCCAACCACACTCGGACACCTCGGACCCCTTCGACACTCTCCTGACCCTGGAAGACACGCTGTACACAGCCGCCTACGACCTGGGTGTCTCGGACGGGGCGCACGCGGGGCGCATTGAAGGGCGAATCTTTGGCCTCGAGAAAGGCTTCGAAAAGTTTGCTGCATTGGGAGAGCTGCATGGACGAAGCGTAGTATGGGGCTCGAGGCTTCCCAGCAGCAGTGAAGGGGCCAAAGCAGAGAAGGAGGAAGATCCAGTGCATGGAGAAATAACAGGAACCGCGAAGATACCGCCGCTACCCAAGAATGAAAGACTCAAGAACAATACTACATTGCTGCATTCTCTGACGGATCCCGAGACTTTTGATACCGCAAACACCGAGGAAGCGGTAGCCGACTTTGACGATCGGTTGAAGCGTGCTGGAGCCAAGGCCAAGGTAATCGAGCGTATCGTTGGAGAGGCGGATGTTGCTGCGTCTTCTTCAAAGTCACCAGAGGGTTCGCCGGCGGGAGCAAAGACCAAGGGCCCGGTGCGTGTCACGGGACAGGCAAAGAAGGGCAGCGGGAACAAGGGCGACGGCAGCATGGAGGATTTCGCAGGGTCAAAGCTGCTGATATGAAGTCTTGACCGCCGCAGCACATATCAAGGGTCGACGGTGCATCCGCATCCGCAGCATGGCTGGACCGATAGGCTGAGAAAGAGAATCCGTGGGGCCGCTGCCGCCCAGACCGCCACATGGCGGCGCCATCCGCACGTCGTACCATGCGCCTCACACCCGAGCGAGAGTATCGAGTAGCGAGTATCGAGTATCGAGGATCCAAGGAAAGGGCGAGGGACTCTGGCGTGTGGAAACAAAAATAACGAGTCAAGCCCAGCTGGCTTCGAATTACTTGGCTATCCTAGAAGGCACCAGGGCGACTACCCACGTCTTAGCCCACACTACACCGTGCTAATGACATACGAGATGAAAAAAGAAGTTAAAAAAGGGTCCATCGTAACTAAAAGGATATTGAGAAAGGTGTCAAATCTGAAGTGTGCCGCAAGTCTCTCGCTTTCCCCCCTGTTTTCGTGCTAGACGATGCACTGGTATCAAAAAATTCCAAGCCACCCTCTTCCCCCACGCCTCTCCTTCACACCCACGCCTCAGATGGCATCCAGCATGGGGACGGGCATGCGTGACTCCATGCGTGGTGGCGGAGGGCCCATGGACTTGCCCCCGTTACTGTCGACGCGACTATGGTTCGGGAAATCCTAGTACCCGTTCATCGTCATGCGCTGGCTGCTCCTGCTGAGCTCACGGTCCGCGGCGGGTGAAATGGGGCGCGACGAGTGGCCGCCGTGGGCGCTGCTCTCCTTGAGTGCAAGCAGCTGCTTGGCACGGAAGGATTCGTAGTGGATTTGTGCCGTCGTCTCGATCAGGTCTTGCAGGTGCGTGCGTGTGAGGAAGTTGCGGAGGTAGACGAATTCGCAGTGGTTCTCGTCCTCGACTGCGGCGGCGTGTTAGCACGTGTTGTCCAGATAACTGCAGCATCCCTCACCATTGATGATTCCCCACTTGTTCTGGCGGCCGCGGACGTTTTTGCCGTTAACAACAACCGTCCTCTCCGAGCCCACAACGGCAAAGGGCAAGAGCTCCTATCTGCGTGTCAGTCGTTGCCCAGCCCCCCTCGAAACTCGCTCGTGTGCCCCAAACATACCTTGATGGCCTGCTTTGCCTGCACTTCCTCGCTGTCGTCCTCCTCGTTGTCGTACGGGTACATGCGCAGGTTGTGGAACTGGAACTCCTCCTTTATCCGGTGCTTGAACTCGGCACGCTCCTCCAGCGTCAGGCTGTCGCTCTTGGCAATGACGGGCACCACGTTGACAAACTCGCTCAGCTTCTTGAGCACGACAATGTCAATGGGCTTGAGCGCGTGGCCCGAGGGCTGGATGAAGAACAGGCAGCAGTGGATGCGCGTGTCCTGAAGGTAGCGCTCACGCTGGGCCGTGAGCTCCTTGCGCAGGTAGGCGCTGTGCTGGTCCTTGATGTACTTGACAATGGGGTCCCAGCAGCGCTCGTTGTTGATCAGGTCGCCGTAGCCGGGCGTGTCGACAATGTTGAGGCGCAGACGCACGCCGTTTTCCTCGATGATGTGTGAGACGGGCGAGATGGTCGTCGTGCTGCGCACCTCCTCGTCGGGCTGGAAGCGGCCCTTGCTGTCCATGAGGTGCGAGGCAAAGAGCGTGTTGATGAGCGTCGACTTGCCCAAGCCCGTCTGGCCTGAGTGATACGCCTGTCAGCTGCGAGTCTTTGGGGGAGGGGGCCGTGGGCATGCCGAGCTTACCGACGCAGATGACATTGAACTGGAAGCCCCTCTTGATCGATTTGCGCTCGATCTGCTTGGTGATGCTGTCGAAACCGACATAGCTGTCGGGGAAGATGGGCTGCGACTGGTTCTGGTACGCGGCAGCCATTGTGGGCGGTGTCGGCCTCGGCGGCAGATGGGTGGGCAGGAAGAGATGGGGGGGCTTGGTTTGGGGTGGGTGAGGGAGAGTAGCAGGAGGTAGCGTGGTTCGGCTTGGGGGAGGAGTAAATAGTCAGGGTCGCTGCGCTGGCGACTTTGTCGCCGAGAGATGCAGGCGCGGGAAAGGGGTCGGCCTGGGAAGCGAAAGCGCGCTAGTGGGAGGGCGGTAAGGCGCGACTGCACGCTCGGACCGTGTGGCCGCGAGGGCAGACGGCGACGGTGCGCCGCCAATTTGCAACTCCATCGTCGCCCGCCCGCCCGACATCGCCCATTGCCCGTTGCCCGTTGCCAAATGGCCCTCGCCGCCCGCCCCCTCCCGCCCTTGTGGCACGCCCTGCTGCCCGCCCTCAATCCTGCTCCCGTGCGCCCGCTCTGGAATGCGCCGCTGCTGCAGCGCCTCGCCCTGCCCTCGCTGTCGCTGCCCGCACTCCCCTCGCTCGCCGATATCTGGGATGGCATCCTCAATGCGGTGCCCAAGAAGAAGACGTCATACCGCAAGAAGCGCCAACGCTTCATGGCCGGCAAGGGACTCAAGGACATTACATCGCTGAACCGCTGCTCGGCATGCGGCCGGGTCAAGCGCCTGCACATATTATGCCCGTACTGCGTCGATGGTAAGTGGTGGTGGCTGCTCGCGACATGGACACTGGCACACAGCTGACAGCCGCCGCCAGCAATCAAAACCAACATCTTTGGCCAGCTCAATTGGGCCATCCGTCGACCCACCGATAAGCAGGCCAAGCAATGGGCACGTGAAAGGCGACAAGAGGCCCAGAGAATGCGCACCGTGGCGCCCGATCCACGCAAGGAAAAGGAAGAGCAGATTCTCAAGCAGAATGGCTGGAAAAGATGATGGCCATGGCGATGATGATGTATGCAGCCTGCGCATGAGCGTGCAATGGGCACCGAGGATTCTTGTACATTGAAAATGTAACAACACATGGCATTAGACTGGCGGCGTACGACATACACGAGACACACATATGAAGATCGACCAAGCGATCCGCGGTCACCGCGCACCAAGACTCTATTATACCCCCGCCCGTCCAAGACGTTGCAGACGAACATGGTGTCTTAGCAGTATACGCCTCCGCAATGCAAACTACTACTTCCTCTCGCTGATTCCGAGCCCACTCTCTACCCGCGATGGCTGACTTACAGTGCTTTCTCTTCTCGAAGCACCGCCCTTGCCCTCTGCCGCCTCGCGCTCGAGAAAGTCCTGCCATAGCTCAGCCAGCGACTCCTTGTTACTCGAGCTGCTGGCCATGAGCATGGGGTCGTTTACTGCCGAGCCTAGTGACGGCGTCGACGGCGTTCGCCGGAAAGGTGAAAGCGGGATGCGGAGGTTGGCCGCGCTGGTTGCTGTGCCTGGACGCGCGAGACCCGCCTGTTCTTTTTGCTCTGCAATCCACGTCAGGTTATCTCGAGTCAGTCGTCAGGAGAAAAAAAAACTGACCATCTGTCCATCCTAATAGAGCAGAAATCAATTGCAGCGCCTCAAACTTCTTGGGGTCGCTACGGTCTATGCTCAGAAAATGCAAAAAGTAATTCGTGATGATTTGCCGGTCGACATTGTCCTCTGGCCTCCCCTTCTTCAAGATGCGCAGCGCTTTGGTGAGATGCTCGTTCAGCGTGACTGCCTCGTGCCGCAGCTTGCCAATGAGCAGGTTCTTCTCTTTGACTTCCTTTTCAAAGGGCAGCGCTCGCTCAAGCTCTTTTTGCGTCGACTCGAGTGTTGCTTTGGCGCTATTTGCAGCAGATTCTGCCGCCTGCACCTGTTTGCGGAGCTCGTTGATCTGCGATTCGTACGTCTCGACAGACTTTTTGAGCTCGGCTTTTCGCACTGCAGCCTGTCAGACGGCAAACGCGGGGCTTGACATGAGCAGCACTTACAGTTTTGCACCTCCTGCAGCGCCTTTTGCAGGCCTTCTACAGCCTGGCTGTTGGTGTCTCTGTCCCTAGCAGCCTTTTCATACTCGTCTCTCATCGACTCGAGCTGCTCTCGTAGTTCCGCCTCCTTCTCGGCAATGTTCTCGCGTAATGATCGCTCGTTCATGGCCAGCACCTCCCAGTCCTGCATGGCCTGTTTTGCATTCTCAAATTCCTCCTTGGCATATGCCTCGCGAGAGATGAGCTCATCGCGCTCTTTGATCCAGTTTTGTTGCGACAGTGTGGCCCGGCTGCGCAGCGTTTCAATCTCTGATGCCTGTGCGTCCTTTTCTTGCCGTAGCTTTGCAAGCTCTTCTGTAAGGGTGTTGTTATGTTCCTGTAGTTCGCGGTTCTGTTCTTCGAGCTCGGCGACTTGCGACTCGAACTCTTCAATGCGGGCCTGCGACTTGTCAGCGGCCTCTACAAATAATTGCTGCGACACAGCAACCGCGGCGGGCACTGACGGCATCAGCCTTGAGTCGGTCACCCAGACTTGTCTTGATCGTGTTGACCCTGCCGAGCAGGTTCTTGTACTGCGTCTCAAAGTGCTCCTTGCCCTCGTTCGCCTCGTCCAGCTCCTCTCTCAAGCTTCGAATCTCCTCCTCGTAGTGGGCCTCTGATCCGTCGGCTGCGCCCGTGCCCTGCTTGCTCTGGAAGCCCTCCAGACTCTTGCGCAGCTCCGTGACTTCATGGCGTAGCGCATCGCGCTCCTTTGCTATCGCATCGAGGCGGGCGCTGGTGTCTGAGGTAGGCGGCGGGGATGGAGAGAGGCCTTGATGCGAGCGTGAGCGTGCTAGTCCCAGAGCAATGGCAGAAGAAATGCTGTGGTGTGGAGTACCGTTTGTGTGTATCGTCGGGGACAGCGGCGGCTGCTCGTCGTCTACATCGTCGGCGTCTGGGTCTGCAGCATGGGCGGCGGGCTTCTGCGTTATGTCGTCTTAGTACCAATTTACACGCAGGCATCCAAGAGGCCAAGCATACATGCTGCTCCTCCTCGTGCTCCTCCTCGGAATCGTCTTCATGGTCGTCTGCCGCCGTCTTTGCGTGGCCGCCATTTGCTTTTCCGGCCTCGTCCGCCTTGTTCGCATTGGCGGCCGCCTTCTTCTTGTTCTTCTTCTTCTGCGACTTAGATGCGGTTCCTGTGCCCGCCCGTCAGCCTGTCGCTCCACGTTGCCTCACCACCACTCGCGACTGGGATGCGGAGTTGACCAGCACCTCCGAGAGCTGCAGCCTCACCTACCACTTTGTTGAACCGGATCCGACGTGGCTGGCGCAGACATTTTGGGAGACGCGGTATGCAATCGCTACCTCATCAAGAAGATTAATCCCTGGGACCTCGGAGAGAACAGATAAGCCGCGTTACCAGGAAGCATTCGTTGGATGTCTTGACTTGGCAATTCGTGTCCCGTTCTATGCTTTGCTTCGGCCCGTGTGGCGGTACGTCACTAGCCACACTTCACCTACCATTCCCACGGCACCCGCCAAACTTTCTCCTCTTTTGCCCTCAGCTCATGCTTATTCCCCGTCCTCCATCTGCAGCTTGACACATCGACGTCTTGACTCTGCGATAACAAGCCCATCCATTGCGCTTCTCCTTTTCACACGGCTTTCTGATCCCACACAACCCACAGACCAAGCTGCACGCGCGTTCGCGGGGTAAATGAGGGCAAGGGCATTGAAACATACAGGATTCGGCATCAGATATTAGCCCGGCCCGTCGACGCCTGAGAAGATGAAGTACTATAAGCCTCTCTTCTTTTCAGCAGCCACCGTCATCTACGCTTCGTTTGCCTTTCGCGTCCTCCGCATAGGGCTGCTTCCAAGAATGATACACCAGAAGCGAGAAGCAAGAAAACACTAAAGACACTTTAAGTTCAGGACGCACTAAGCTATTTTTCTTGGTCCATGAAATCACGGAGTCATGTGGATATGAAGTCTCAACGTCAGATTCCACAGCGTCGGCATAATCGCTCTTTATGAAGTATCGAATATATTAATCAAATACGCCTTGTTGAAACACGGCTTACACACCCAGCCTCGAAGAACCTCCTACACAATATATATACTTTGCACGCACAAAGACCGATACGGAAGCAACGAGATTGTTTTACCGACTAGGGAACTCAGCACTGTTCAGGTTTATACTACCAAATTGTCAAAAAGAGAATACTACAATCTATTGCAGAGATATGCTTTCAATGCAGGAAACGAACAATGCAAGGCACTTCACGAGGATTATTTATCACTACAAAGCACTTGTAAGTGGCGATACATGGCAGGAAGCAACTTGATTGGTTCGATAGGATATGACGGAACGAGAAAGGCAACATCTGAAAGACGCGTACACAGGCCGCGTACAGTCTGCTGGCTACTCGATTAGTAAATCTCTCAAACGCTACGTTTCCGGTACCCCCACAGATCTGAGCCTTGATCACAAATATGTTGACAACAACAAGTTCTTTTTTCCTGTCGGCACGTGTACCGTCAGTTGAACCCTGACGTTGCCGCAACCTACTCGGTTCCCCGCGTTGGGGCCGTTCCGGCAACTACCCTCGCAGATTATGACAACCCTGTACTCAGGGAACTCATCTGTCCGAATATATGCCGTCCCGAGTACATATGCAACGGATATCACGATACACAAGAGTGTGAGTTCTTAGCTAAATAAGAAAAAGATCGACTTGCTGCTCTCGTCCTTTCCGTCCGGCTTATCTAGTTTTCTTGATCATTGAGCAATTGTTGCATAGAGCGCGTGGCATACATAAAGGCACACAATAGATAACCATTATTTTCATTAGAAACATGGCGACTACTAATACTGCTGCGAGCGACAATGCATTCAATCAAAATGGCAGCAATGGCACAAACGGCACGTCTTACTCCAACGGCACATCCCACACAAATGGAGCATCTTACGCAAACGGTACAAAATCAAAAACCCTTCCGATTGTGATAGCAGGGGGCGGCTGCGTCGGTCTTTTCCTGGCTCTTCTTCTGGCTGAATCCAACATCCCCAACAAAGTAATCGTCATTGAGCCCGAGCAGCCCGATCCAAACTCTACACGAGCAATGGCTCATCAGCCACCCACTTATCCCATCTTCTCAAAAGTCCAAGGTTTGCTACCAGAATTACTCGAGACGGGAAGTTTGGCCTCTGGGTTGTGCTTTAGAACCAGCGTGCAGAACGGGAGCAAGGTGATTGCCGGAAAAACATTTGATAATTCAGGAGAGGGCATGAAGGGAAAGGGCCAGTTATTATTGGCACAGGGCAAGTTTCAGCAAGTGTTAATGAAGAGACTGGCTGCGTTGGGCGAGAAAGCAGACGTTCGGCTTGGATTGAGCGTTACTGAACTGCGGCCGTCCCCGACCAGTGTCGATGTCAAGACGACACCTACGCCTTCGTCGTCGCGCTTCGGAATCGAATGGATAGAAGCAGCCTATCTCATCGACGCATCTGGCGCGCACTCCACCATCCGAAAGCAGCTTGACATCAAACTCGAGGGCGAAACCCTTGCCGCCCAACTCGTAGCCACGGATCTCTACTTCGACTTCCACGCCCATGGCTTCCACGACGCGAACTTCATCATTGATCCCCAGAACTACGGCCTCATTGCCCGCATCAACCACGCGACAGAATCCAAGCCCGCCCTGTGGCGTGTCTCGTATGGCGTGCCTCTCAGCGCAACGGAAGAGGACATCAAAAAGGAAGTTGACGTAAAACTCTGCGGCATGCTCCCCAACAAAGGCAGAAATGCAAACGGAGACATTGCCTATGAAGTCACCCAAATCGCACCATATAAAGCACAGCAACGGCTGGCCCAGACCCTGTACCACGTCTCGTCGCACGCATGTCTCATCGGCGACGCCGCACACCTCACGAACCCGTACGCAGGCCTCGGTCTCGCCTCGGGCATGGCGGACGCGGCGTCCCTCGCGCAAGTGCTTGTCCACATCCTAACGGGCAGTGCGCTAAACGGTGAGAAGCTGCTGAAAGCGTGGTCCGAGGCGCGCCGCCAGCACTTCCTAGCCGTCATCGACAAGCCATCTCGTATGGCGTACCAGCGCGTCAAGACGGACGTGAGCACTGAGGAAAAGATACTCGAGCTCATGACAAAAGACCCGCTTGTGGCGGCGCTCAAAAGCGGTATGCCGGTTCAGCCCCCGAGTCTGGAGACCAGCGTCGAGGACTTGGAGGGTTGGTAGTGGTGATGTGCTTGGCATGTTGAGAGAGATACATGTGATATTGTTGCTGTGATGGCAGAGTGTACATACAAATATACACATTTCACAGAATAATGCTTGCTGGCTATTCGCTTCGAGTTTGAACTGGGAAACTACTTGTTAGCTCTCGTCTGTGGTGTACGTGAGCTCTAGATAATCAAAATCCCGGCATTTTCCTAGCTCTTTGTGTGTCTGCATTGCCTGACGTGAACTTTTCCTTCTTCTTCTTCTTCTTCTTCTTCTTGTTCTACCACCACTGCAAAATTCATCATTACATTAAACATTAAGCTATTTTTCTTTCTTCTTTTTCCTCGGTTCCAGTCGCAAGCGGCATCAAGCCGCGTACCAATCCTCTGTATGGCAAACGCCTCTGGGCAGAACCTCATCTTCAAGCACTGAATCCATAAACTGCGACCAAAGCTCCGTATGCTTGGTGCAATCCTGCAGCGCTTTTGCACGGCGGTCTTTCAGCGGCACAGGCGGGGGTTCCGCCGACGGCGCAGAATGCCTAATCATTTTCCTGTAGGCTAGCTGCGCCAGCGCCGCGGCATCCTGGTCGGGTGTGAAGTACTCGAGGTAATCTTGAAGCTGGGCCACGGGATTACTTTCGGGATAGCCCTCGACGCGGCCGGTTGAATGCTGGCTCCACAAGCACAGCACAGTGTGGAGCTGCATGCCCTGCACAACGCGGCGCCACTCGTAGTAGATCTGAGGGCGCTGCAGCAGCGATTGAATGACGTTGCTGTGGATCCAGTGCGAAGCCGTGAGGCCCTGTTTCTCCATGTGGTGCGCGAGATGGTTGCAGCGCTCAGTCCAGTCGGAACTGAAATGGCAGCAGAAGCCACAGCCCCAGCCTGTGCGCGTCATGCGGCTCCGTTTGGCGGATAGGACGTGGGATTTCCGGTTCCATTTGGTGGAGCCGCTGCAGGGCGCGCAGCGATGCGACTGCACGTGGTGGCCTGTAAAGTCTTTTTCGAGAAAGTATATGGCGGGACAGAGATCGCATTGGAACATCTCCGGACGCTCTTGATACGTTTCTTCGTGGCGCTTCCAGTCGGCCTTTTCGACAAAGGGCTTCTTGCAGCTGGTGCAGAAGTACCTGTGCTCTTTACTGCATGTCCTGGGTTGCTTGTTCGCTGAAACACAGGTCTTGAAGTAATCCCTCTCTTGCGCAGCTGGTTTCTTGGCTGCTCGTCGCTTTGCAGGCACGGAACTAGGTTCTTCGGCTGGACTCGACATGTTCGACGACTGGGACAAAGATCTGCGGCTCAGTAGCTGCTTTGTCTGCAAAACATGTTGATCTGGGAATCCATTGGATGCGCGGGACCAGCCCGAAGCAGACGATGCGACCGAGTCGCGCAGTGATGTTTCTGAAAACCCGCTGTTGCGTGAAGAACGGAAGCTTGGGGTTGCTGATGAGAAACTCGAGACGGAAAGGTGGTGCGAGTGAGCATAAGGTTGAATCGTGATATCTACGCTTGGCCAATAGCTGGAGTAACCGTCATTATCGCCTATACCAGGGTTAGCTCTATAGATATCCATACACGTCAAGGGTCCCTGTTCATAGTATACCTGCTGAACTCTGCTCGTAACCATGCATTTGAAGTGGCTGATTGTCCAAGTGCAGCCATCTAGGCTGCATATCCCCGAACGAATTACCTTCACGGCCATTCGCCATATCAAACGTGTATTGCGAGCCAGCGCTGAAGTCTTGGTAGCTGTTCATTATATAAGTACAGCAAGTCGGAGGCGGACCAAAAGAAAAGAAAACAATTATGTCGATGTGTGGATGAAAATTTTAAACACTAGAAAGCGGCCTACATCATTCCAAAGGACCTGCATCGCTGGTCATATAGTCGCACGCAGGAAATCGTCTCTGAGGCTGAGAAGCCACCCTACGGATGGATTTGCGCTGTCAGAGCTGTGGCTGCGCAGTTCACCTGAAACGCGGCTAACACCGATGACATCTGCTCTGCGGGCAGCCCGTGTTTCGAAACGATCCACCCCGAGGTTTTGCCGTCGTGTTGATTGGTCGATGAGGCTGTACGATACGGAAACATGCATACTTGCATGCTCGCCGCAGACGCGGTGGTTCTCACCGGTTGGGATGGAGTTAGGCGATGCGATTACGATTGGTGGCGGAACAGAAGGCTGAAACGCAACCAGCGAAAAGGCAGCCATCGCCAAGGATCGGATCTGGGCTTATATAAGCATAGCATCAGGTGAACCTCTGCAGTTCTAGTCGCCACGTCTTCATTCATCCATTTGCCTAGAGCGGCAGGGTACACCTGCGGTACGCTCAGTGCTGTTACTCAGTTGGAGAGAAGACCTGAAAAACTTTAGGCGTCCTGGATCCAAGGTCAAGTCTCGACCCTTGAAGCATCAGTAGCCTTGGGGGTGGAACATCAATCCGATCGTGCATACGAGGACCACATTGGCAATTCTCTTCAGCCACCTCCGAATTCTTCTTAACCCACGCCGGTGATGTCCAGTTTTATGCCCAGCTCGATCTTCTTGCTCATCCCCAGTCACTCCCGGATGATGACTCATGTGCTGTGATACTTCTTCAGGGTTATTGTTCTCCGATGGAGCATCCAAGGACTCGTCTTCGAACCGATCATTACTTGACTCGTTCTCCGGGGTGCAATGAGCGCCATCAAAGTCGGCAAAGTAATCCGTGTGCAAATCAAAAGAAGCTTCAGAAGGGGTCCGTATGGATGCCATCGTGGAAAAGGAGGAGCTGCATGAGTATGTCATTTTGATGGTGTCTGTGTAGTAACCAGATAGGCTGAGGTGCGGTTTGAGTTGGGAGTTCCAGTGCGGATGGAGATGGGTTGGGGTTGTGATTTCAAATCGGAGTCGAGGGGGTTTTGTGTTGAATTCTTTTCGTGCTCGCTAGGAATGCACCAGTGAATGTGCTGGTAAATCAGAGCTGCCACTGTGCCACGACATCAACACATGCTGCAAATTACTCCAATAAGCCATGGGTTCGTGCTCGCTAGGTTCTCCAATGAAGGGCTCCATTGGATAAGGCTTGACGGTCACTGGAGACCCACAAACTGTGGCTCATGCTATGAGGCTTGCATCATTGGTCCCAAACCAAACACTCATCAAACTCGACACCAGCCAGCTGGTGGTCATGTTCCCAATTTTGGTGCAGTTGAAAGCATTTTAAGCACTGCTAAGTATTTCAAGGCTGAAGTGATGCAGATTCAAGCGCAACATTCGATACCCAAAACTCACTGCAGCAGGAAATACGTTTTGGCTTTCAGCGAGCCAGGGGGGATTTTCCCGTTAATGCAGGGCAGAAGATAGGGCAACGCTTTTGAGTGTTTCGAAAGACCATCTTCATTCTGCCTTTATGATTAACATAGTGCGCCCAAGCCAGGTTTTGGATTTTCTGGTTTGCTCTCATTACCTTTCAATTTGCAAAGGCCAATCAATCCCAGGTCGGCTTATCGTAACTCGGACGAATTGATGGGGGGTTGAATCTGCTATTTGAGCTTGTAATCGTCAATGCTCAAATTTTATAGGCCTCGGGAACTGGCAAGAGATCGTCAAGTCGATTGCCTATGGCGGCCATTTGCTCGTCCCATGCATGGATACGATTCTGCAGGAAAGCAGTCCAGTTCCGAATTTCTTGTAACTGTAGACCCACCAGAGCGGAGCGAAGCGCTGATTGAGTCTCGTCTGACAGCTCGGAGTGTTCAAAGTTCAGACTCTTGATCGCACCATGATGCACCTTGATTTCGATACCAACATTGTCTACAAGACCAAAGGTCAAGCTAAAAGCTGGGGTCTGTGCCCACATCCATTCTTCAGTCTATGGTTATCAGTATCAAGATTGAAGAATTGCACAGAGTATAACGCACCTGCAGTTCATCGTAACCCTTACGGATATCTGGGATCTCCAAAAAATCGTCACCAACGGTTTGTACTATGCTCGGCGTTCCCAGTTCGGCATACATAAGGGCAAACTCTTCTTGTAGGCGGGACTGGAATGCCTTGACGTCCAAACCGATGTTTGACACAGGAGAACTGACGCTTTCCACGCCCTGGGCTCGGATAAAGTTCTTGGCTGGAGACCGCAGGTAATGCGGTATGATGTGCAGATTCGGAGAGCTCAGCAGAGTTGTTGCATGATGAAGAGCACGCTGGCGTGTGAGCTTGTACGCTGAACCGGAGACCTTGAGAGGGCGAGGGAGTATTCCATCCTGTATAGTATATGGTGTACGATGGGTATCATTGGGGTCAGACGCTCGTCTCTCATTGCCTTGATCGAGAACAATATCATGTCGTTCGTTGACTCTGGCGCGTTCGACGCCCAGCTTGCGCAATGCGCGAACAACCATTTCGGCATGCTTGTCGCGTGTAAAGTCAGCGCGCGGGCATGTTATGCTCCAATTGAGGTTGCCTTCATCGTGGAAAACAGTGCCTCCTCCTGAGCGGCGGCGGACAAGCTGGACGGTACCAATGCCTGGGGGCTCGCTATCCTTGAGGTCGTGTGCTCCACGAGCAGCATTGAGAATACCCAGGTTCACCTCAGACCATGGGTTCTGGTTACGTCCAATGACAACGCAAGGCCGGTTCACATACAGAAAGAGAATCGTGCTGTCAGCAGGGCTCCTGCGCAGGATGTGGTCCTCGATGGAGAGGTTGAGGTACGGGTCATTGCTGGTCGAGACGTAGCTTTGCAGCTTGTTGGCTGGGTCGGCGAGTGTTTCGGTGAAGGTCGAGGAGAAGGCACGGCGCGTGATAGAGCATTGTTGGAAGCCATGAAGGGTGCGGTGAGGTTGAAGATGAAGAAGCGTATGGCTGGCAGAAGTTGCTGATACCTTGGCGGTCGCGATTGAGAAGAAGCCTCGGCAAGGCATAGGCATGAGACGAGCTGGACGCACGTGTTTGGATAGAATGTTGTGGGCGTAACAAACAGCGTTGCCCCTCGACGGCGCCATGATCATGGTGGGGGAGTACGATGTGGAACGGAGAGATGTGAAGGGAGTCCCCGCCGCCGGATGCCCGAACAACCAGCACTTGGAAGGCTGAATTTTGCAGCTCCAATTAGCAAGTTTCAGAGACGCCCTGCTCAATTATCGTCGCGCTTCCGAAGCCGTGGCCTCTGAATATTCATGTGTTTCCGTCAATAGGTCGCAGCCTTGGCAGACTAACCCTGAGGTCAGAGCTTCTTGTTGCCAGCCAGCCTGCCGCTCCCGTTGCCTCTTCCTCCTCCTCCTCCTCCGCAATCGCCACCACAGCCAACATCAATTACATGGCACGCGTGCATGGCCACATTCCATCCTTTGGAAATGGCTCTGATGTTGCATACGCGTCCCAGGAATCGTGAAGCCGCCCTGCGTTGTCGCCGACGCGTATGAGCTGGCATGCCCATTGCATTGCCATCATCGCATTGTACTGTAGCAATCAAGGCTAACACTTGCGCAGTCCAACCTTACACTGAAGATCGGGCGTTTCACACTCGTTGTCCTCGCACAGCGTTTGTGGGTTCAGCAGCTCGGGTCCCCCCTCTCATTTTCCGATGATTAGCTGCTGAACAAAGGCAACACCCAAGAACAACGCCTTGCGGACATCGGCCGGCTGCAGTTGCTTTGCAACTGTCGGACGCCTGGTTCGTAATGCCATGAGTCTCTCTGGCGTCCTTACCCTGTCGGTGCATCCTCTTCTTTTCTGTCTCTTTGGGCAGTTGAGCATAGACGGGCGTACGGCATAGGTGGGATCGACGTTCTTTTTCAACTCATACATGATTCATATCCTCGTGCTACAATGTGTCGCCCTCCGAAATTCGTATCTTGATATGGTTGCCCAACATGCATGCAAAAACGCCATACACCAACATCATGGAAGCACTCAAATCTGGTCTTCCTAGTGCGTTGGAATGGGCTAGCCAAAGCAATAACCAAAAGTCCTATCAGCAACCTAACGAGGTATGTTGAGAGCATAGACTGCAGGCTTTATCTTCATTCACGATGATACAAAGCTCCATGTCAGCAGCAACAGGGATGCAAATATGTGGTACCGGTCCAAAAGGTCCACTATCAACAGTTTGCAGCAGGAGAAATAACCAGCCACTGGTCACTTTTTGCTTCCTATACCATACCAAAAATGGGATACTGCCCTGCAAGCGCGGCAGCCACTTTCATCATAAGCCATCACCTCATCTCCTTCGCAGCTTTGCAACCCTTCACATTTGACAGCTTATAAATGTTCACAGCTTATCTGATCGGTAGCATCGAATTTCGATTTATAGTGGTGCACAACCCTTCCTGTTGGGCTGCAAGGACTTGCGTGTCTAGGACGGACAAATACGATACCGGATCTCGCACGAAAATACTACCTGTGGCTGTTCATTCTTCGGACTTCGGCACCGGCACCGTACCCAGTTGGCAGACTACGAGTCACTTCTCGAGCAGCTGACACGATGGTTTCCACAAATGGGCGCGTATGGCGGCAGTGGCCTCCCCATGTGCGCCAATTATTCATGAAACCACACTTTAGGACTCCAAGATTCCAGGATGCGCCGTTGCGGGATGCTGCGGGACATCGGAGATGCGCAGGTCATCATCTTTTGCAGCCACACGCGCTCCGGCAGACGGATGGCTAAAGGCGTTGCGGACCGGATAACCGTCCCCACGCTTTCAATACAACCTTTCAGGCTGAAGAACCCCACACCGCCATTCGCTTAGCCCCACGCGGTGCGGCTCATTGTATTGCGAACCTTATATGAACTGTCAAGGGGCCGGTAAGCGGTCCTTGAAAGCCCCTCGTTCTTCTTTGTCGATATACACGCTGACGGGACCTCTGTTTTCGAGGTGTTTTCAGCCTTGCGTTCACCTGCGTCGTACCAGAAAAGTACTGACGAGCTTCGTTCGCTTTTAATGGTTCCAATTGATCAACCGCAAGTTTTGCTCTCGCGTTGTAGGCTGAATTTGCAGAAAAGTTGAGAGATCTGTCCTTGTCACACGTCCTCACCCTGCATCGTTTCTCACGATCCACTTGTCTTCTACAGTGTCACTGAACACAGTAAGCTATGCCTCCTACGCCACATCGACCCTTACAATTTATGTAACCAACCAGCCCTTTGCGGTAAAACAAGAACACCGTGGGCGCCATAGACACCAACCATGCCTGCACCATCAGCCATGCTACGGCCCACAGAGAATGGCGAGCGGTACGAGCTCACCAGTCCTACGGAAATGCCCAAAGCTGGTGCATTTCTTTGGAACCAGCGCATGATGATACAGGTTACTTGCCGTGGATTTGCGACCGCTCAGTTTATGCAGCCTGAGCCCGCCAAGTACGCCTACGCACCAAATCTTGAAGCCAAGACCTTTATGCAACCGGAGCAGAACTACTACGCTCATCATCCAGGCCGCTTCGTCTATATCAAAGATGAGGAAAGCGGCGAGCTTTTTGCGGCACCTTACGAGCCAGTAAGAGCAAAGCCTGATCGATTCACTTTTGATGTTGGCAAAAGCGACATCAGGTGGACTGTAGAGAAACTTGGCATTCGCGTTGAGATGGTCTTTCTTCTTCCTACAGATCACGTTGCTGAGTTATGGAGTATCAAAGTCACAAACATATCCGACCGTAAACGGAAGATTAGTGTCTACCCCTATTTTCCTTTTGGCTACATGTCCTGGATGAACCAAGAAGCAGAGTGGAATGAGAAGGTTGGAGGCGTTGTCGGAAGCTGCAAGACGCCGTATCAGAAAGCCGAAGACTACCCCAAAACAAAGTACCTCAAGGACAAGACGTATTTCCTATGCGAGACGAAACCAGTGGCCTGGGAAGCCAGACAAGAGTCTTTTGAGGGTGAGGGAGGATTACAATCACCGTCATCGATAATGGGTTCGCAGCTTACAAACAGCGATGCTCGTTACGAGACGCCAACTGCAGCCGTACAGTACCGGCCTGAACTAGACAAGGGCGAGAGCAAAGATTACAGGTTTCTGTTTGGTCCCGCGTACGACGAAGCCGAGATCATCGACATGCGCAGCAAGTACCTCAGTAAGACGGCCTTTGCCCAAGCCACGAAAGACTACGAAGACTATATCCAACGAGGTAGCGGCTGCCTCCGCCTAGAGACCCCGGACAAGAGCCTTGATAACCTAGTGAACAACTGGTTGCCACGTCAATTATACTACCACGGTGATGTGAACCGTCTTACAACTGATCCTCAGACCCGAAACTATCTGCAAGACAATATGGGAATGAGCTTCATAAAGCCAGAAGTTGCTCGAGCAGCCATTCTCACTGCAGTCGGCCAACAAGAAAAGAATGGTTCCATGCCGGATGGCATCCTGCTGGCCAAGGGCGCGGTCCTCAAATACATCAACCAAATCCCCCACACTGACCACTGTGTATGGCTTCCTATCGCTCTCGAAATCTACTTGAGCGAGACGGGAGACTACGAGGTTCTGGATGAAAAGGTCACAAGCATGTATGGCGATACATATACTGTTTTCGAACGTTTCAGCCGCGCTATGGATTGGCTTCTCTCTTCCAACGCACGCGATAACCGTGGCCTATCATATATCGCGCAAGGTGACTGGTGCGATCCCATGAACATGGTTGGTCCCAAAGGTGTCGGTGTATCTGGCTGGCTCACTGTAGCTACTGCTTATGCCGTGAACCTCTGGGCACAAGTCTGTGAGGACGCTGGCAAACCTGACATGGCAAAGAAGTACCGCACTGGGGCAGAACAGGTGAACAAGTCAGCCAATGAGCATCTCTGGGACGGCGACTGGTACGCACGCGGAATCACTGACGACAATGTCACGTTTGGCATCAAGGACGACAAAGAAGGACGTATCTGGCTGAACCCTCAAGCGTGGTCTATTCTTGGTGGTGCTGCCTCACAAGAGCAGATTGCAAAAATGCTACCACAGATTGACGAGCAGCTGGCGACACCCTACGGCGTGGTCATGTTTGGTCCTCCATTCACTGCCATGCGCGAAGACGTTGGCCGAGTGACGCAAAAGTATCCCGGACAGGGCGAGAACGGATCTGTATACAACCACGCCGCCGCTTTCTACGCTTGGGCACTCTACACCATCGGCGATGTCGACCGTGCATACACTACATTACGCGCTATGATCCCTGGTCCCGATGAAGAGGACTTAATCCGCCGCGGCCAGCTCCCCATCTTCATCCCCAACTACTACCGTGGCGGATACGGAATCAAGCATCTGGACCGTACCGCAGGACGCTCAAGTCAGCTTTTCAACACCGGTACTGTCAGCTGGGCATACAGATGTTTCATCGAGGGCCTATGTGGCCTGCGAGGTGTCAAAGACGGACTAAAGGTTGACCCGAAAATGCCAAGTGATTGGGATGACATGAAAGTCCGAAGAGAATTCCGAGGCGCGGTATTCGACGTAGAAATCAAGAGAGGAGGTTCAGAAAGCGTCAAAGTGACCGTTGACGGTAGTGGTATTACTGGAAATGTCATCACAAATGTTGAAAAGGGCCGCACGTACAAGGTACAAGTCGATGTTCCGAGGGCAGTCAAGACCAAACATGGGGTTTTGACGAATGGCCACTCGAGCAACGGGGCCAGATAGATACAAGGAAATAGAATGAGATTTGTTAGACTTTCGACAAGATGACTTGGACTGGCTATATGAATTGCTCATTACACTAACAGTATCAAGCGCTCACTCGTCTACTGACCGCGAAAAAAACATGCTGATGCTATTTTCCCACGCATGATCAGCAACTTCCTCAATGCTCAATCCCTTTAGCCCCGCAACCACAAGGGCTACTTTTTCGATATTACAGCTCTCATTTCTCTCCTTGACCATATCTCCGAGGCTGAACTTGTCCTTTTTCTTGCTTCCCCACGGCCACTTTGTCGCATTCTGCAGGTACGCCTTTGCAACCTCACTCGAGGGTTGGATTTCGCCCCACGGCGCATCCGTCTCAATGTGCAGCTTTACCAGCGGTATGCACCTAATCATTTCCAAGCTGTCTCTGTCTCTAAACGCAAAATTGTTGACGCTCACGTGCAGACCCATGGACACCAACTTTTGCATCTGCGCCGTGGTGCCCACAAAAGAATGCACCAGGCCAGACTGCAACGGGAGCTGGTCCCAGTACGACTCGAGGATCGAGATGAAATCGTCAAAGGCAGCGCGGCAGTGCAGGAAGAGCGGTAGTTTCCAGCCCGCACGCACAAGCATGTCGAGCTGGCGTTTGAAAACGCGGATCTGAGCTTCCTTGGGCGCCGCAGCCAGCTTGTCGTAGTCCAAGCCTAGTTCGCCAAATGCAGCCAGGAGCTGTGGTTCTTGCTGCATTACCTGTGAAATCGATTGGAGGAGCGCTTCATAGTATGGCTCGCCACCGTCATCCGCTTCAGCGGCGTGGTACGGATGCACGCCAATCGTGATCCGGCATTGCTTAGGGCGCCGGCGAGCAATGGCAATGTTGACTGGCACGTCGGAAGCATACATGCCGGTTAACATTACTTTGTCCACTCCCGCAACAGCGGCGCGGTCCAGCACGGCGTCGAAGTCTGGGTCGTGGTACTGCTTGCCACGGTAGGTTCCTGCGAACTCTTTGGCGGTTGCCGTCACGGCGACCTGCAGGATATATGAGCCATTTCTTGTTTTAGTGCTGACTTGTGCTGCTGGAGAGTAGAGGAGGAGATGATGGGGGAATTGGTGCATACGTCTGCATATCGGAGTTTTCGAACGGGCGCAGACGGTGCCTGGGTGGGGAATCCATCAAGGAGCGCATAAGCGGACATTGTTTTTTTATGGGAACAACTGCTGGAAAAGGTCTAGATGGGTTTGGATGTAGGCTGTGGTGTTTTAACCTATAGAATGCTGCACTGGTGGGTATCATTCGGAAGAAACTAAGTTGGGAATAGACTAGTGTGATGTGTAAGCAAGTGGGGTCCTGAATGGAAGTATCTTTTGAGTAAGTCTTGGGAGTTTCTAGTTGTTATTGAAAATTTGTTAGAGACCAGAATTGGCTGGTTATGGCTCATTTATTCCGGCAAAATCAACATATATTCAAGTAGTATACCTTGCTAAAACTCGAGCCGACTCGATCTTGACACGCATAAGATCTTCTTTTCGATGAGTATGTGTGTAGCAAAGTCTTGGATGAGACGAAAGAATCAATGGAGAGACACGTTGAGTGTTGCATCTGTTAAAAAAATTGAATATATAATCTAGGGTTACATTGATCAAATCTATCTCAAAATACAGGAAACCATATCAGTGCGGTCGCCTCAGCCAGGAATACAAAGTACAACTCTGAGATCTCAGGGTCAGTACTATACCCTCAAATCGATCAGAAGTGGTCTATCAAGGATTGATGTAAATGAGAGCACTTAGTGCCAGAGCCTTCTTATCTACCGAGCATCTAGAATGTTTGTGCACGCGCTGCGGTCAAGCAAAGATCAGCAGAGGCCAGTAAAGCAGCGCGGAGAAATCTGTGCAGAGGAATTATCACAAGCCGATATGGGTAAAGCGAGCTCCTTCATGATATGATATGAGTATTGCTAAGCCTAAATATTCTGGAAAAAATTACTCGAGTTGGTCGTCGTAATCGTGTTCAGCCGTTGGCTTGACCACCAACCCCCATCCCCTGCGCCAGACAGATACAAAGCCAACGTCCCAATACTTGCAAAGCAAAGATTTTGGTATCTGCCAAAACTCGCTGCGCACAGAGGATCTCGAAAAATCTCCTTATTCGTATAACTTTGGAATTACTATGGGTCACTTCAGCGACGGAGGCACCTCCGCGCTCGACACGGTATCATTGTTAGATTCCTTACAGCGCTTTGGGTTCTTTTTAATTCAAAAAGATAGCCTGTTTCGAGAGCTCAATCTATATTAAAATCATTGGCTTCTACGAATTGGCACGGTTGAGGAACTATCGCAGGCATACCGAGTTTGTGTTCATTCAGGAAGTTTAAATACAGGTACAGGTGCAGATGTGGGCTTCGTGTCCAACATCAGCTACGAACCTAGGTATAAGCTGCGCTTGATATTTCCCCTGAGATGTTGTTGAGGGGTTTACGCTTCTCTTACCAAGACACAGTTTAGTTTGGGTAGATCGTAATCCAAAAACACGTTTGAGTCAGTGTAGTCAGTGCTGTATCGATTTTATGTATCCCAATTTAGGTACCATGGTATATATTTCTGATGCGTTTAGACTTCTCCTACGTTATCTGAGTCTGTATCTTCACAATTAGATAAGTTTAGCAGTGTCTGCAGCGTCACCTAGCTGTCAAATGAACCCTGCAGTATAGGAAAAGAGCAGAAAATGAGGTATTCACTAAACGCGTTAGTACCAGTAGTCCTAGATTTGCATGATGGCTATATGATCATGAGATATTTATAGGCGCAGCGGCGATAGCGGCCGCTTGATTAGAGAGGCCGCTTCCCGCTTCCCTTGTTTCAACAAAGATGATATCAGTGACGGCCTAGCCGCTGATCTTTTCGATTTAGCACCGCCTTTAACATCATACAAGACACTCTTTATATATAAATTCAATCTTGATTCCTAGCTCCTTATGGGCTCTCTCCTTATAGCTTTGCTCTAGCTTCTGTAGCTGTTAATGCTAACCCTATCGCTGAAAAATACAAGACTCTAGAAGTGCCGAGCGAGCCTTAGAGTTTTTGATGGAGCATACTTTATAATGCATACGAGAAAGTATACATGATTGCTGGAGCAAAATATAGTATGCTTTTGCAACCTCTCACAACCTTTATCACAGCTATTTGGGGGGGAGCTGATCAAGTAGGCTGAGGTCAATAATTGCGTCAGCAATCTATTTTGTTCATTCTCTTTTATTAAAGTAAATCCATTGGCACAATTATTTGCTTGTTAGGTGCGTGAAGCAGTACTTCCGATCAACCTTAAAAAAGAATCCCCTAGTACATGCTATGGGGTAGACTACTTTACTAGTCTTGGAAACGCTTGTATTCTTTGAAAATCTGTTGATCCTTGATAATAACACTGAGGCAGCTAAGTTCTCTCATTTCAGATCCTTGCTTGAATTTGTTTGAAGTAACAGCCTCTTACGACCCCCACGAATTTACAGTATTGACACCACCGCTCCTAGATATTTCCAAGCTATTGGGTTGATCTGGACTCTTTGATCTGATATAGCCATCGGCATTGCTACTTTGGATATGAGCAAAGCCTTTTCCCTAACGGTAACTCATAACCTAGTCGATTTTCCAGGCAAGTTTCAACCCCACTAGTGGAATCGCGCTTTGCATCCTGCTGTTGAGTAGGTCATACACGAGGACTAATTTTGTTCATTCGGACACTCCCCGTTTCGCAAATATCCGGGGAAGCTGTCATTCCCCAAATACAGCTAAGATGTCAGCAGCTAGTTATGTAAAATATGATATCCCATGAGTTCTGGTTTTGCAAAAATTCGAAGTTTACATTTCGGGAAGATTTCATTTATCGATCATCTCCTGCACGAGAAGAACGACAGAAGCATAGACTTGATTTTGGATCCACTTGTTGGCGAGCTTCCGCACGTTGTCTGGAAGTGAATTGTGAAGCGGCGAACTATGTATAGCGGAGAAGGGAAAGCGTGGCATTCTGGGCAATGCTTATTCTAAGGCCGGCCTTCCCTGGATAGTCATATATAATAGCATTTGGATTTCGATCAGATGGAACTTGAGAGGTCTGGACAATGCTGTTTCCGTGTTTGTGATGGAGCGTGAGGCGTGAACCCATGCTATGAACTTTTCGCGCAAGGTAGAGAGCATAGGATGCGGAATGCAATAATTTCAGGAGACATTGCCAGTGCTGGTTATGTTGCTCAAGCTTTGGACGCAGCATATCTTGAGCGCGGCGTCACGCTACATAGTATGAGCTCCCCTTGTACGGCTATCACTAGAACGATGGAGGGCTTTGGGTGCTTGTCTGAGAATCAGACACTCTCCAATAACACGTAGTGCATGACAAGCTGACATGTGGGTCGGGAAACTGAGTCAATAAAAGCCCTGAATATTGCCTTGTTGTCTTTGGTCGCCCACGGCCTTCCCGCGGGGCCGAGCTGCGGCATATCTCTCGGAGTACTGCCGAGAGCAGCACTCTGCTATGGAAGATCGTGTGGATGAAACTTCATCACAACTCCGAGCGTGACAGTGGCAGAGTACTACCAGAGAGCTCGGGTATTCGCTATGGTCTCCTTCAAAGGCTGATATGTTGCATTGCGACCAGTGTCTTCGGACTGTTTCTACTAACCAGTGTGAATCCTGGTTTTGCGCCGTGCGTTAGACTCTGACTCGATCCCGTGTTGCTGACTGCCACCCGCTATTATTATCATTCCTTCCGCTTCTACCATTTGGGTACGGAGGTGACTGTCAAAAGTTGTTGCTAACAGAGACTCATTAAGTACTATCGAAAATACTGCTGAAGACTATAAATTATACTAAGTTTGTAAATCAAAGTCTTTAATGGAGTAATTTAGAGAAGGTATTAGCTATTAAAGGTTATACTTATAGTAATACGCTAACTCTATTTAGTTTTATTACTTACCTGCTGAAATATGAATAGAAAGTGTATTAAGAGAATTTGGTCCGATAGATCCGCGCCTTAGCAAGGACTTTTGACAGTCACCTCCGTATTGACCTGCAAAATGGCTGGATTGAATTAACGGAGACCTGATTTGGAAAGCCTTGGACATCGCCCTTCCCGTATACATTGATTACGACGCGGAAGAGCACTATGTACTGTTCATATCCATTATACAGTAGCTATCAGGGGTCAGAATATGACGGAATTCTCACTGACCCCCACAGACTAGCTTCCGCCACCTCCGCTCCATGTGAAGCTAATTGACGTGGGCGTTCATTAACAGAACTAAATTTAGTGCTCTCTCATGCCTCTATCTTCAAATCATTCTACCGAGAGATCATTGTGTATACCTAACCGAAGCATGGTACGAAGGGCGGAAGAAAAACCCCAGGATCGCCAGGCGGGACCGAGACAAGCTTGTCAGCACCCGCGTCGGCAACCACATTAAACAAATCCAAGACGTACTCACACTAACGGTGCGGGCAATCCTGCCTGCCTACTAAACTACACTAAAGCTAATCCTATATAGAGAAGCAGGGCTCCCCTTAGCGGATGAAGCACTTGACGAGGCCAAGTAGCGTTTCGCCCTAAGACTACAGACCGTTGACATAGGACACCCACTAGTCCGCCAAATTAAGATCCTAAAGATAGGATGAGGCTAGGGAGCTGGTAGACGCTAATAACCCTGCACTAAAGTATAGAGACTTAGACAACTCCTGCTAGCAGCACTAAGAACCGTCCTTAAAGCACTATATTTCTTAACAGACTATAGAACTAACCTAACTAAAGGCTAGACGAAAGAGGCGGCCACCTAGGAGTTTAAATAATAGTGGGCGGCACTTGATAGAACATACCTTATAGTCTTCTTAGACAGATTAGAATAAAGGGTTAAAGGAATAAAGAGAGTGACATACAGGTACGCTATATACTAAGCGCAAACGCTACTAGCGCACGGTAAAGGATCCCTACATAACTAATCTTATATATTTAACGCTAAGGTAGTGAGAGCTGCGAGAGCCCTCAAACACGCAGCTTAGGTCTCCGCACTAGGAAACAACATCTATATGTATATTAACAGCACGTTAGTAATTTAGTGCCTAAGAGGAGATGCCTTAGCAACTTCGCAATAGGCCTTCCTAGCTTGCTAGGACGTGATAGCCTAGCTCCTACAAGTACGGATATAGTAGGCCCCTAGCCACACTAGGGTTAAGGGCAACAAGATGGCAGACCGCCTCGCCAACTAAGAAGCTAAACGCCTATCGCTGCTGTATAGGCTAGCTAACAGACTAACAATTTCTAGATTAAGGTTGGAAAAGAAGTTAGAAGTTAGCAAGGCACACACGCGATGGTGGCACTAGAATAGCAAAAGACTCTTAAGCTAGTACTAGTAATGGGAGCTTAAATACCGCCCTAACTAAACCCCTAGGGAGCTTCACCTCCCCTAACAAACTTTTGCTAAACTAATCGCAGCGCGGACCTAATACGGAGACTTCGCGTAGTATTACTAAAAATTTTATTACAACGAAGCATAGCTGCACTATCTATGCAGCTAACTAAAGACGCCTAAGCATATTGTGCTATGCTGTAAGCTAATAAGCAGCTTTATAAACTAGCCTGCAAGACTAACTATAAGACTATAAACCTAGGACAACGCTATATAGTACCTTAAGGAACTAAGCAACTCCCCTAGTAACTTTGGCGTGTATCTTATCGTTACTAAAGCCCTATAGAATAGAATAGGGGGAACTAACACCCCCTACTAACCTAGCTAACGCTAATGTCTTAGCATTTCTGCATACGACTCCTGCAGCCTAAAGGCTATATAGGGTGTACTGCCTAGGAGGAGCCCTAGGGCCCCCTAAACAACACGCTCCTTATTCTTATTCTGCATCTACTTTTATATTTTCTATACCGCTCGCTTTAATTCTACTATATGTTCTCTTTTCTATATTTGCTATAACAAACTAATAGCTGAGTAAGCTATAACCTAAGTAGAGGCTATCTAACTAGCGGGATAGCAACTAATTGAAAACTACACCTTAGTGTATTTAGAATAGGTAAGACTAGGTAGTGCGTCACTACTGTAAGCCCTAGGCCTCACCCGTCCACATACCCCAAGGGAGGCTTTTAAGTAGGGACGTTAAACTTTACACATACATACATACATATTGTGTATACCTATACCTGCAGTCATGTAACCCCATCACTGTCGTCCATCTACAGTTTAGCCGTGTAGTATGCAATATCATCTCCATGCTTATGAGGACGTTTCGACCTAAGTAGCACCTCCATCTCGGCCTCCTAAGCTTGCCATACAGAGATAAGACCCTATCAGCACACGTGCCGTTTGTCGTGAGTTATGACCTCTTGCATGTAGGATAGGGTAAGATCGCTAGGATAGCTATGATCGCCTCCCCACTCCTGTCTTTAATCAGCTAGACTAGGACTGACAGGGCCGCTTCGGCAACTTTAATGTATCACATCCATGCGATAGTATTTCTATAGATATGAACACGGTATGGCCGTCTTGGATCAAGCTTCTTTCATCCGATTTCGTGACAACCTTCTCACACCTACTATCATGTCACAGTGAGAAGAAGATATGGCTCCGATTATTTCCTTCATCATTGGCTTACTGCTGGCCGTGAGGGCCTTTGCGGACCCGTTCGAGAAGCTCTTCAGTATCCCCGAGGGTATGTATAAGCACCACATCTCCTTTTGAAAATACCCTAGGCTGATGCTTGGTAGGATGGACACTTGAAGGCCCAGCTTCAGATGACCACTCGCTCAAGCTCCAAATTGCTCTTCGGCAGGGCGATGTAGAGGCATTTGAGAAGAGAGCACTAGATATCGCCACGCCCGGCCACCCACATTACGGGCAACACTTTCAGTCCTACGAGGAAATGAAGCGTATGCTCATGCCCAGGGATGACACGGTCTCTTTAGTATCTTCATGGCTCAAAACTTCCGGCATCGGGAATTTTGAATTGAATTCTGATTGGATGACTTTCACGACCACTGTTGGCGTTGCCAATAAGCTTCTCAATACCCACTTCTCTTGGTTCACCAGCAACGATGTTCCACCTCGCAAGATTATTCGTACGCTTGAATACTCTGTTCCGGATGAAGTAGCCAGCCACATCAACCTGATCCAACCTACTACTCGATTTGAGGCTTTTCGTACAGCTGGTCGGATCGTTCAAGCTATGGATCAAGTCAGTGGCGACGCACTCGTCCCCTCTGGACCTAGTGGTGTAACCAGGGTCAACTGCGACCAGAGCATTCTTCCCTACTGTTTGAAGGACCTGTACCAGGTATATTACACCCCCGACCCAAAGAGTGGAAGCAAAGTGGGATTTGCTTCTTTTCTCGGGCAAAACGCCCGATACAGGGACCTTGCTCAATTTGAGGATATTGTTTTACAAGGTGCCACCAGCCAAAATGTTACCAAGGTTCTGTTCAATGGCGCTATCAATGACCAAAGCTCTACAGCCGATAGTACCGAAGCCAACTTGGACGTGCAGTACATAGTTGATATGGCTCATCCCCTGCCGGTTACCGAGTATATCACTGACGGTCTGGGCCCCTTTATCCCGAACCCGTTTGAACCTAACCAATCCTACAACCAAGATGAGCCATACCTTGAGTTTCTCCACTCAATCCTTAAGCTACCTCAGGAGGATCTACCGCAGGTACTCTCCACCTCTTATGCTGAGAATGAGGAAAACGTGCCCAAGTCATATGCCTTGAGCGTGTGCAACCTCTATGCACAACTCGGCTCCCGCGGCGTCTCTGTTATCTTTGCTTCGGGAGACTTGGGACCAGGTGCCATATTTGAATCCAACGATGGAAAGAAGACTCCCAAGTTCCAGCCTATATACCCTGCAACATGTCCATGGGTTACCTCCGTCGGATCCACAACTTATCTCAACCAGACGGCCACCAGTTTCTCCTCTGGCGGTTTCTCCAATTACTGGGCGCGTCCATCTTATCAAGATCATGCAATTCATCAGTATCTCAAACACCTTGGCCAAAAGAACAGTCAATACTTCAACGCTTCTGGACGTGGCTCCCCCGATGTGTCAGCGCAAGGTATTAATTTCGTTGTTTATGACAAAGGTAAATGGACGTATCAATTCGGTACTTCAGCCTCCGCCCCTACCGTTGCTGGCATCATTGCTCTTCTCAACGACGCAAGATTGAGGGCTAAACAGGCTCCGCTGGGCTTTCTGAATCCTCTGTTATACGCACATCCTCATACACTAAACGATGTCGTGCTTGGCGGAAGCAAAGGATGTGACGGCACTCGGCCGTTTACCGGTGTGCCGAACGGTACTCCGGTTATCCCGTATGCGGGTTGGAATGCGACAGTTGGATAGGACCCCGTGTCGGGTTTGGGAACACCAAATTTCCCAAAGTTGCCCAAAAATTTCCAATGCGTGGCATTAGAATGAAGAAATGGGGTTTTAGTATAGAAAGCCTGTACGGCTGTAGAACATCAACGTACGTAGCATTCAACCTCCCTGAGAAACATGACCTGCGGCTCTCTCTATGTGAAATAAGTGAACAATTATAGAAGGCCTTGCTATCACGACATGCGTAGGTGGAGCTCTCCGCTAAATAGTCAGTATTTACTTCGACTCTTTCGGGAGTTGATTACAAAGATGTGTCGACTTTTCATTCTTACCTTTTCACCAGTTACCATTCCAGATGCTTTTCAGGCCTCAAATTCTCACTGTTGTTCTTTTGCACTCTATCTTGCCTTGCAAATGCAATGTTGTCCTGTTTCGTTTATTGCGTTTTTACGTAAGGTACGTGGATTAACGATGGATGAATTTTAATGGTCGTACGCAACAAGCTAGATACACCCTGATCTGCACCTCTCTTTAGTCTCACTGCCAACCATTCCTTGTGTATAATTTAATCATTAGAGATTGAAAAACTTCCATAACACGCAGAGAGATCTGTAACGTGGTTTATTTCATTACGGATTAGTGGTGGATTGAAGTCGATGGACTCGACTGCACAACGCATCACAACGTCTAAATTGTCAAGAGCATTCTCAAAACGAGATGGTATTGTGTCATGGAAGAATATTCGTACACGAATGCCGCATTTGTTGCTGTGTATCGCATAGCGACAAATAGAGTGATGAGAACTAAGACAGACAGATGTATGATGAGACTAGTCATGTCAAAGTTACCAGCCAAGGTCTGTTCCGACCGGTATGCCAAGAACACCCTTGTTAACAATGAGGTGATGCGACAGCTTGTTGAGAAGCCGGAGCGAACTCGATCGTCACATCCGTCAGCAAGATTTTGGAAGACCTAACAGCACCAGTGTATGTAATCACGTGCGTAATGTGGATTGTGCTACGTAATCAACGCACGGACCACTCCTTTCCTAAAATGGCGTAGAAGGTTCGAGAAGCAGCACGAAGGTACGCGCACCTTCATGACAAACGTGGAAGGATGAGCAACCACCACGAACCATCTACAGTATTCCAGAGTCATCTTCACTTTAGCAATCCAAGTGGTGCATTGCTGCCTTGATCAGCCTTACAATGTCTATAAAGAGAGAAGTTGCGACCCTCTTTGGGTTCATCATCAGATCCAAAAACAAACACCAGCAACTCCACAGATCCACAATCTACCATCACAGCTAGCTTCAGATCCAACAATCTACTTATTCTATCATTAAAAACTCTCCACAAATCTCACCTAACACAACAACTATACCAACCATGGCATTCGTCCTTACACCTAGTTTTGCACCCGCCTACCAGGCACCGCAGCACAACCCTTTCGGCTTCTGTGCCCCAGTAGTACGGTCTCCACATGGCTATCGCGTTTCACGACCTCAGCCTCGCCGCCCACAGTACCCACAATACAACTTCTTCAGTCAGGTCAATGACTTGCTGAGTGAGATTGACCGCGAGGCACGACGCCAGGCCCAGCTCGAGGCTCACCGCGAAGCACAGCGCGAGGCCTACCGCCAAAGGATGCTGCAAAGAAAGCGTGCACTTCGCGCTAATTTCAGTGTAAACCCAATCGAACAGGGCTGGCAAGTAGAGGGAGATATTCAGGGCTTCGACTCGCAAAACCTTGCCATCGAAGTCACCGACGAGCACACCTTGAAGATTTCCGGAAACACGCAATGGCAGTCGGAGAAGCCACAGACCCAGACAGAGTTGCCTCAGACCGAAGCTCCACAAGTTGCTGCTCTTCCGCCTGCTGGTGAGGAGTCCAACGAAAAGGCCGCCGAAATAACGCAAAACGAGCCAGAAGCCGAGACTACTGGAGTCGAGACTACTGAAGCCGAGGCTATCGAAGCAGAGAGCACGACTGCTGGTGTAGCCACTCCAGACAGCGACACTGCTTCGCACAAGTCGTACCAACCCACTGTTGAAGACGACTTTGAGGATCTCGGCGCTGATTTCCCATCATCGAGGCCTTCCACACCATCATCGGAGCCGACCGAGCCCAAAGAGCCAAAGGGCAAGGAAAAGGCAGTCGAAGAGCCCGTAGCTGCTGAGAGCGCTGTGGTACACCAGCCACAACAAGTCGAGCAAACGCAGCAGCAGCCGCAACCTGAGGAGCAACGTGTTCATGGATCGTTTGAACGCTCATTCAAATTCCCCAGCCGCATCGACGTTGCAAATGTAAGCGCCAGCTTCAAGAATGGCATGCTGAGGGTCACTGTTCCAAGGGCACAGGCCCCACAGGTTAGGAAGATCACCATCCAATAGGATAGTGGTGATCAGGAAGAGGAACGACGATGGAGCAGCAAATGCATGATTCAGGCGTCTGGATGGTAATGAGTGGGTAGCATATGCATGGATTTTGTTTCTGCAAGGGATTTGTACGATCTGGTACGTGATGGTTGATTATGAGTAGTAAATGGATGATTTGCAATTTTACGTTGACTGCTCCACACTTTCTTGAGTGAATGTGCATAAATTTCTACGAAGAATTAATCAATGACCTCGCAAAGAAAAATAATCTGATGTATGCTTCTGACTCGGAGTATCTCTTTGTCCGCAGCAAAACGAATACGACACCAATAAAAAACGCACTATGTGTAACATCACATCCAGAAGAAATCGGCACAGACACAATTACATTGTCTCCATAGTATGTAGCTTCTCACGATATCCAGTAAAACATAACAATACAAAAACTTCCCATCTATCCTACCACGAAGATCTTCAACCCCAAACACTGATCCCTGAAAAACACCAGTAGCAGCATCATACGTCTTAGTCACGCCCTTCATCTTCCGCACATTTTGCGCCCCATATCTAGTAAAGCAGGTCCAGCATAAGATCCAACGTAATTCAGATACGGGAACTCGTGGTTTGTGAGCCCCGATACTCTGGGGATATTAATTGCAAAGCTAACGAGTGCTTTGAATTGGTTCTTCGATTGTAGATTGCGGGATACGCGACCAGACTGCCGTATATGCTGTTGTACTCGACGGTGCTGAATGTGACGCTCGTGACGATGCTGAAGTTTCTAGAGCCGTCTTTGAGGACGGTGGAAAGATCGGTAATGGGGAGGAGGGTTTGGACACAATTACAATGGCGCCGTTGGCTAGGGTGGCCTGGAATCCGAGTGTGTTATTACAGAAGAAGCTGCGGCTGGGTGAAAAGGAGGATATCCCGTCTCCCAGTGCGAGGCCCGCCGACTCCAACGCTCGAGGAGCATTCGCCGGGAAACATGGCGCCGGGGTCTCGAGGACAGTGTAGACTTCGTTTTATGTTGCGACGGGCCCTGAATCCCACGGAAGCGCTCTCAGCGTTGTACGAGACGGTGTTGAGGTACTTCAAGTCGAGCGTGACGCCGTCCTCCATGTTGGACGTACCCACATACGGGACATGTCCTGCACTGCGAATAGCAAACTTGCATTTCGTGAGAAAGCCCTGCCGGGGTGAGTGTTTTGACGGCTCGCACGACTTCATTTGCGTTTCGGGGTTGCACTATGCAGTTGGGGTGGTGAGGATTTGCTGCGTGACGTCAAAGTACCACGCCTTCGCGAGCCTCGTACGCTGCCTGCCCGGGAAACAATAACCGGGGTTTCAGCAAGGGTCTGGCAAGGGAGACGTACAGGGTATACGTGTTTTAGCCCGGTGATGTTCCGTCGAAGAAGCAACGTACGCTGTAGTAGGTAGTCTGCGTGTGCTAGTGGAATCGCAGATGCAGCTGCAAGCAGAACAGCAAGCCAGCGAGGCATTACTCTGAGCAACAGAGTTTGAAGTCCAACAGGGAGCCTGGCTAGCAGAGCGCGATTGGCATCTTATTTCAAGCCACTGCATATCGTACGCGTTGTTTTGTCCACTCTAGAGTCCTCGGCGGCGCGTGTCGTGGAAAAGGCGCGATATCTGGCCACTGAGGACTGGCCAGCAATGCAACGAGGCGTATTCTGCAATGCAGCTTGAAAAGGGCCGTCTTGGAGGATCAAGCAAAAAGCATAGAAAAACATAATACGGGGAATAAATGCGCTGGCGCTTACTGACAGGTGGAATGCCGATTGCAGCTGGATTTTGAATCTACCGGACTGATGGGTGCCATGCCGCTCAGAATGCAGGAGAGAGCCAGAAACCAGGTATGTTGCTTTTTCTTTTCATACGATTCTTGTCAATGGGTTGTGTGGTGTTTGAGTGATGGGATGAAGGTCAAGCCATGTGAATTGGCTGTTCAGTTTGATAGAGAATGGAACGTTTTCGAGTGCGGCGCCGGTGGACAAATGTAGACACGGTCGTTCAGGAGTTGCAATAGCGTGTCTTGCATTTTCAGACAAGAAATATTTGCCACTCTCGATGCTGACACTGACGTTTATGGGTTGCTAATTGACATGTATTTTAAAAGGCAAAACTTTTTACGTGAAGAGAAGGATTTGTCTGATAAGCGAAGAGTGAGTGTAGAGGCGTGGTGGCGCATTCCATCCTAGCGTCTAGTAGCTAAACTTCATACCACCATTGGCGCACATGACGCTTCCTGTTGTCCATCCAGCCTCGGGCAGGCAGAGCATACCAACGATGCCAGCAATTTCTTCGCTGTAGCCTGGCCTTCCTCCAGCATTCTGAGAAGCCTCGTAGATTCTCTCGGGGTCAATACCCTTTCTTGTTGCGGCCAAGGGAGTGTTCTCGATGAAAGGCTTGTTCAGCGCAATAAAAGCGTCGTCGTTGCTCCAGTACATGTCTGTCGCCACAGGACCGGGGTTGATGGCGTTGACAGTGCATCGCTCGGCCAACTCACGAGACCACGTTCGCGTCATGCTTTCGAGCGCCGCCTTTGTCGCACCGTAGATTGACTGGCCCTTGTATCCTAGCGAGGAGCTGACAGACGACAGGTTGACGATGCGACCGGAGCGGTCGTTGGGCAGATACGGGATCGCGGCTTGGACAAGAAGCAGCGGGCCTCGCACGTTGACGTTGAACTGCCTGGCAAAGTCCTCGCAGTCGACATTCTCAACATAGTTGTTGCCGGCGACACCAGCGTTGTTGATGATGATGTCGAGCTGGAACTTGCCGGTTTTCGGGTGCTGGAAGTTGTTCTTGGCGACCTCTACGAGGTGCTTGGGGCCGTTTTCCGAGCCCATGCTTGCTTGCACGGTGATGGCCTTGACGCCATAGTCGTTTTGCAGCTCGTCGGCGAGATTTTGCGCGGCCTGGGCAGACGAGTCGGACGTGTAGTTTATGACGACATTGCAGCCCTTGGAGGCGAGGTTGCGGGCGATCTCGAGGCCAATTCCTGCAAGCATTGGTCTGTGGACGGGCAAGCGCGGGAGCGATGCGTACCTCTCGAGGCCCCCGTGACAATGGCGGTCCTGCCCTCGAGGATGCGCTGGCCCGACGCACTCAGGTTGGTCGAGGCGGTTCGCGTGTGGGCAGGTCTGGCGTCCATTTCGAGTATGGCGGAAGAGAGCGGCCGTGGATGTTGAATGCGCGATTGCGTGGGCGATTGCGTTGGCGCAGGCTGGGAGCGCGTTGTTGATGGCGGGGTTTTATAGAGGATGCGGGGTTGTGGAGACGGCTGGGTGGCCAGGCCATCGGTGGTTGTGCCGTACCATGGCGAGGGCTTTGCGCGGGCAATGGCCGACCACGACGAGAAAAGGGCTGGGGCGCAGGCAAAAAAGAAGGCTCGTCAGTTTGCGGGCGTGGGCGTGTCCCTGGAGGGGAATCGAAGGCGGTGCTGTGTGGTGCGGGCGCGGGCGTGGGTGCGTGGTGATCGTCAGGGTCCTGGGAAGCTAGCAGACGATAAGATAAATGGCTGCTGACGGAGGGGCGCGGGCGCGGGCGAGGGCGAGGGCGGATGGTCAAGGAAGGGCGAGGGCGCCGATTCGCGCCCGTCTCCGAAGCTACAGACAATCCACCAGCATGCCCATACCAATACATATTACCCGACATGGACGGGGCCGGGCCATGCCGAATATGCAGCCTCAGCAAATTCTCGCTGCTGCTTGGAGCTACAGAAACCCCGAGTAGTAACACCGGCCAGCCTTTATCTCGCACTGCTGCTGCGCGCGCAGACGCGCTAACGCCGACGGCTCTGGCCCAGCTGCCACCCATGTCGGCTCCAATGGCAAAATTCGCCGCAGCCGACGAGCTGCGTGGCTGGATAGACGCGAGTCCGCTGGCAATTTCCTGATGCGTTCCGGTGAAACTGCCCGGGGAGTATTCTGGTCGGAGATGGGTGCAATAATGCAGCGGGAGGGCGGCCAAGACCGTGCTGCACCCTGTCCTGGTGCTGGTGCCGCCGGCGGCGAGGGCGGTGTGAGGGGTCTTTGATCGGCGCAAAGCTAGTGCCAACCCCGCGACGCCAGCGCTGCATGCGCCAGCAAAATCCATAAAGCACACCATCCGCTATACTTGCTGCCTCGCATCTCCACCCCGCCTCCCTTTATATTCTCCCCTCCCCTCCCCTCTCGGTCTTCTCTCTCCATCCCACTTTCCCCCCCTTCTTCCTCTCCCACACACATTCGTCCGCATCGGACAAGCACATCACAATGGTACAGTCATCAGTACTCGGTTTCCCCCGCATGGGTGCGGACCGTGAGCTCAAGAAGGCCAACGAGGCCTACTGGGCCGACAAGCTCTCCCGCGACGACCTGCTCAAGGAGGGCAAGCGTCTGCGAGCAGAGCACTGGAAGATCCAGAAGGACGCTGGCGTCGACATCATCCCCAGCAACGACTTTGCCTTCTACGACCACCTCCTCGACCACATCCAGCTCTTCAACGTACGTGTACCCCGCCCTAGGCTCAATTGGTTTCTCTGCTGACGATTCTCAGGCCATCCCAGAGCGCTACTCCAAGCACGGCCTGCACAAGCTCGATGAGTACTTCGCCATGGGCCGTGGCCACCAAAAGGAGGGCGTCGACGTGCCCAGTCTGGTAGGTTGCACCACGCTGTCGGTCATCATGGGCAATGGCTAACCCACATGCAGGAAATGGTCAAGTGGTTCGACTCCAACTACCACTACGTCAAGCCCACCCTCCAGGACAACCAGACGTTCAAGCTTGCCGAGAACCCCAAGCCTGTCGTTGAGTTCCTCGAGGCCAAGGAGGCTGGCATCGTCACCCGCCCCGTCCTCGTCGGTCCCGTCTCCTTCCTCGCTCTGGGTAAGGCCGACCGTGGCCAGTCTGTCGACCCCATCTCCCTCCTCGACAAGCTGCTGCCCGTATACGTTGAGCTCCTCCAGAAGCTGAAGGAGGCTGGTGCCGAGAGCGTCCAGATTGACGAGCCTGTCCTCGTCTACGACCTGCCCCAGAAGGTCAAGGATGCCTTCAAGCCCGCATATGAGAAGCTTGTTAGCAGCAGCCTGCCCAAGATCACCCTGGCCACCTACTTCGGTGACGTTGTCCACAACTTCGATGTCTTCCCCAGCCTCCAGGGTGTTGCTGGCATCCACGTCGACCTGGTCAGGAACCCTGAGCAGCTCGAGAGCGTCATCAGCAAGCTCGGCCCCAACCAGATCTTCTCTGCCGGTGTTGTCAACGGCCGCAACATCTGGAAGACCAACTTCAAGAACGCCATTGAGCTTGTTGAGACTGCTGTCCAGAAGCTTGGCAAGGACCGTGTCGTCGTCGCCACCTCCAGCTCCCTTCTCCACACCCCCCACTCTCTCGACAGCGAGAAGAAGCTGCCCGAGGAGGTCAAGGACTGGTTCTCCTTCGCCGTCCAAAAGGTCTCTGAGGTTGTTGTCATCGCCAAGGCTGTCACCGAGGGCCCTGCCTCTGTCCGTGAGGCCCTCGAGGCCAATGCCAAGTCGATGCAGTCCCGCGCCTCATCTGAGCGCACCAACAACAAGGCTGTCAAGGACCGCCAGGCTAGCGTCACGCCCGAGCAGCACGAGCGCAAGTCGGCCTTCCCTGAGCGATATGCTCAGCAGAAGAAGCACCTCAACCTCCCTCTCTTCCCCACTACTACCATCGGCTCCTTCCCTCAGACCAAGGAGATCCGTATCCAGCGTAACAAGTTCACCAAGGGTGAGATTACCGCTGAGGAGTACGAGAAGTTCATTGAGAAGGAGATTGAGGAGACTGTCAAGATCCAGGACGAGCTCGACCTTGACGTCTTCGTCCACGGTGAGCCGGAGCGTAACGACATGGTGCAGTACTTTGGTGAGCGCCTTGACGGTTACGTCTTCACCACCAAGGGTTGGGTCCAGTCGTACGGATCCCGCTGCGTCCGTCCTCCGATCATTGTCGGAGACATCTCGCGCCCTGCCCCCATGACCGTCAAGGAGTCCAAGTACGCCGCTTCGGTGTCCAAGAAGCCGATGAAGGGTATGCTTACTGGACCCATCACTTGCCTCCGATGGTCTTTCCCCCGTGACGATGTCCACCAGTCTGTGCAGGCTCAGCAGCTTGCTCTCGCCCTCCGCGACGAGGTTCTTGACCTCGAGGCTGCTGGCATCTACGTCATCCAGGTCGACGAGCCCGCCCTCCGTGAAGGTCTTCCCCTCCGTGCTGGCACTGAGCGTGAGAAGTACCTCTCTTGGGCCGTCGACTCATTCAAGCTTGCTTGCGCCGGTGTCCAGGACTCGACTCAGATCCACTCGCACTTCTGCTACTCCGAGTTCCAGGACTTCTTCCACGCCATTGCCGCGCTCGACGCCGACGTTCTCTCGATTGAGAACAGCAAGAGCGACGCCAAGCTTCTCAAGGTGTTCGAGGACAAGGCATACCCGCGCCACATTGGCCCTGGTGTGTACGACATCCACTCGCCGCGTGTCCCCTCTGAGCAGGAGATCAAGGACCGCCTCTCTGAGATGCTTACCTACCTCAAGCCCGAGCAGCTCTGGGTCAACCCCGACTGCGGCTTGAAGACTCGCCAGTGGAAGGAGACCAAGGCCGCGCTGATCAACATGGTCAACGCCGCCAAGTTCTACCGCGAGAAGCACTCTGCTTGAATTTCTTGTGCCATTTGGCAACCCTTTGTGGCTGTGTTTCATCAACACAGCCAGTGAGGCAGCATATCAACATGCTGCCGTGTAATGTGTGTAATGACTTATTATGATACCCAAAAGTTCAACCTGCATCATGGGTCGTGGGGCGGTGCAAAAAGGAAGTAGATCGTGTGTATGGACGATCTCAACATCGGCGTTCATCACAATCAGCAAATTGGCTGACTCTGGCGTTTTGATTTCACAGGGACTTTTCTGCGGCATGAGTCGCATGGTCGATTGACCCAGTCAGATGTATGCATATTCAAAATAGAGAGCATCGTCTTGTACGAGCTGAATGACAAAGACATTGGCGCGTGCATGAAACATGACCATGGAGCTCAAGTGATGTGTGATGTGTGAAGTTTATGTTGCTTGAGAGGCATTATCGGAGGGGTGGGGTTGGCCGGACAAAGAGATAGGGAGAGGCGGAAAAGGGCGCATCACAGGGTGCATGAGTATGTGTAGCGAGGTTGCATCGGCCGATAGATAAGCGTCATGGAAAGCAGCAGGTGGAAGAAGGCTGGCTCGAACTCAGTCGGGGCCCAGGTGGAGAAGAAGAGGCGGAGGTGAAGATTTGCGCGCGGAAGCCGGGATGTCCTGGGAATGAGTGGGGAGGATTGCCCAGCCCTCGCACTCGCCAAACCATCAGCCAGACAACCAGCCTCCTCCGTCTCGTCATCACCGTCATCTTCGTCGAGCCGCCGCATCCATCATTGCACGTCCACGTCCGCCGTGGCAAGAGTCGACCGTCTTCGCACACAGCGACAAGGGCCGCGACAACGAGTTGCATCCAGACTCGGCCATTAATCACGTGCGCAGCTTCAGCCATGTGAAACACCAAGAGCCTGTGTCAGCCACGCAGCCCGTTGCCCCGCGCAACGCCACAGCGCCGCTGTTTATCGACCAAGCCGGTGGGCCAGCGCTGGGCCAGACACTGAGCCCGGCCATTGTGCACACGATGCCGTGTCATGGTGATTGGACACTCGGGCGGTTACCCACACGGAAAAGGTTGCGCCCTGCTCACGCTCTGCACAGCCTGTCCCCAAGGCCGGTGGCGGGCTGGGCCTTGGTGTTGACAGGCCCCCTCCTCCAAGAACCAGCCACCTCGATGGTCCCGTGTAGCCCCATTGTTGCCCGCCGACTGCAACTCATGGCACGTTCGTCTCGCCGTTCGCGGTGAAGGTCCTCGCGCATTCAAGTCAACCCACGCACCCCCGCCGTCGTGTACCATGGCCTGCAAGATAGGCCGTGACCATACAAGCCAGAGTTGGCTGGCAGACCGGAGCCTGTTGTAGATGGTGCTGTCCACTGCCACTCTCCGCTGCCCCCATATCCATCAGCAACGTTTAGTACCGCGAGTTGGGGTTCGGCCGGTGTGTTGATATCGCCAACCCAGCCACCGACTACGATAATGCGTTGTCCATCTGGACTGAGTACAGCGGAGTGGCCGGACCGGGGATCGATGGTTGATACATCTTTTCGCATGGCTGAGTTGGTGGTAGAGTTATCGGGTTGTGCGGCGTCGACAAAAGTCCAGCTCTGCTCCGGAAGAGAAAAGAGAGCAATTTGCGACGTATTGATGAAGGCGCCACTGGTATGACCGCCAATCAGCACAAAGTTTTGTTGCTGAATCTGCACACCATCTTTACGGTCGGAGAATGTCGGGGGTAGGCCAGTAATGGTAATACCAGCTTCTGGCACAGGTGGTCCACGACTCGACGAGACATCCAGATGGTAGCCGAGAGCCTGATTGCTTGCCGGAGCAGGTTCGAGAGTAAGCACCTGGTTGGAGTAGTTGGCTGCAGACTGCCAATCGCCCGCCGTGGCGGTTGCATTGGGACACATGCCACCAAACAAGTATACACCCGTGGTTTCAGCATTGCCTTGTACAACCGATGAAAATGACATTCCGTCGCTGAGAAAGTTGGCGCCCATGATGGAGGCATACGAGCTCTCGGCTGCTGTAACATTTTGCCGGCTCCAACTCCCCCTTCCACCGGCTTTTGAATTTTGTGGTGTATAGGTCCATATCTCAGCACCACTTGCGCCCAGTCTACAGTCGCCCGCGTATATGGTCAGGTTGCCGCTAGTGTCGACGAGTGGGGTGAAGGCCCGGGGAGCATTGTCGTCGAGAAAGGGCAGGGTCGAGTACAGGGTGTTGTAAGGAAGGTTGGATGACTGGATTGCAGAGGATAGATCGATGGCGCTGAGCTGGAACTGGGTCGGCGACTTGGACGAGGGGCGGAAGACGTAGAGGGTATCGTTGGTCTGCAGGACACGAGTCGGGTTGTAGGGCATGTGGGCGGCAGCGGCAGCGGCAGCGGCAGCAGCAGCAGCAGCAGAGACGGCTAGGACTCTGCTGAGCAGGACCAGCACCCAGTGCGTGGGCCGCTATGTTACCGGGTGGCATACTGATGGTTACTGGCGGGTACTCTATTTCCTCTTCTCGTGCACAACGGAGAGACTCGTTGAATGTTAATACCCAGACTTATTTTCTCAATACCACGTCAAACGCTTGGATTGCCGACTACACCCCTCTAGCGAAGCCAACTACCCCTGCCTCTGAAGAAAAAGGACTTTTATCGACCACCGGACAAAAGGCGGGATTGGGTGTCGGTATAGGAGTTGGTCTTGCTGTTGTGTGCGGGTTGGTTGCTTTTTGCATATGGCACAGAAGACGGGCACAACGACGACGGGATCTCCGCGAGAAGCAGCTCCAAGACCTATCCTACATGGCTCACCGGTACAACCCTGAAGAATACGCGACAGCCTTTGATGACCGCAACGGTCGGCTCGACACATCCGACTATCTTGTTGATCAGAATGGCCCCTACGTCTTTCCCCCTGGCACTCAGGGTGGTCAAGGTTGGAAGGCAACGAATGGCGGAGACGCCGAACGAACCGGACTACTTGTCGAAATTCCAAGCCCAACGCGGGGACTGCGACGCAGTTTAAGTGGCAGACCTGGATACGCCGTGGCCAGATCCCAGGTACCGAGTGGTATACATCCGATTGATGAACTGGAGGAGGAGCCTGAAGATGAGCAAGCTCACATGAGTTCTCCCTCGTCGTCGAGGCACCCTGAGATGACTGAATTACGATCAAAATTGATGGCTACAATGCTCAACACCGAGGCTTCTGATGCATCCGCAGATGCACAAAGGCTTGATAATGGGCAGAGAAATACCCTGCATGCTACGCATGAAAGTCCTGGGCACAGCAGAACCCACTCACTTGGCCGACTCCAGCTAAACTCTGCTGGAAGGCTCTCGCCGGAGAAATTTGGTTCAGAACGTACCAGCTCAAATTTGAGCGAGAGAAGTGACATTTCCTGGGCCTCTTCCCATGACGGTGTTGGTGGTGCATCAATGCGTCCTGGAAATATACTAAACAACATCCCCGGCTCTTCCAGATCACCAGATGCCAGCCTGTCCAGTAACAAGACCAGTAGGAATGGCGATGTTGGCCGACATTCTCCTGATGAACCTCGAACCAACTCTCTCAACAGTGTGGAAAGCAATGGCCAACCAGACCTTGAATCTTTCCAGACTGCTCGGTCATCATTTGCGCACCTGCAGGCCGAGGGTGAGGCACTGCTTGGTGGCAACCCGGATAGGCCTAGGCCAGGTACTGGCTCTTCCAGGTCAGACGCCTATCGCGATACAGAGGGAAGCAATAGCCGAGCGGCTACAGCCACACCAGCAACATCCTGCGCCTTGGAAATCTCGACTGCGCCACAACCTACGCCGAAAGTGCGAAGGATTAGTTGGTTGGGCAGCGTTCGGAGGGTTTTGACAAGATCTGTATCAAGCGCTGAACGCACAAGATCAATGCACACTCCAATCATCTATCATGAACCTTACAGAGACGACCCGACCTCGCCTGTTGAGCCACGTCCAATCGATACCAGGAAGTCATTCCCCGCTGCCACCGCACCACCCCAACGCGCAGCTTCGGACGCAAGCTTCTGGCGCAACCGGAGAGGAAAGAAAGATTGGCTAGACGACGAAGAAGATTCCGCCTGGCGACGTGCACCAGGCGATGACTGGGGTACACCCGAAGACATTGCTCTGGCTGAGCGTGAACGCCAACGTCAGGAATGGAGAGAACGAGGCAACTTGCTAGTCAACATCAGCAACGATGACCATCTGCCTACACCACGCTCACTCATTACACCGGACCATTTGGGTGTTCCCACTTCGGACGACCGACCTTGCACACCCGCGAGCGAAGCAGATTGGGATGTTGAAGCAGCCGTTGAGCGACGCGTAGTCCAAGTCATGTTCACCGTGCCCAAATCCAAGCTACGTGTTGTCAATGCGGATGTCGAAGGTAGTAGCATCATGTCCATGTCTCGAGACGGTGACGACCATGCAGCAGAATCATCAAGCAGCAATGGCACTACCAACCGTGTCAAGGATCTCGCTGGCCGGTTCGAGCAGATGAACAGCAGCACCAGCAGTCTTAGATTTTCGCCCCGACCGTCCCCATCCAACTCTATCAAGTCGATGAAGGTCCGGTCAAAGCGCAGCGGTGCGTCGTTGGCGCGGCAGCAAAGCGTCCGAAGTGCGGCAAAAGAGAGGGGACTCAAGCCTTTGAACAGAGAGGAAGGAGACGGAGATTAAGTTTTCCCCTTTTTCTTTCTTCTGAGTCCCCGCCTCTTTTTCTTGTACTACACTACCTCTTTTTCCTTTTTCTCCCTATTAGATCTAGGTGTATTTCCGCCGATACAACACGGAACGGAACGAATGAAACATTGGGAAATCGAGAAACATGACTTCCGTTTTTATCAACAGTACAGGCAAGTGCGCAATTTCAAGCACCATGAATTGGTGGTATTCTTTTTAATCTCCTTTTGCGGTTTGTTCCAGCAACATGGTGTTTGCTTATTTTCTCATTGAAATCATATAGATACCTACTCAGTCGGCCGCTATTTTTCCCCTTGGGCGCGACCCAAGTGCGAGAGAAAACAAAGGGAGAAGTTTGCCTTGTAGCTTTCTTTGGTGGGGGGTTTTTTTTTCGCACCGACAAGATGGGCTTCATAAGCATAACGATTGGTGCCCTTTTTTTTGTCCAAGCTATGGCAAAGCGGAAATAGATACGAAGGTAGTGAGATTCATGTATGTACGTATGTATGTATGTTTGCATGTTTGTATGCAATAGTCCAATGAAAACCTAGTTTGATACATATAGCTTCTTCCCACCTCATTTCTGGATGCATAGTCTGGGTAAGTATATTATTTTGCATGACGTCTTTCTTTCTTTTTGTTTTTTCGTTCATGATGCTATCTACAAGTAAACAATATGAAGACGAATCGTCTCTCGACTACGTACAGGTCTTTATTCTAAATCAGAGAATCTGAAACTGCGCTGTTGTACGCGTGCGACGAGGGGGTAAACTTCTCTTCCTCCCTTCCGCCCGTTCTATCTAGACGTCTGGCCGTCCGTCCGTTCGTCCCGTCCGTCCGCACCGCCAGGCGTTGCCCGTCTCGATACAAGACGGATCCCGATGGCAGCAGCAGCAGCAGCAGCGGGAGACCCGGATACCTACATCCCTAGCTCAGTCCCATTTACCCTGTTTCTCTCCCCCTCCCCCCCCCTTTTATCCCAGACGAGAATGACGTTGACGATGAGCCATATCCATGTCTCAGCGTCGCAGCCCTAACATGTTAGTTGCACGCTAAGTAGCAAATGGAGGTGAGAATCCCTTTGTCTCCCCAAAGTACACCTACAAGCTCTACAGCGCTACGTATCGAAATTCCCAACGTACATGACCTGCAATACGATGTGTATGTGTATTTGTATGTGTGCGTGTGCGTGTGTGTGTGTGTGTGTGTGTGCGTGTGTGTGTATGTATGTATGTATGTGTGTGTGAAAAGAAAGAAAGGGAAAAAAAAAACGGTTCCACACGAAGCAAAGGTAAGGTACAAAACTACGGGACGCGGGATGCGACGGATATCTCTTTTTTCTTTCCTTTTTTTTCTCTTTCTTTCTCTTCTCTTCTCTCTCTTCCGTTCTTCCCATTATTAGGCGATCGATCGCGGGGTAGGATGGTTTGCATGGTTCGCGCGGGCCGGGAAAAGACCATGAGTTTTTCTTTTTTTTCTTTCATACTCTTCTTCTTCTTCTTCTTCTTCTTCTTCTCCTGTTTGATCTACTGGGGGGGGGGATTAGGAGATCAACGGCTTCAACTCTGTGTGTACGTATCCGGACCTAGTTTGGTTGCATACGGTTACTTGTGTAGATCCCGATCACTGGGAAATGTGTGATTGATAACCGGAAAAAAAAATAGGCAGAACTTTCGTGGGTAAGTAGTTATTGTTGCGTGGTAGGTATGTAAGTAACTAAATAACTGCCCTCCCCCCCTTTTTATTATTATTTATATATCTATCTATTACCTGGTTCACCTACCTCGTATACACACGCACCCACGCACTCACACACTCATTTCCCTATCTTATGCCCAGGTGGAAAACTATGGATGTCGAATACGAATATAAATGGCAAACCGACATCCCGCGTTGCTGGAGAAAAGATTGCTCAGTTGTGCCGTTTGAGGCGCCGGCGCCACTCGTTCTGACCTTTTGCTTCCAAGACCAGATGTGTGTCAAGGTGCTTGACTACGAGGTGTTTGCGCAATGGGATGCCGTCGAAGCGGTGCTGCAGGGTGTGCGTGAAATGGGCATTGTGGTTGAGCGGCTCTGGGATACCGTGGACGACACAAGGGTTGGTGGTGGGGATTGGAATGCGAGGGTGCGGCCGGGCTGGAATGTCAAGGTGCTTTGTTTGGAAAACGGAGTAGAGGAATTGGGGGGTGGGTTTGAAGAGGAGGATGAGGAGAGCGCGGGTGCTGGGGGTGTTGAGGAGGGTGAAGGCCGGGTTTGGGGGGCTGCGGGGTGGCTGGGTCGTAAGGAGAAGGAGACGGCGTGGTGGTTTGCGAGGTGGAGAGAGCGCGTTGAGAAGGAGATTCGGTGTCATGGCCATTTGAGGGATCCGTCGTGGGAGATGGTCGTGGGTTGGTGCTTCTCCATGGTCACGTTTGTGGTCATGGTCAGTGTGCTGTGTGTTGGATAAGGGGGTTGGACGTGGATCGGCTCCTGGCTTTCATGTATGCATTTTGTACGAACAGACATCTCGAGGATGGTCCCGAAAGGAAATAGGGAATGGTGGTTGGGATTGGCTGGATTGACACATGGTGCTCAGATACTCTGCCCGTGTCTGATGCCGAGATAGCATCGATGATGTCATTTGAAGCTCTTCAGTCACTATTTGTCATTAGCTTCTCATCATACGCATTGACAGAAAACCATAAAGAATCCTACGAAGAATACACGCCGAGTCATGAGTGTCGTGATGTTTTCGCCTAAGATACGGAGGGGTCTCGCGTCCACGTCCGCAGTATCCTTACTGGTGGGGTAGTTAACCTGCATGGACGCGCAATGACCCAGGACGCGCAATGACCCACCCTACTAAACTCAACACCTACACAAAATACCTTATAACTCCACCAATATAGACCTAATTTAGGAAGCGATTAAAGAAATCAAATCGCGCGAACTAGGCGCATCTTTTAGCTATCGCTAAGTTGCAAAAAGGTTTAGCATTAGCTATCATACGCTCGCTTAAAGACACTAAGGCAAAACTTAGCCTCGCGCGCTCGCCTACCTCTCTATCCACCCACAACGCGAAAAGGAGCTTGTACAGTATATTAAATCCCTTACTAAGAGGCGTACACCACCTTCGCGTCTAATAATACGCCATCTTGCGTCATCCTTGCTTAGTAGAGACGTTTTAGAACGCTGGGTTTCTAGGTTCCTCTGCAGGAACTCCTCTCATCTTATCTCTCGCTGGCAGAGTCCTATGGACCAGAAGCGTCACAAGGCTGATTTAGCAACTAAGTATAGGTTGTACTTTAAGCTGTTACACAATAAGATGAAGGAGTACAATATACAGCCCTCTCACATCTTCAATATAGATAAAAAGGGCTTCTTACTTAGAATCCTTAGAAGGTCTAAAAGGATCTTTAGTAAGAGGCAATATGAAAGAGGAGGAGTTGTTTCAAGCCTACAAGATGGCTCTAGAGAGTGGATTACAGTCCTAGCCTGTATCTGCTCAGATGGTACACCTCTTTCTCCATCTCTCATCTTTTAGTTAGATGCTAGAGCTCTAAAATTAGCCTGGGTAGAGGCTATTAATCCAAACAAGCACTTAGTCTTTGTTACCTCATCGCCCTCTAAATAGACTAATAATAATATAGGCCTAGCTTAGCTTAAAGAGGTCTTTAAAAGAGAGACTGCACGCTACGCTCAAACTAGGTACTAGTTACTTATTGTTGATGGCCACTTATCTCATGTAACTATAGATTTTCTAGATTATTGCAACAGCTATAGGATTCTAGTTGCTGTATATCCTCCTCATTCGACTTATAGGCTTCAGCCTCTTAACGTTAGGATGTTTAGGCCTCTAGCGTTAGCCTACTTAAAGGAGTTGTCAAACTTCCTCTATTGGAGCCATGGAATCCTTCCTCTAGCAAAAGGAGACTTCTTTAAGCTCTTTTAGAGGGCTTGGGGTACAGCTTTTAGAAAGGAGACTATTATAAGCTCCTTTAAGGCAACTAGCATTAACCTACTAAATGCTAAGGTTATTCTCTAAAAGTTCCAACAAGAGGCCTCTAGTTTAGATAAAAGCTCTTCTTCTATCCTTAGTAGAGATGATTGGCTTAAAATTAAGTCTATTATACGCCGGGAGGTGAAGGATTTTAATAATAAGGAGGTAAAAAAGCTTCGCTGAAGCCTCTATTACCTCTCAGCTCAAAATAGTATACTCAAAGGAGAAAACTAGGGCTTAAGGGAGGCTCTAAAAGTTAAAAAGAGACACTAAAAGAAGAGCTACACGCTTCAACTCAATAGGCCTGAGGAGTACCATAGAGGAGCTGTCTTTTAGTCTCCTAAGAAGGTTCGCCAAGCCAAGGAGGATAAGATAGAACGACAACAAGAACAACAGCAATTACAACTCCAGAAAGCTAAGAGATCTAAGTTAAGGAGACAAGCTCAATTGTACAAGCTTCAAATAGCCCAGGAGAAGCGTGTTGAGAGAGAGAGGCTCAAGGAGGTGAGAGAGAAGGAGAGAGCCGCCAAGGTGGCTCAAAAGGAGGCTCAAAAGGCAGCCCAGGAGGCTAAAAAAGCTATACAATTATCCCAAAGGGGTAAGCGCAAAGCCTCACAAGGCTCCTCTTAAAAGCAGAAGCGTTAGAAACGTGTTGTTGTTGATTCATCTCATGTATAAGCTAAGGTGGCTGCACTAGCCGTCCTAACTTAGACCACCTACCACGGCCGCACTACTAAGCTACTAAGTAGATATAAGTAGCCTATTATAATTGTAATGCTATAATTACTATAACACTATAAAATCTCGTAATAATAGCGACTGTAGGTGGCTGTACAGCCTCATCTTTTGCAATAGGTTTTTTGGTGGGGTGGGTCATTGCGCGTCCTGGGTCATTGCGCGTCCATGCAGGTTAGGTACCGCTACCGCGTATGACGTGCCAACCGCGAGAAGATCCCTTCTACGCTTCAAGCTCTAGCTCTACACCAAGCAGCAATGGCTGATATGGCTTCGCGCATAGCTTCACTCAGGTCTCTGCTACCTGATCTCGAATCTGCGTTGCACTCATTCACGTCGTCGCTCGCCAAATCTCGCATCGTGCGCACAGTGAACGACACTCCGACTCAGCCCAAGACGCTCTACATCCTCGACTCTTCCTTCAACCCCCCCTCCTTTGCCCATTTTACATTGGCTTCATCGGCTTTGAAACACCCCGATGCCCCAGAACAGAGCCCATACAGACTGTTGCTCTTGTTTAGCACGCACAATGCAGACAAGGCGCCGAGCCCCGCGAGCTTTGTGCAGCGCATCGCCATGATGACCATGCTTGCCGAAGACTTGTCGCAGAGTCTAAAGAATAGAATAGACGGTTTGACCGACCAAGTTTCAAATGTCTCGATAGACATTGGTCTCACCAAGGAGCCATACTACAGTGACAAGTCGACAGCCATAGCCGAAGCTGCGCCGCCATGCTATGCTTCGAGCCCGAGACACGTACATCTTGTCGGCTATGACACGCTGATTCGCTTCTGCAATCCAAAATACTATTTCAAGTACGATCCGCCGCTCTCGGCCCTCAAACCCTTCTTCGATGCTGGCCACAAGCTGCGCGTTACCCAGCGACCTACCGATGCGAGTGACGAGTCATCACAAGAGTTTGGCACAACAGAGGAACAGGCCAAGTATCTGCAAGACCTAAGAGATGGCAAGCAAGAGGAAGCTGGTTTCAGCCCGGCATGGGGTAAAAACATCGACATGGTCGAGGCAGAGGAGGGCGTCGGAATCAGCTCGACACGGGTGAGGAATGCCGCGAAGCAAGGGAAATGGGACATTGTAAGAGAGCTATGCACCGAAGGCGTAGCTGCTTGGATCAAGGACCAGAGACTCTACAGCGAGGATGCAAGCGGCAAGAAGATGATGGGATGAGTGCAGATGAAAAGTGGTAGCCGTGGGGATGGCTGCAAATAGACCTCACGGCCCAATGGCGAATTGGCACGCAGCTTCAAATCACTTTTCCAGACACGTATTCTGAGATATCTAAGGGCCTTTCGAATCATAGCACATCAAAGGCGCTGGTTAAGAGAAGTTGGGCTGGCTTTCATCTCAAGATGCAAGCGCAAATGCATTCAACACACCTACGTACTGACACTCAATTTACGCTGCAAATGTTTCAAATCGGTATTTCTCGCAGGCTGTTCAGCATGTTACGGTTGCTCGATACTCGCAAAAACCATTCTGCTGTCTCGCTGCTGCCATCTGGTTTTCCTCATCTTGAAAACGGGGAGTCGCTCCACGTGGAAGAAGCTGCTAGTCAACAAACCAGCAAAACCTTCACCCGGCCCATTCCTCCCTCTCTCCATCACACCATGGCCTCCAAGTTGTGTTGCATGACCGAACAGGACGGCCGGGACAACTCACCCGAGCTGCCCAATGTCCGCCCCAGCCATGCTGCACCGGTACAGCAGCCTCTCTTGCTCAAGCAGACTAGCTCGCCAAACTCACAATTCACGAGCGCTCGCTCTGAAGACCTCCATGAACTCCAGGAAATCTTTCACAAAGCCAGTGATTCCGGCGAGGACCGCGCTACACCGATGCAGGTGGTTCATGGACGCTTCAGCCGCCCTTCGATGCACAGCATACGTTCATTACACAAGATGACGAGCATGCGTTCCATCATCAAACGCAAGTTCTCGAAAAATTCTCCCAGGAAAGCGGCCAAGAGTCCATCGCCTCACTTGGACATGAGAGACAACCAACGCCAATGCACCTCTGGCACGGTGATTAAGCAAACGAGAATTGAGTCAAAGCAACAGCTCCAAATTACCAAAGAAGACCTTCGAAAGGACCTACTCAGCGACAAGAAGCCAGATGAGGGAGGCTACGACTCTGATGCCCAGGTGTTGGACGACGTTGCCAGAAACATCGGCAAGAAGTCTCCCAACAAAAGACCCAGTATTCATAGCGTCGATTGGGTGACAACTTCCGGAAGGTAAGTGCTTCATTGAGTTCATGATCTTCATATCCTGACATGTCTAGCAAAACCACCCCAGAGTCTATCACCAAAGGTCAGACCGGCGACGAGTCCAAGCGCGATCTCCACCCGTACGACATCAGCAAACCACCAGCAGCCTCTCTAGTGAACAAATTTAGCCAGGTATTAAGTACTCCCAATCTTCGATGCGACGTATCGGGCGGAAGAGGACGCAAATTGAGGCGTTCGCACTCTGCAGAGTCTATCGGCCTGCCAAAGCCTTCGCCAATCTCCCCACTACGACTACCGAGTCTTACAAATAACGATTCAAATGGTATACCTTGGTCCGAAGCTATGCATGAGAGTCTTCGTCTATCTCGTTTTCCCGCGCCTCCGCGTCTTATTACCCCAACAACGCCACAGAACGGATTGGGTAGCGACAAGAATTTGGCAGACAATGAAGCTCATCATGAACACCATGACAGAAATGTTTCCCAGGTTCTAGATCGAGCACATGGTATGACCGCATCTTCATCCCGTATCATAGACATTCGTGTTCAGCAACCAACCTCCACTGCTACCCCTAGGCCGTCTACGTCGGTGTCAGGCACGCTCCGTGAAATATCGCCTTCGGAAAGCGTTGTTCAAGCCAGGAAGTACCATGATGGGAAAGACGAAGACAATTCACGCCACTCGGTTCACCTCCATAGCATGCGCATCTCGCACCATTTACGGTCAGGGTCGTTGCTTTCATGGGATCAACTTGCAGACGCTCCAGAACAACCCTCTTCTTCTCACGAGTTCCATGAACGCAATGTCTCTGACACAAGCCGAATCTCACACACAGCCCGGCAGCTTGCCCGCCATGATCGTCAATCATCGAGCTCTGGAATTGCAAGCTCCAAAATCCCGCCTACATGGGGCAAGGTCTTGCGTACTGATGCAGCCAATCGACCTGATTTTACGTCTTCTCTCTACTCAAGCAGACCGCAAAGTCCGCCTGGCAGCTTAGGTGGATCTATGGTGACCTTACCACTTTCTGGAACAGAAAATCAGCCTTTTGGTGTCTCGTCCTCCGATCTCCGGACGCCTAGGCGCTCGGCATCGTTTCCAACGGACAATGAGGAGACTCCAAGACCAGTACAGCGCCATGTTGTCACGACCATTGTTGCCGCGACGAGCTCTCCGGCGGAAAATCAGCTGAGTACCGCACCAGTAGTGCCTTTGGCTCGTAAAAACAGCGTTGCATATACCAAAGTTTCCAAGTTCCGAGAAGAGTTCAGCCCACCTCCATCTAAAAAGAAGCTACCACAGTCATCTTCCTTTATCAAGTTCCTCAACCCAAAGCGTCTCAGTGTGCGAAGCCAAAGCGAGGCAAACCTCCAGTCCGAAAGCCCTATTTCTAATATGGACGGTCCCTCCGACACACTGGATGTTTCTTCCGACCGGGAACGTCGACAGTCGCAATCCCTGTTAAGTCTAAGAGCAGAACAAGAAGCGCTTGGCAAGAACAAGGGCGCGAACCACGTGTGGGATCGTGCATTGCAAGCTCACCAAGAGGAGAAGGCATCTCTCTTCCTTCCCAAGAACAGAGATCTAGCTATAACGGCTAGCCCATTCCGGGAGCGTAGTGGGAGCGTTTCCACCAGGCGGATCAGTGTTGATAATGTAGATCCTTCTACAAGAACTGATGCGTCAAGCAAACGCTTATCCATACCAAGAGTCCGCACACCAGGCGATGAGCATGCAGGGTCATTCACGTCGATTTCTCGACGTATCGCACTGATTGATTGGGAAGATTCTCAGCTGGACCGGGACATATCAACTGCTTTTGAGAAACAAGGTGATGGCGTAGAGGTTGTTGGTGCATGGGGGCGCTATCCTTCACACACACGTCATGACCGAACAGGATCGGCGGGCAAAGCGGACAACGTACTGCCTCGGGACTTTGCCCTCGAAGCTGCCATCAAATTTGCATCTGGAGCCGGCGACGAGGACTTGATCGACCCAACGCAGCGCAGACCTTCGACGCCACTGCTACCTGGGGAGAAGAAGAAAAAGAAGAAAGTCGGCGGCGGGCGTATAATGAGAAGTAACTCTATGACGTTTGGCAAAACCCTCATGAAGAACTATACCAAGATGTTCAAGAGTCAGAGTACCGAGTTCAGGAGACATGGTCGCGGCCATCGCAGTTCGATTGCCTCTGGCGGAATACTCGAGCATCCCGAACTCGAGCTATTGCCAGAATTGTGGGCAGGCACTCTGAACGAAATCAGGGACGATCGGGAGCAGCACGATTGCGATGAACTCGTTGCACAAGACGGCCATTCAGGTTATGCCACCAAGGGCAAAGGCAGATTGTTCGCGAATGACTCCATGGCAACACTGCGTCCACGCCGAAACTCATCTGCACCCAATTTCAACGAGTTGTCCTTCAATGACGGCGTTTCTGAATCTCAGCATGCACATGATCGTGCTCGTGACTGGTCTGTTTACTATGAGCATTGCGTCAATGCCTATCCTCAACCAAGCACTAACGCAAGTATCATGACTAGTGTTCTCGAAATTGATTCGCGAAATGCCAGCCAGTTGAGCCATAAAAGTGTTGCCAGTCAGAGCAACGACTGCGCCTCAAGGAGCGGAGACGACTGTGCCGCTGAACAGAAGAGTCTAGTCAGCGTGAGGCGTAGCACCATGGATTTGATATCGAAATTCAAGGATCAGGAAGCCATAGAGCATGAGCGAATTCTGACGCTTAGTCGTATGGACAGCGATAGGGCAAAGGAGAGTCTGGCTGCCCTATGAGCTTGCTTTGAATTGGTAGATTCGACGTGTGTAATGTCTCGTGGCGCAGTTTCCAGTTAGTCCAAGTATCGTTAGATTAAATAGTTAATGTAATAGGAATTGCTGTAATTGGTGCGAATGATGTAGGCAGTCGTTTTTCTCACCAACCACGGTTGGAGATGGGCGAGAAATGTAGACAGTGCCTAATCGGGTATTATTGCACATGCTGTATGGACAGAACGTGCTCCAACCACTATCCTAATACCACCAATCTTGTTCTTCTTAGAATAAAGCCAAAACAAAACTTTTGGGCTGTAAGCTTTTGTTGCTACACCGAGACTCTCAACCATGGTTCGCGTGCTGATATTTTCGATAATTGTTTTGAATTCCCTCCACATTCTACGCACAAGGACATTCAAATATAGGCAGAATGGAGCCTACCTTTGCTCATTACTTTAGCTCTCGCATTTCCACTGCATTCAGAAATCCACTTTTCATAGATAAACATCACCATACACACTCATAACCATGCCTGGACAACGATCAACACCCTTGGGGTCCGCCAATACAATTCCTTCTCTTGCAGTCATGGACGCAAGATTCCAACAAAGGCTGATGCAATATGCGGGCCAATCGAAAAATCGGCAACAGGCGTCAAGAGAAAGCACCATCGAAGCAGACGGTGATGAGAAGGGAAAGCGGAGAAGAAAGAACAGCACTACTACTACTGAAGAAGAAGACGACGACGATGATGATGATAGTGATTATGAGGAAGAGGAGGAGCCGGTCCCAGAACAGGTGCCGGAAAAGGAAAAACTTGTCCTTCGATTACGACTCACTTCAAGACCCATCCTGAAGCTAAATCTAAAGCGGAAGGATAACGACTCTGCTCCTTCTGCAGCACCAGCACCAGCACCAGCACCAGCACCAGAACCAGAACCAGTAGTAACAGCGCACCCAAGCGCATCTCAAGCAAAGAAACGGCGTACGAGCAACACGCGGAGCCAAGTGAAAACACGGCAAACCGCAAGCAATTCTCAAACAGGGATAAAAAAGACATCCCAGTCTAATCCCGCTCCTACTCCCGCTCTACGTTCTCGCCGTGCACATGCTGCCCCGGCCCCTTCCAATCCAGCACCACCACCACCACCACCAACAGCGCCACCGCTCTACCCCTTCCTTAGGCTCGAAAACGAGCCCAAAGAAGCCTGGGACCCCATTCCGCTTCCCTCGCCCTACCTCCCCGGCGACACCGAGGGCCCCAAGGCAGCGTGGAAACGGCTGTTTCCGGACGAAGTCGACATGGGCGATTATAAAGGTGAGCCGGCGGCGTGGATGGAGAAGATGTGTTGGCGTGAGGGAAGATGGCGCGCCAGGCGTGAGGATGTGGATGGGCCGTATGTGAAGCGGGTTTTGGGAAGGGGCATGTATGGTAATGGTAGTGGTAGTGGTAGTGGTAGTGCGGGCAGCGCGTGGTCGATGAGGTTTTGTCATCAGGAGGGTAGTCGTGGTGATGGGGGCGTGGGGGTAGGATCGAGGGGGTAAAGACCTGTTTTTTTCTTTTGGGTTTACTTGTTTACTTTGGCTCCAACTGGATTGGGTATCTACTCGCTTCATTATATGTACAGTTGCGTTTATTTGTTTGTAGTATATTATTATTATTATTATTATTATTATTATTATTATTATTCTAGTTTAACGTCCTTTTTCAGCCCGAAGGTCTATATAAGACGTGTAGGGTTTTTAGGCCTACAAGTATCTAAGTAGGTTGTTTCTAGCTACAATATTTAGGAGGGGTTTTTGTAAGGGGCTGCGCTCCGGGGAGCAATCGCGAGGTATACAAGAGGTTGTATTCGATAGAGAGCTATAGAGTCTACTTGCGTGGTGTTTATTTACTGTCGGAGAAAGGTTGCACCGAGTGTCTGAGCGCGTCGTCTGGGGCGCCG